GAGCACGTGATATAATCACGTGCTTTCACTCTACAGGCACAGCCTATTACACGTGGGGCATTAAATAAGCCTTAATTTAAATAGACACCTATAGACCTTTTACGAAAGGATATTAAAAATCTACCTAATAAGCTATTATAGAGGTTAGGTTTATATAGTCGTTTTTCCTACTAGGCCGAATCGTACCCTAGTTCGGATCCTGTTCGGATGTATGTAGGAACGGGTGCTGAGCCGTTACAAAGCTTAAATTAAGAGTTATTAAAAAGAGTACTAAATATCTAAATTAGGTAATTATTAGCAGAGTAAATTAAGAAAAACGATCCTAAGGTTGAGATCTAACTTACCACGCTATTATTTATAGATAGTAGATTGGGCGCACCATCTAGATTGGCACAATTATTACATAACACTACTCATAAGTAACATTTACTATAATACCTAGTACTTGATTAACCATCTTTATAGAGAGTTATCAATAGTATAAATTCAAAAGTTAATTTATTTAGATGAATGATTAATATTAATAAAACGGAACTTTAATCTTTAACTATATGACTAATTCAAGGATACTAATATAATAGTTTAGCGTAGCTCGAGATTTATATTAGGAGCGCTGTTTAGCCCAACTTAAATACACCGTAAATATCAAAGCTGGTCTAGTTCTGATAACATAAATGAAATGATAAGATTCCGAGATAGGTGATTCTCGGCGTGCATCTTGCCATAATTCTTGCCAGTGCCGGGTGCGAAGTCAAGGACGACGCTTGTTCCACGGCTAGCTCTATAGACATTGGTTCCAGTGACAGGAGTAATTTAGCAGGAACTTTCTTTCTCCGACGGGAGCCCGGGCACCAAAACACAGTGATCAGCGAACGCATGTGTGGTGAGAGCAATTAAGGCAGCTAGCATAAAGTGCAAAGTGACCTTCTTTTGTTAGCAATGCTTAACTTGATGGGTTAAAAGTACAACCTACCTTTATTCAGTGGATAGAGAAATAGAAACAAGAGTTGATAATGTGATTCATTTGTATCGTGCTCATAGAGGCTTGAGGCCTGTAGATTCAAACGACTTTCTTGTTGCTTGATGTGCAGCTTTGTTTATCTTTCTTTCTACTCTCTACATTTCAGCCATGCCTATCTAGAGCATGGCTATTCTAGATCAAAGTTTGATTAGAAGTTTATATGCTTTGACCTCCCATAGGGATGTCGATATCCTTCACGCTAGTCAAAGGCAGCATAGTTGTCTCTCATAAGCTGCACTGGCCTCACTTCCCGCCCTTGTGGCTCACTCGCCCATGAGGTACGCTACTAGGATCTAGATCGATATATCTGACATAATTATAGAAACGTTATACAAGATTTGTTCTATAAGAACCATTGCGATCCAGTTAGTTGTTTTTAGTACATAGAGCTTTTTAGCTGACAGAGACGGACTTTATAAACTTTCAGCGAACTACATGCTAGAGCCGACACTCACTCTCATGCATGATTGGACCGACAAGACCCGATTGACGATTCGTGGCATGGGTCCCTGCTTATTTACAGAGAACAAGATATCGGAAAGGCGTGAGTCAAATTGCTTCATGGAAAAATATGGACACGCTAAGATGCCCTTCCACAGACCTCTCTGCTCTCTAATGATATCTTCATTAGGTCTCTAAGTTCACCTGAGGAGCTCGCATCCGTTCAACACATTGAACAAAACGTCGCTAAGCATCTCTTCGTTCTCAAAGATATCTGATGCTGAGATAAGGAGCTTCTGGCTGCGCAAACGGGTCATCCCACAGGTTCGGTGCTTTGCTTGGCAGTGCAGGTTTTGGCAGATGAGACGTCTCTCACATACGTAGCGGCAAAGGAGGTACTCTACGTCATGTGCTGCGAGTGGGGGTACTAGCTTGGATATTCGATTGAGAGGCGAAGGCAGGATAAGACGTTCCCGTATAATGAAAATCTGATGCGGTACATCAAGGGTTTAGCGCAAGACTACACTCAGGTACAATGCACCCACTACCGATTAAATCCATCTTTCTGCTAAGGTAGTACACTAACAGGCAATAGACGTGGTGTATATGTTGCTGCAGGTGCATTTTTTCTAAGCGTCATCTTTAAATTAAATCCTTGGCAATTTTACTGCAGTTGTGACTTTCTTCGTGAAGGAACGATATGTCGCACGGGTCTCAATAATGCACCTGTCCTGAATGAGCGATCCCGCCCATTAGCGAACACACTCTTCTGGGCCTCCTGCAATTTTCGCATCGGTTGATAGGATGAACCGAGCGCTACTGTTATCGTTGCGTCGGGTAATGCTCAGCTCAGTTAGCGCCAACATAAGCAGAGCCTGGGTTTAAGATCGTACACCAAAAGAAAGAGTCAATTCAGCTCCAAGGATACATAAATCAAGGACAGTTACCGCATTGCACTTACTGGAGACATAATTGATACACTTTGTGACAACCACACAGATATTTGCACCTTGAACGCAAAATGATTGGCCAAGTGGAATCTGGGATGGGGAGTCTCGCTAGTCTTTTATCGGCGGCTGCTAAAGCATCTACTGCAGTTATTGTTATTCGTACTCCGCTTATCGTAAGTTACTTCAACACCACTGATGTTGCGTAGGCGTTGCGATGTAACAAAGAAGTAGGTCGGTCTATATATCTTGGCTGTTGGCATCTACAATGCTTATCTCCACAAACTTGCGTCCTTTCCCGGACCGTTTTTGGCAAGGTCCAGCTTAGTAAGAGAGTCCAGAGCTTTGCGTTCTCAGTGGCTTTGTTACTGATTTGGAACAGCTATGGCGCATCTATCATTCGCAGACTGGTCGCTTTCACCTTGCTATCGAAGCACAGCACCGTAAATACGGTAGGCACCTGAGACTCTCGCTGCAATGAACCCATTTATAAAGCTTCAAAGGTCCCGTTGTTCGAGTATCGCCCAATGAATTGTCTTTTGCGTCTGTTGAGTCATGGAAAGCCATCTACGGACACCGCGTTGGCGCTGCACCCACCCCCACTAAGAGCGAGTTCTATGACGTATTGGGGGCTGGCTTCAAATCTCTATGCATCGCTAGCGAGCGCGATCCGCATAAGCACAGTCAGATGCGTAAGATGCTTTCCGCTGCCTTTTCAACCAGGGTTCTTATGGAGCAAGAAGACATTATCACCAAAGCAGTTGACGAATTCATTACTAGGCTTGGTACAGATGGAGTGCAAGCGAAAGGTCTCAACATGACCAAATGGTACGAAATGGTCGCTTTTGACACTGTAGGCGAAATGGCCTTCGGAGAGTCGTTTCATAGCGTAGATGCTGGTGAGTTTCTTGTAAGCAAATTAGTCCGTGTTGTTCACTAACTTTGCCATGTTACAGGAAAGCCCCACAGCTGGTCAGAGATTTTGGTCAGCCATCTCTACTTCATCACCCTGATTGATAATCTCCGTCGTTTGCCATTCGTCGCGGGACTAGCCAAGTTACTCTTCCCATCAACACTGGCCGTGCAAAACCAGAATTCTCAGTACAGTCGTGAAAAAATTGAGCAGTAAGCTAAACAGATCAACCCAAAAGTGTTGTGAAATAAAGAAAACAAGACAGGCGTCTAGCGAAAAAGCCTAGTCGGAATGATTTTCTTTCCACTGTCGTCAAGGGGTATGAACAAGGAACCGTGGGCAAGGAGGAAATGACAGCGCATGCCTCTACCTTGACGTATGTATTTGATCCCACATATCTTCTTGCCAAAGACGTTGTCTCTTTATTGACTTGTATTTAGCATTGCGGGTGCGGAAACTACCGCAACTTTCCTGGCTGCAACAACATATTACCTGCTGCGCAACCCTGCATGCCTTGCCCGTGTTCAGGAAGAAGTTAGGGGCAGATTTTCATCTTACGATGAGATCAATGCTACAGCGGCTAAGCAACTCACTTACCTGCAGGCTCTTATCAGCGAAGGACTTAGGATGTACGCACCTGGCAGCCAAGGCTTCCCTAGAGTGTCCCCGGGCATGAACGTTGGAGACGTTTATGTCCCGGCCGGCGTAAGAATGCTTTTTCTGAGCTTATGTTGCAAACGTCACTGACTTCACGTTCAGGCTGAGGTGTTCACACACGCCTGGACATTGACCCATAGTGAGCAGAACTTCACCAACTCGAACAAGTTCAAACCCGAACGTTGGATGGATCCAAATTCTACCGACACAAAGGCAGCTAGCCAGCCGTTCGCTATGGGACCAAGAGGCTGCTTGGGTCAGAAGTAAGTCCAAAAAGGCTGCGCGAACAGCTCTTAGGTTATAATAAGAGTTTCGGGGCTGACATGCATCTAGCTTTGCACATATGGAGAGCAATTTGATTTTATCCAAGATGCTATGGAAATACGATCTTGATATTGTAAATAAGAATCTGGACTGGGATCACGAGAGCCGTTTGCATGTGATGTGGTGGAAGCCTGCATTGATGGTTCGATTCGAGGACAGAAGGCCTACCTAAGTGGCGCATAATATATGTTCCATGTACGAGAAAACGTTAGATGCTTAGAACACTCGGTAAATGAGATTTCATTGCGTATTTGGTGTATGATTGGATAAAAAGAGGAGGATGCTACCACGTACCCTAGCAAAATAGCTAGGATGCCGAGTCAAGTTGATGATCAGCGTTCTGCGATAATGACCATCACGGATACAATTAGGATTTATCCAATCTTTTTTTCTGAGTTCTGTTCACAAAATTTATCGTTGCATCGAGTTGTCCAGATAGAGCCGAAAGTGAAGATCACCTTTCCAACACCAATAACCAATACGATGACCTCGTCTGAACCGCATACCATCAACTCCTTCATCTGGGACACAAAATTTTAATACTTGTATTGCGACGTCTTGTATCCCATTTTGCCAAACACAATGGCCAGCGGGGTGAGCCGCCGGAGCACTGCGAATAGCACCATGGACGTAGGAGATACCCCACTTCAGGAAAAGCCATCTCTAGAGTGACCTGGGTTGATTTCCGGGGAAGATGAGACGGCTATGCAGCGAGCCCAGATGGCGATTCCAACCTCATGGCACTATCCAGCTCGCTTTCTGCCAAGTTGCACAAGCAACTTGGATAAGATAATCACCATCCCGAGCGCTATCACTACTACTATAGAAGATGCAGCAGCTCCTTTCGCTCTGGTGAGTATCCTCCTGGTTTAGTTAGAATATCCAGGTAAGCTGACACAAATCATTTTCAGACTTTTTTTGCGAAACATGGGTAAGTTATTTCGCGGCTTTTCCATTGGCGACGCCATGTTGTAATACTTCACCGGAGGGTTCAGTCGGTTCAGTCTCTTCTACATCTACTGAGCCATTGTTGAATTTAGATCTACGCTGAAACCGTTGGTTGCACTCTAGCGGGAGAACGCGTCGGACAACATATAAGTGAGGGGTGCCTCACTACCATTTTCGCCAGAAGATTGCTTATTTTGACGGGTTCCGCATCGGCGAAATGAACATGCGCCTTACGATAGATATCAGCCTCATTTAGAATATCATGACGGGCAAAGCGACAGTCACGATCTCCGTAATTGCCATGTTTGTATCGGTCTTAATCATCAGCTTCATAAAGGGCTGGATCCCGACACTAGTCTTCCCTGCTCAAATCTTGATTCTCAGAATCATGAGTGTAGGCGCAGAATTCACGACCAGGCATACGGTGCAGTCAATAGAAGCGCTATTAAGCTCCGAAACGTATCTTTTCGCTATCCCAACTATATAGGCTGGATATTTCTGGCTGATGCTAACATCGTCATCCAGCCTGGGAAATGCGTCGCTTTGGTTGGGGGTAGTGGTAGCGGCAAGAGCACCGTCGTCTCGCTCATAGAACGCTTTTTTTTCATGCAGACAATGGTCAAATCATTTTTTGGCTCAAATAACACCAAAGATCAGAATTTGAAACTGATCGAAGTCAGCTGGCATTGTTCAATTAATCGTCAACATCGTTCGATGGGACAGTGCGTGATAATATTGTGTTCGACGTGGAGAATAGAGGCTCCAGCGAGGGAGCCGTGATACAGACATGCAAAGATGCTAACATATGTGGTTTCATCTAATCTCTACGATAAGTATTCTCTCCCTCTGATTCCTAAGATCTCATAGGCTTACAAAGATTATCATCCCAGAGACAGATTGAATACAACGGTTGGGGCACGAGGTATTATGTTCTCAGGCGGCCCGAAACAAAGGATCACGACTGCGCGAGCGTTGTTTCGAAACCCAAAAGTTCTGCTTATCATTGAGGCAACCTCAGCGCTAGATTGAGAGTCCAGAAGGATCGTTCAGGAGGCATTAGATGCAGCTACACGCGGTCGAACAACAACCGCCGTGGCCTATTGCATGAGCACTGTAAAGCATGCTTATTATATTCATGGTGAGTTTACTGTCACCAGAAATGCAATATCAATTACTTCACTTATTATCAATGTTCTGACTGTAGCTAGTGCTTGAGCATGGCCGGATTATTGAGCAAGGAACCCATCGAGCCTCAATAGAGGTGAAGGGGAGGTACAGCGAGCTGTTCAAGCTGCAGGGTAATGGTGACCCCCCAAAAGCGATTATATGTACATAGGCTTTGATAAGGACAAACCATATTCGGGTGATGTTAGTTCAGCTGGATTCAAGCTATCATGGTAGTTTGGATAATCCTATACGTAGTCGGTACAGGCCGAGGCCACACTTCTAGCTCTCTACGGTGGGTGTTCGATTGACAATTTGATTGCGACAGTGTTGTTAAACCTCTCGTTGGGGTTTTGACGCTGAGAGTGACTATTTCTTACTGGTCGGTCGATTCATTGACGACCGAGGGGTTTGTATCGTCAACACGTCTCCGGAGCGACATCTGGAGGTTGTATTCCGACCCTACTACTATGTCGTCCGCAATCATGCCTCCAAGGTGCATATCAAATTCACGATGCCGGAGCGCATATTTTCTCAAAAGCCAACGCAATATGAACACGCGATTCCACTGTCACTACTGGAAGCGACTACCGCCAAATATTCTCTTACAAACGCCATGTGGCTTATCGAGCTACTTGATGAGAAGGAGGTAGTGAACGTCCCCGTGCACCTCAGCTAGACACTCGGCATTGCGCTTACCTTCTATGTTTAACAGGCCGACCAGCTGAATTCTATCGATGTTCTCTGCTATGCATTAGTTCCCGCTGAAGTGCAAAAGTTCCCAGCTCACGCCCATCGCTTCGGTCGTGTGTACGCGCATTTTGGGGCCTCCACAGGTGTGAAGTTTATCCCAGTAACAGGCCCTGTCACCACATACTCACTCTACCAAACAGCATGCATGAAGACTTTACATTCAGCTTTCGGGAACCGAGAAACTACTGGTCTAGTATTGTCTTAGCTAGCCCCGGGATATAATATCGGTGATAAGTATTGCAAGGGGTGGTAAGACAGATTTAATCAAGCTTCGGTGGTATTTTCGTAATGATATAGACGATCTCTGTTAGTAAGAACTTTTAAAAGGCACCTTTGTACCGAAGTAGAATAAGGTAGCGATCTATGTCCAGAGTTCCTTGTAAGCAAGGGCAGTGTTTCGAACTAGACTTTGCACAAGATTACGTAGCATAGGGCGATACCAGTCATGGCCTAGAGCGCAGCTAGTCCTGAGTGGGTATCTTTTTTGTATTCCAATACTTACAGTGTGGCTACCCATTTAACAGTCGCCCCTTCATCTACATAAATAAGGCAAAGGGTTTGCGCAAGTCTCGGGCTATTAGATCCAAGAAAATACAATTATACAAGTGAATAGGGGCCGTTAGCTCGGTAAAGGTGATCGCATCCGTAGTCGCCTATCACGACATACTAATTGCCGCTCAGGACATTTGTGTATCCGTACAGTAATTACGCAATCGACTACTTCTCTACCCGGCTCCATGGACTCAGGTTGTTCCACCAAACCAGACGATTTGGTACTTTCCCTGCCAATAAAAGGACTAAACGACGAAGACACGACTATTCATGACATTGTCGCATCCTCAAAAGCGCGAAAACTGCGCTCGGCATGCGACAGTTGTCATCGAGCCAAAGTCCGTTGCTCGGGAGGTCTACCATGTGCTCGTTGCAGAGAGTTTGCAACAAATTGTGTCTATAGCACATCAGCGCGAACGGGCAAGCCCAAAGGAAGCCGCAGCCGTAAGACGATCGAGCGCGAGAAAAGAGCGGCCGCTCTTAATGCCGCAGAATTTGAGGGACCTGTACTAACGGAGTCACTTGCATCGGCCTGCATACTACGCAAACCAACAGCTAGTGATCCCGATATTCCTAGCTCAAGCGTCGATGGCTTTGCGTGCAGTGCCACGGCCATTGATTCGGTAGCCCCGGAAAGCAGTGATGTGGGGAGCATATCCTGGACCAATAACGACTGCATCCAAACTCCGTACCCCGATAGTTCTGATACTAGTCAAAACTCGGGTATCCCTACTGCAACGTTATGGAACCCCGATCACACCTGGGCCTCTAACGGGCTTGATGCACTGCACCAATTTTTTCCAGAGTCGCCTTCCGCTATACCAACAATACACCAAGACCCTACGACGCTAGCACTACACCAAGTACTACCCACAAGCCCTGCTATTAGTCAATGTCAGTGTCTGACCAGCATCGCAACGCTCGTGCCACCATTGACGACCCTGATCGGCGCTGGTATGTCTGCCGAACGTACGGATCAATTTCTTTTTCTGGTGCGGAAGACATGCTTAACATGTAGCATGTATAGTAGTTGCTCAAAGTGCGCTAAGGATATAGCTGCAGTCAGCTTAGTCACAACAATAATCCAGCTCATTGGTGGGCTGGCTGAGAAATCTCTGGTAATGCTGAGTGCAGGTAGTACAGCTCACTTCAGGTTACACCTGGGCACGTACGATGTATGCGATGACGACGAACAGGAGATGCTAGTACGCCGTCTGTTGGCGTGCAGGCTTTGGAAGCTGCTAACTGCCATCAAATTGCTTCGCGAAATCATGCAAGGTGTAGCCAGCGACTCGGAAGAGGGAGGTACCCAGCAACTACCTTCAGCTATCACTGGAGAGATAGCTTCAGTACCGCAGCTTATATGTTTCGACCAGTCTTTAGAACGGCTACAAGTTTGCTATGAAAAGATATAACAATGATTAGATTATATATCGATGAAGCAGTAAATATGTTACTTTATAGCCTCTAAATTACAGGGAACGGAATGACTCATAACTAATGACTGGGACAATAAACAGCTAAAGCCCTGATAACGACACATAGGTATAAAGCTAACGAACCCCAGCTCGGAAAACGGAGACAGAAAACGGATAACCGCACAGACTCTGAATCCTAATGTTTCGGTATCCGAAAAGTGGCTCCCGAGAAATTTTGCAGTGATGCGCTGCCGGAGACATTCAGCGGTGGTAGTCGCTACGTACGGAGACATACGCCGGCGCCTGGTGGTGCTTGGCACGGAGACATACGCCGGCGACATGTGCCACGGAAACAAAGAACGTCAACGTTGAAAGAGAACAACTCATGTCCGAAATGACAGAGTCCCTCATCGCCAAAAATTGCCAGACTCGTTTCTCCGCGTTCATCTTCGCCTCGACAATTGATGATATTATCAGCTTCCACGAAATCCGTCCCCCACCTCCTCGTGGCATTACTTCTTGCTACACACACTATCCTTGTTACACATACCAACAACATGCTGGTCGCCGCTTCACAGATATTCGATGCCCTGATCATAGGCGGCGGACCCGCTGGACTTTCCGCTGCCCTGGCGCTCGGTCGTGTCAAGCGTTCCGCTCTCGTCTTTGATTCGGGCATCTACCGCAATTCGGGAGTAAAGGCGATGCACACTGTGCTCGGCAACGACGGCACTAATCCACAGGAGTTCCGTGCTATAGGCCGCAACCAAATCGAATCAAAGTACAACTCTATACAATTCTCAAACAGTACTATTGGCGAAGTCGCTCGTGTCAAGCTAGATCCTGATCAGTACGATGGATTCAGCGCCAAATCAGACGGAGGCATGACCTATTTTGGTCGCAAGCTTATCATAGCCACTGGAAGTGCCGACGTCATTCCCACAGACATTCCCGGCTATCGCGAGAATTGGCCGTCCCACATGTATGTTCTGAACTGTTCTGCCATTTGTATGACTTGCTCATGATTTGAAGATATCAATGCCTCTACTGCGATGGCTTCGAGCAACAAGACAAGCCTATTGGCATTCTGAGCTTTTCGTCACCCGCCTATCTCGGGCTCGCGCTCATGGCTCTCAAGTTCAATCCCTCAGTTACTATATACAGTAATGGCCCACCCAACCCTTCGAGAGATACAGCATTGCAGAAAGCGTTTGATACAGCACTGGCGGCGGGCGTAAAACTCGACACTCGTCGTGTGCAAAAATTAATTAATGATGGCGAGCAGGGCATCAGTGTAGCATTCGAAAAAGGTGACAATGCGCAGCTGGGTATGCTTTTAGATAAACCTGCCACTCGTGCAGCTGGCCAGAAGTTTATCGATCAATTGGGCCTTGAGATGGCAGCTCCAACTGGAGAAGTGAAGGTTGATCCACTGTTCTCTGAGGCTAGTGTGCCAGGAGTCTTTGTCCCAGGTGATGCGGGGCAACTGCTGAAACAAGTGGCTGTCTCTATGGGAACGGGTATGTTGACCTAAATGTTTTCCTCTTAGATTGAAATCATTACTGACTATCACAGGTGTTAGAGCAGCATCTGGAGTATCTTACCAACTCTGCAATGAAGAAGGCGCAAAGGCGTTAGCAGCTAATGGTACAATGAATGGGGAGAAGAAGAAGGCCGGAATTTGATTCAAGCAAAGCTGCACTCTCTAGTAACACATGAGACTTGATGAAATGATTTCTTCCATGACAAATAGGTCAGGGAGCAACAGCCACCCATTTTTGAGAGCATTGGCAAGAAAACAGTGTAATGCCACTTGGTTACTTATTCGATGATATCCTATTCGTAGTATTCTTAGATATCAATGAAAGAAATGAGACATCTAAAAAGTCTATTTGCGAATACTTCAGCTGAAGGGATGCTTTTTAAAGTCATGCTGTCCCTTACAAGTCCCAGGGTCTTTATGGAAGGGACTGACTCGCTGTAGCGTGTGGGCACATTGCTCATATTCTTGCTTGCATGAAAGATAATCTCCCAGAAACCTTTCGTGTCTATGTGCCAATTGATCACAGAACTAAGCTTGAATAGCATTGCTCTGAGTATTCACATGCATCCCTATTCAGACTTTCTCCCATGCAATGCGCGCACCCGAGCTCGCTCTTCCCTCAGTTGCACTTTTATGTCATCTTCCCACAACGGTTCAATCATATCCAGCGCAAGAAAGGCACCTCTTTCCTTCATTGCTCGCGAGATTCTCTCGTTCTCATGAAAGACTCTCAGAACATTGAGTCCCACAATATTTTTAACGTCAGCCTCAGTCACTCCTCTCTGGAGCAACTCGGCAACAAGGTAGGGATAACGTGTTGTGTCTTCAAGTCCATCGGGACCCCGTAGCATACCATCGAAGTCTGAGCCGATGCCTACGTGCTCGTAACCGATAGCCTCACCTACATGAATAATATGGTCTACAGTTCGAGAGAGTGTCGCTTCGGCGGGGACCGAGGCGATCAGTTCACGAAGAAAACATATCATTATCACGCCACCATTCGCTTTGAGTAAATGTAGTACATCGTCCGTAGTGTTGCGCGGATGTGCACATAACGTGTAGCTGTGGTAGTGCTGTCAGTGAATCCGCTTACGATCTTAATAGGACCACGGGGTATCTGCGGACCAAGATGAGTGAGAGAATATAACTGGAGCTCTCGATATTGCCAGAGCTTGCTTCTGAGTTTCTGTAGAAGTGTGCGACAGATCGATGATCCTGTAGTTCTAAAGTATTAGCGACAAAGTCCCAACTTCGATGAGATATTATTACTGACATGCCAATCCGATTCATCTCTCGCAGCATATCTTTTCCGAGATCCGATAAACCACCGTTGAACTCGGAACAACCAGTCTACCTGTTTTTAGTAACATCATAACACATAGATTAGGACGAATCCTTACGGCCGAATCTGCGCAGTGATTATTGTGATTATGCGAGAGCGTGGCATACCGGACGCCTAATCGGTGAAACATGCGCAGTGCACTTGCACTATATGCAGTCTGGTGCAGTCCTTCTATACCTAGAAGGCTAACAATTTTCCCCGACTTGAATATTGGCATGACATCAGTGGCAGATTCCGCGATGGCAAGATGATCCGGCGATTTTTCGATCATCAAGTGGATGAGATCAATCTGTTGTAGCGTGCGTTGTAGGCAGAGCAAATTCTCTTCACTAGAGTCGAATTTGTTGAGCTTAGCCGAAGGTGGACTGTCATGTAAAGTCAGTGTTCGGTTTAAGTGGGGGACCTCTTGCAGACTGGCCTGGGAACATATGCACTCCAAAACTGTCCTCCAACTTGGCCATCGCGCATACGCTGGATATCGGTTTGCCCAATTGGCATTTTCTCAATCGTGAAGTCTGCACCGTTGACTTGATTCAGGTACCATCCTCGGATGATGTATGGAAAATCATTGTGTCCATCTTGTGCAATTATTAATCAGATTGTCACATGTGTGGTCTCAAATTTACAAACCGATTAGTGGGACATCACGCAGAACTGCGAAAGCTCTTTCAAGGTGATTCTGCGTCGGGGACATATCGAGCTCTCTGGATTTTTCCAGTGTTTACTTGGTTTTGCCATCTTAAAGGGAAGGTCGGCGCCACAATGATGACGGAACGCCTTGGTTTGAAGACGAAAATGCCCGAGATCTCGGTGGCCGATATTGTCATGTTCACACCATTATCTCGCAAAAGGCCTATGTGAACATGTGTGCTCATAGCTGGGACGTTAAAGATGTTCTGGTGGCTAACACTTATCCCTATCGCCAAAGATAAATACTACGAATTTTCACACCTGCTGATTATATAATTTGTTGCAAAAGAGAGCCGCGACCATTGCAAAATTGGCAATAACAAGTCTTCCTATGTTTTCAAGAGGGAATGTGCTCTGATGATGGAAATTTCAACTGTTTAAGTTGATCCATGATGTGCTAAGAAAATTACTCTAAAGGCTTCTGACCCCATACAAAGTAGTGGCGGATAGCTGTACGATGTTCTTTCATATTCCTGGCAAACTCCTCTTGCAATCGTTTCCATTCTTCCTCTGTCATTCCGAAAGTAGTTGGTCTAATATCTATGTCAGGCTCGAGGGACAAGACGAAAGTACTGAGGGGGACGTGAGCGGCCCTACTTACTTTGTGACGGATTGGAAGTATTTCAGAATCGATAGCATATTTCTAAAACCCCTTTGACCAGTTTCAGCATCTTCATGAGCGTTGCCAGCCACCATATCCACAATCTGCACACCAACATTGATGAGTCCAGCTTTTCGCAATCGACCGGCTAGCCCGGTTGCGGCCATATTGTCAGCCATAACTTCTCCTGTGAGCTTGTGAATCATCTGGAATGCAAGGGTTTTGTCTCGTGGTTCTGAGACGGGTGTACCGAAATCTGGCTCGCAGAACTGGATCCAACCCCCGGGTTTGAGACAGGACAGCAAATTGTTGAAGACGATCTTGATCTCGTCATCCTTGAAGAGCGAGATCACGAAGCGCTGGTGGACAAGATCAAAGGAGCCCTTCCACTCTTGGGGAAAGGGTTGAACGAGATTCTGCTCACGCATACTCATGTTTGGGAGCAGCTCCGATGGAGGGGGAAATAATTCGGGTCTATTGTACATATTAGAGATCTAGTCAAGTCTGGAAGATTGTTCCGATAAGAAGAGAGGGCTTGGGATCAAGAGAAATGTACTAACGCAATATCGAAACCAACAAATTCCGCATCCTTTGGCAATATACCTGCAAGGTCCATCATCCAGAAGCCTGTATCGTATGAGAACATATCGCCGGTATCGTTGTGCGTATAATTTACCGTCAGCAGTTGCAGAATCTAGAACTCGCAGTCCGCGTTTATGCTGATCGAGTGGTGCTTTCAAGAGGCCCTTTGCGCATCCCTTGACCCATTCATGTTGATTCTGCATGCGTTCAATCTCATCCCTGGTATGAGGAAGGATGTACCTCTTTCTCAAATCCTTGACCAACTCGGTCTCTGATTCAACATCGAGTATTACTGTCGACATGTTTGATTTATAATTTGAGCGGTTTGTGACGTTGAAAAACAAAAGAGGAAACTTAGAGCTTCTCAGCAACAACTCCCTATGATGGTGAACCACACTTATTGAACAACAAATGCTATTATTGCTTGTTATCATGGAAAGATCCGCTAGGCCGGAGTGTCGGTCGCCGAATTTTGGGCCGCCGATACCTCGTATCAACCACTGTAAGCGACTGTGTTTTTCTACGCAACAACGGTCGCATTGATAGATTTTTGGTCAAAAATAATTTTTGTGAGCGAGAGACCTGACCGAATTACGAACTCTTCATTATCCTTTCCACAATCGATATTTTTACAGTTTTCATCATGGTCGTCCCTAAAGAAGACTACACCTATATCATGCCAGATAATCAGGAAGAAATTGATAGACTGCGCAATCAGCATGAGTGGGTTAAGGGAAGCACGGGTGGTGTGTTGCTCTTTGCTCCTCTCGAGCACAAGGGCCTGCCGTTGAAGGTATTGGATTCTGCGACCGCCGATGGTATGTCTCTACATTGCACCGATTGTTTACGCTTATCGTGACGTTCGCAGGTCTTTGGTGTCTCGATGTTGCACGTGAACTTCCTCAAGCATCTTTTGTTGGATTTGATATTGCGTAAGAATTGACATGCTTCTGGAGGGTCAATGAATAACAATGCCTACAGCGACCATTTGTTCCCATCTGCCGAGCGGTTGCCCCAAAACTTGGACTTGAAACTCGTCAAAGCAGACCTCATGGACGACTTTCCCTCAGCTTGGAATGATTGTTTTGATCTCGTCCACCAGCGTTTTATCTGGGCGTCTCTCCCTAATCCCGCGCAAGCCCTGGAACATCTGATCAAAGCAACGAAGCGTGGTGGGTGGGTTCAGTTGGTAGACGTCGACTTGGTGTCATATCCAGAATCGCAGCATCAGCCGCACGCTTTCTCGACATTGCGCAAGTTGGCTCGTGCGTTATTTGCAGATCCGACAGCTGCAGGAAAACAAGCGCAGTGGCTGAAAGATTCAGGTTTGGTAAACGTAGATCACACTGTATTCGACATCGCGGCAGGTTCAGGTCATAAAGACCCTGAATTGGGGCTAAAAGGAAGCAAGAACATCCGGGAAGTCATGGAAATGTTTATGCAAGCCTACGTTCGTAAGTTATGGGCAAATTCCTTTGTTATCGTGAACATCACTGACGGATACCACCACCTTCTCCAGAACATCACGGAGATAGACTTGGCCTGGAGACGAACGAGTGGGAAGACCTGCCGTCAGAGATTACGAAGGAGATGGAGACATGCCATCTGACAGTACGGATTCATGTTGCATGGGGGCAAAAGTCACTGAACTAGATTGATACACTTGTAACAAGATGGGCAATGTATGCAGATGGAAATTGCTGTCAAGTAAACCAGCTCTTTTGATGATACATCTGACTGTACATTGTAACATCTTTTTCCTGTAGGGTTCTTACTCATGTACCTCGGCTAAGATCTTCTAAATTCTAATCTTGTCCCATCTCCGCATTGCCAGATTCTGGAGTGTACCCGATCATGATAGCTCCACATATATTCATATACTGTAAGAATCAGGATTCCCAGCCAATGTGGACAGTGCCCGTTCTCGTCGGTCCGTATCCGAATGAGTCTAATCAAAATTCGTAGCCACGGACGCCAGAGTAATAAGAATAAAAGTGAGCCTGGGTTCCAATAATTTGCTGTATAGGAGGGCATCGAGCTAATGTAATTCAGATATTCCAAAGGGAGCCGATGTTCTTTGCAGCCTTGGATCAGTAGACCCTGCAGGTAACATCAGTTCTCAGTACATCGTGTATGTCAATCATTCCACGAACCAGATAGCGTGCACTCGGGGAGCCGTTTGGGCGTCGAGGATACTTGGCTTTGAGCGTACGCGCGATGATTTTTTGTGAGCTTGGTTGTGATGTTACTTGACCTTCTGTCAACACCAATGCCTCTAGGCTGATTTCATCGTATGCCACGCCACCGCCCTCCGTCACAACAAGGCGGTTATAATCTCGAGCTGTGAGCAAATATGCAATCCCATGAACCGGTAAGACAGGGATAGCAGTGGTGCCAAGATGCAATTTCAGCGTCTCGTCTTTGTTGTCGATATCATCGGGGAACTCGGCCACACTTGCGAATGAGGGCTCAGCATACGGTACGCCGGAGATATCAAACGTGAGGTAGTATCTTGGTGCAACTACAGTCTTGGCATCGAGTGGTTTTATTCCCCTGCCGGTCATAACAGAAGATCTCATATTAGAACCGTAGGCAAGATACCAGACATCCGGAGATTTGAAAGTCGCCATCGAGATCGCGTTGTGGGGCTGATGGTATTAGCGGAAAGGGAGAGAAATTAAAACCGCTTACTGGGGCATGTAACAGCAAATGGCGAGGCCTAAGGATGATGACAAGTTGATGCAACCTGCTGGGCAAGCTATGAGAGGTAAGAGATGCTCATGAACTCCATCATATGCGACAAGAAGAAATGGGACTAATGTTGTCCCGATTACAAAAATGCTTTCCTAGGTCTGTTAAAGAGCAGGGGTTATATTCGCCGACAAAACGGGGACCGAAAATTGAGACACAGTGTTACCATAAAAAGTCAATAAACAGAATGCAGTCTACCCGTACAGCGAAGAGCCTAAGGTATACAGATCATACGCGATGGAATTGACAGAACGCCCCCATGATATTCCGACAGGAGGATTGGTTCTGTTTGTGGTGAAGGGTGTGTACAGTTTAAAGCAATGTGAGACAAATTCTTACGAGCCTTGTTATAGGGACTGCGACTTCGACACACAACACAGTCAAACCACTGATTTTGATTGAAGAGCTTGGCATACCCCACGACATCTACGTTGTTGATCGTGTGTCAGCGGCCTGGTTCGCCGATATCAATCCCCACAAAATGGTTCCGGCAATTGAAGACACTTACGATGGGAGGCCTGTTCGAATTTGGGAATCTACATCGACGTTGACGTATCTTACCGATCGTTACGACACCAACGGTTCATTCAGCGGGCGAGACACAAGTGAAAAAGCGGAAGTAGGGAATTGGCTGACGCTGCATACAGCTGCGCTGGGACCTACAGCCAAGTATTGGCTGTACTTCCACGCGCTGCATCCGGTCAAGATCCCGGCTGTGACAGAAAAGTACGAATTCTTGTTTGATCTGGAAATGGTCTGTCGGTCAATTCTAATTTTCATATAGGCTAGCGCAGAATATAGAGGTCCAATATGGCATTCTGGAAAAGCGCCTGGCTCAACCCGGCCAGAACTATCTAGCGCTCAAGGATCGTCCAACAATTGCCGACATTGCAACACTGCCATTTGCAATGGAGTCTACAGCGAAGTTGTTTGGGTTAGATTTCGGGCAGTGGCCCAAGGTGCGTGAGTGGAGCGTGCGGATGAGCGAGCGACCGGCAGTACAACGGGCATGGTCACGTGTTTCTCGATTTGGACACGAAGACAAGAATGACGATAGATCGAATAATTGATAGCAATGAAAAATATGATCTGGTATGCTGATATTGTCGCAGAGCTGGGGCTATGAGTCAAAATGCTGTTGCAATCCGACACGTGCCTGTCGGCGTCCGAAAATTCGGACTCAATGTAGTAATGAATCGCCTGCACTCTAGATAAGTAGAGAGTACACTGGAGCCACTGGGAGTGGAGAGCAACACAATCTTGGATCATCATGCTTGAATCACAGAAACGCATCGACACTCTCCTGAGTGGGCTCCAACGGCAAATTGCGGACGTTACAGCGGAGCTGAAATCCCCCCCTTTGGCACAAGCACTGGAGACACTGCTACATGACCCAGATCGACTACCAGACAGCGTAACAGAAAAGCTAGCGACCCAGCTCATCGATTCATTGGATGATCTGCAGCTTCAATTGCTGCCGTCAGTCTCCCTGCTCACAGACGGCTTCTTTGGCTACCTGGACAGCAAGGTACTGGCTACTGTTGTCTCTGCCCGCGTACCCGACATTCTAGGCGAACATGGCCCTCTGCCAGTTTCGGAACTTGCATCTCACGCCAACATTCAGCCTGAACGCCTAGACCAATTGCTTGATGCCCTTACGAACAAGGGCATTTTCACCAAAATGTCGAAGCCGGATGGGAGCGCATCTTCTGCCATTTATGCCAACAACCGTGCATCAACACTCCTTATGCGCTCGCATTGGACGCAATGGCATCGCTGGGCAGATTTGTACCCTAATGATTTCTATAATATCGCTTCCGCCATACCTCAAGCCGTTGCTACTGGCGAGTCTCGCAATGCTGCACAGATTGGTTACGGCATTGATGTCAACACAACCCTTTTTGGCTACCTTGAGACGCAGCCCGCTCTTGCCGAGAAGTTCCATCGCACTCTAGGTGCGGGCGCGGGCGCCCAAGCAGCAGGCCTGCCTGTAGATTATCCATGGGGCGACGAGCTTGCAGGAGAGTGCGTCCTCGACATCGGTGGCGGCAATGGAGAGTTCCTCGCGTCGATTCTACGTGGCCACCCTTCTCTCCGTGGTTCTATACTTGAGTTGGGAAATGTCGTTGACCTTGCAAAGAACGAGTTCTTTGGGGAAACTGGGCGCTTTCGTGATGTCGCTCATCAAGTCACCGACCTAATCAAAGGCAACTTCCTTCAGGCGGTTCCACCTAGCAAGATATACGTCATGAAGTGGTGTTTGCATAATTGGGGCGATGACATGGTAGTCAAGATCCTTCAGAACGTGCGAAGGGCCATCCTTGTGGGCGATGTTGGGAAAGTAGAACCGAGGTTCCTAATTTTTGAATCAGTGAAAGAGCCGGGCCGTAGCGGAAGACTCGCGCGATATGGTGATCTTGTCATGATGATGACTACGAATGGAAAGGAGAGATATCTTGACGACTGGAAAAGGCTAGCTCGTTTGGGAGGATGGCGCGTCGAGAAGGTCTATCCCATACGTAGGGCCTGGCCGTGCGCTATCGACCTTCGTCCCGTGTAGTATTGTTTTCACATAACTAGAACTCAAAGCTCATTACTACTACTCGTAAGCGAATCTACCATATTAGAATGGTAGCATAACCTCAAGAGTTCTGATACAGTAGTCAAGAACTCTAAGTATATTAAATTGAAGTAGTGCATAGTTACATTTATGAATGAATGTATTACTTACGTTACCATATAGAGAAAAACAACTTACTTTCATATAGAATTATGCTCTATTCATTATACACACTCGACATATTGTGCTTACATATACATTGTAAGTGGATAAAATGATGGCTATATAATACTTATCCGCTAGTCCGGCCGCCTCTTCTATGCTTTAGCAGAATGAACGATTCCACCTTCCTCTGCCTCGAGCTCCGGACTCTGCTCCCGCTTATCGATATGTTGTGTGGTCGTGGTCTGCAATGGCAGATATAAGACGAGATAGATGATTGCGCCGAAAGCCGTGAACCCAAGCAATGTCCACATACCGTTGTGGTATCCTCTTAAGGGATCACCCTCGTTGGTGCTGGCCATGACGACGTTGACCACTGCAAGGAACAAGGAGCTGCCAAACTGGTACATGACGTTCATCATGGCGGATGCAGTCCCGTGGTCTGCTGTGTCAATACGACCCAGCACGATGGACTGCGCTCCGACAGAGACGGGAGGTGACGCAAACAGGTACAGCATAGCGAACACTATAACATACCATATGCCAAACTGTGGGCCGACGAATCCCCAGGGCACAAGAGCTCCGCAACTCACCAAATAGCCAATGGCAATCAGCCACTTGGCATGGCCCTTTCCGACAACTGTGTTACCAATGGCACCCCCAATCATTGCGCAGACTGTGGCGGGCTTTATGTTCAAGGTCAGCAGGCGTTACAAAGTTAATTTACTAGATATGCACATACAAGGAAGTAGCAGGCAGCAAGGACAGTTTTGTACTTCAGCGAGACTAGAGTGATCTGGGTAGCAACAAAAAACCACGTGACCCTGCTTGTAATTAGCATAAGTTGATTTGATGTTAGAAGAAGGAGACTTACCATCCCCCACCAATGAACATGAATATGGTAAGAGGCAGCTGGACATGGCGATCCTGGAGGATCGTGGGCGGGATCGCGGGATTAGAGACCTTGCTTTCAATGATGGGAAAAGCCACGAGTGCTAATACACCGAGCACGATGGTTACTATGATATCAGGACTTTTCCAGCCTCTACTCTCTGCATTGTTGAGCCCATAAACTAGCATTGCGGTTCCGGCAGTGAAGGCGAATAAGCCAGGGTAATCGACGGCGGGCTTGTTGGCGGGGCGCTCGAAACGCGGGATCATGAAAAAACCTAGGATAAAGGCAAAAGCGGCGAAGATGACAGTCACCCAAAAGAGCGAACGCCATCCTGCAGGTGAGGCTATGCAACGGTCAGTCAAGACGATGTACCGGCTATGATGGCGAAATATACCTGTGAGGAGTGCACCAACGATGACACCGAACACTGTACCGATAGGTCCACACGAGACATAGAGTGCGAGGCCCGCCTCCCGATTTTTCCCTGGAGGGAATACATGGCTGATTATTGAGATACCCGTAGCTGTCTACAGAGAGTGAGTGATGAGGACGTGCTCGGATGAAGCAAGGACGTACAGTAAAGGCTGCTCCAGCACCGGCCAGTGCTCGTCCAGCCAATAAACCTGACTGATTTGGCGTGAATGCACACAATATATTCGACCAGGTCAAAGTTGCAGTTCCCAGAAGGAAACTTGTGCGTAAGCCTGCACGATCTGCTACTTGCCCGCCGATTAACAGGAAAGTGGCGAAGGTGACTGTGTACGCTACCAGCACCCAGTTGATTTCTTCAACCGTGAAATTAAGATCTTCTTGAATGGGTGGTAGTCCAAATAGGACCATGGAGCTCTGGAAAAGATCGAGAAAGTTGGCTACACATGCAACCGCAACAACGGACCAGGCAACGGTCGGCCGTGTTACGTCGCCATATGGGGGAAGAACGGCCATATCTAGTGTTGTGAGTACAATGTTGTGTACACTGGCGGCAGACAAAGGGTGCGTGATTGTTATAAGAAGAAGTCAATGATAGAAGGGGCTACTATGGTACTAGCTATATGTGGATGATAGTAGTAACAAAAGTCAGCGAAAAGTCTCCGTTAAGTAACTTTCCGCTATGTCGGGCGTCCGTCACGCACCAACCAAAAGCTTCCGCGTCCCTTCAGGGCAGCATTTGTCACGCATCGCATCCAAGACACTTGATATTCGCTCCAAGCCTCGAACTAGATCTATCTCCGGGAGGGCAAAAGTTATGCGGAACCAGCCGAGTTGTGGCGCTCTGCAGCTCCTTCCGGCCACTAGCTCGACGCCAGCAGCCCGGAACGCCTTGGACAGCTCAATCTCGTCTTCAAGGCTGTGCACATATCCATGACCCAACTGAGCCCAGACGAAGACGCCGGCGATAGGAGGGTAGAATGGCACATCATGTGTGGCAAGAAAGTTGACGACAATGTCGGCAGCGCCATGCAACGCCGCATTACTAGTGCTAAGCAGCGCGCTCAGGCGATCGTGATTGCCCAGCAACTCGGTTGCCATGAGGGTACTAATGGTGGACACTTTGGCATGGTTAGAGATGGCTAGCGACATGCGAAGCAAAGGGTTGGCCTGGGTCACGATGAAGCCCTGTCCCCATGACGTTAGCGCACTCTGTGTATTATAGTCCCAAATAAGTCTCCGAGAAGGCCTGCTTACGAGACGAAGACCACTACTGCCGAGATCCTTGCTAATCCCATGCAGTGTATGGATACGACTGGGATCTGGTACGTTCAACCTCATCACCGAGGTGAAGCTGCTCGTGACGGGAGTGTATTGTCGGCCCGTCGGCGACGGTACCGACTTGGATCCGAATGTGGAAAGGCCGTATATTTCGTCACTGACAAGGTGCAGGCGATGCTGGTGGCAAAAATCGATGAGAGCTTGCAATTCGGCGACCGAAAGTAACTGGCCGCGGGGGTTGTGCGGATTGCAGAGTAACAACACTCTGACCGGCGATTTCCCCATTTGCATAGCTCGTCCGTAGCATGCAACGAGTTTTTCAGGGTTGCGCTCGGGAGACGAGTAGTAGGCTGTAGTATCTACAGGAACCATCTGCACCTGTGCACGCATAATGCATTCCATCTCGAAGCCACCTGCGGCAAATGGTCAGTAAAATATCAATCATCGCAACACAAGCATCGACAGTACCCCAATAAGGCACCTCAACCAGTACACCCTCGCCCGGCCCGCACAGATCATGCATCAGGCTTGCTAGTAGAGAGCTACATCCTGCTCCAGCAACAATGTGTTCTGGTAGCACTGGGGATGTCGGCTTGAAGAATGCATTGTAGAATCTAGCCGCTGCGAGCAGGAGGGCGGGATCTCCTCCAAACCCGGGGGCATACGATAGATGATGTGCAGCAAGGACACGCTGAACAGATTCTCGATAGATGGTTACCAACTCGTCACGACACAGCCAATTCTCAGCTGTCATCATGTCAACAGCATTGATTCCATTATCTCCCCCAGGTTCAGAAATTCTCCCTAGCTGCTCTTTATACGTCTCCTTGAACCATTCTAAAGCCTCCAGGGCTCGTGATGAGAGTCCTGAATCATGTTGCTCGTGCTCGCCGCTAGAAACAGTTGGTGCGTCGATAAGGGGAAGCCTGGGACGTTCGGGAGTCCAGACAGATGCAAGACGAAAATAATGTGTAATAAGACCGGCAAACTCCCAATTGGTTGGCGCCATGATGGAACGAATGAAGTCTGAATTCTCAAATATACATTGCCCGCTTGAATAAATGAGTGAACGAAATAAGAGGCTCGCTGCATCTCTCGGCCGCCGAGATGTGCGGCGAAATGACATATGTACGCATTGTTCCGCGACAACGTGTCAGTGCCGGAGGTTGTGATTCGGAGATGCTGCTCAGGATGTAGTAGAAAGTTTAATGAGAACATGTCTCAACTGCCTGCCGTGACTGGAACACATTGAACTACTGCATCAGGCAGACTGACCCAGCTATCCTTCTGGATTTTCACTTCTCCATCTACCCCTGGAACCGACATCACATAGCTTGCAACCATCTCTGCAGTGATACAGCGAAGTATACGATCAGCAAAGTGCTTTCCGAGACACTGCCTTGGTCCAAACCCAAATCGCCAAAGATTGTAGCGCACCTATGGATATGCATGTGAGAAGCGGAAACCCAATTGGCGTGCCATGACGAGATGGGAAATTGCCAACGGTGGAAATTGAAGCAACGTACCTCTTCTTTCTTCAGAGTGAAGTGTCGCGCAGGATTATACCTATTCCCATCGATCCAAAATGGATTGCTGACGTTAATGGCATGAGAATCGACCACGACATTAGTCTGGCAGATGATTAGCAAAAAACGGCCAAATTTCGCATCTGAATCTCAGTCTTGCACTAGTTATATCCATACATTTCGTGGAATAGTGAAACCATCAATAGTAATGTCCTCATCAGGTGAGTATTCGGGGTTGGAAAAAGCTAGCAAGCCCATCCTGTCAGTGCCACCCTACAGCTTTCAATTGCAATCTTGGCTTACGAAGTATAGGTCGTAGTCTGGATGCCTCAAGAATACACATGTTCAGCAGAGTGTCATTTCGATTGAGATATTGCGCATAAGATTGCGAGTCGCCGTGCCGGAACCTGAGCACTTCGTTACGTAGCTCCGCCTGCACTTCTGCATGCTGTGCAAGAAGTACTATGTTCCATGCCACAGCATTGGTGGTGACATCGAGATTGGCGTAAAGGGACTCATCGATAGTTTGCAGGCACTATCCAGGTCAGTCCAACTCTTAGCCATGAATGATGAAGCACGAGCGTCTGTGTACCTCTCTTTCAGATATTCTTCCCTCTTTCACAGCTTCCCACAATTTCACGACTGGCAACTGTCTTGCAGAGTCATTCCTCTTACTATCCTCTGCTTGCTTTCCTCTCTCATATGCCTCTTCGACAAATCGCAGCCACTGCATGTGGAATTTCCCCAATAACTTGGTTCCATTGGACTGAAAGAGACGTGCCAAAGTACCCCATCGATTGACCCCGCCTCGAATCACTTCCCGGAATAGTTCTTCTCTCAATGGTGCCAGATCCCTTAGTGACGCTTTCTGCTCAGGTGAGAGCGGATCGCCAAATAACATACCAGCGACGACGAAGAAGGGGTAGAATTGCAAATCTCTGGACGGGTTGATGGGGACGACATGATCATTTTTCTGGTTGATGAGCGTCTGTTGCAGAAGTTCACTGGATATAAAGGCTCTTGCATTCTCGACGATGCTTGTCATGTGTGCTGCTGCAGCCGACTGCGTGAAGGATGGCTCAAGCTCGCTTCGCAACGCATGCCACCGCGCGCCACTGACAAGACCAACACACGAACCCAAAACCTCGCCAAAGAGCCAGCCAGAGTTGTTGTCTGCTGCCTTGATGTGTTGGTGGGACTTTCGGAAGTATAGGCGGGTATGCGAAGGATCAGTCAAGACGCTGGATTCAACGCGTTCTTAGCCATTTTATGTTCAACCCATTCGAGGATGTGAGCGGGTTAGCCTTACACTTCTGGGCGTAAGCCCGACCATATCCGATAGATGGGACCCATCGTCGCGCGCCAATGTCTTGCGGCAGAATGGCCTCGGAAGAACTTTTCTGTACCTTGGCCATTTGCCCATTCGAATCGAAGGCTCGGCATATCGAGGCCATCATGCTTATTCCGAATGGGATATTGCCATTGAAGAAAGATCTACAAATCCAATTTAGCGGTTTGACCAGGTTCTGCTGTGGACCAAACCTTCGTACATCAATTAGCTGTGAAAGGAACCACTTGATAACGAACGGCGTCAAGAAAAGGGCTAGGGGAATCAAAATGACGTAAGTCATCATGAGGAACGATCGATAGGGACTCCCCAATAGTCTGCAGTGTATGGGTTAGCTTGTGAGGGCGTCAGACAAAGTGCCTACATATCATTCTACTAGACTCGCGTGGCCCATTTTTAAGGCTGAAGTGACGACCAATGCTCGAGAATGCTTTGAAATACCGGGCACCGTTTTTTCGGTCGCCGCTAGAGATGTTCTTGTTCTCGGATTCCCGACTTCAATGACAGAAAAGCTGCTGCTGCTGCCGCCACCATGTAAGATATTCGAGCACTACTGCACATCGTTTTAGCTCTTTTGTGCCAAAGCTGTATTCTTTTGAAATGACCGTAACGCATATTCAAGCTCTCAATCTATGTGAGCTATTCTCACGTGCAGTACAACTTACACCAAATCATGTCGCCGTCGAACATGAAGAAGCAACTCTCACATATCAGGAGCTGGACTCTGTGTCAGGTGCTCTTGCTTCACATCTGGTGGAGCTAAAGGTTGGACCCACATCCAAAGTGCCACTTCTGACCTCGCTGGGTGCATGGAATGTGGTTGCTATACTTGGAATTCTGAAAACAGGGGCGTGCTATGTTCCACTGGATCGGACCACTTGGTCAAGGGATCGGATCGACCAAGTTCTCAAAGTGATTGACAGCAAAGTAATCGTCAATACAACAACGGAGTCATTAAACATGACTGACGGACACGAGGTACACCTCGGGGATGCTACCTTGGTGCGAGCGCTACGAGCGCACAAAGTTTCATTCTCAAGACAAGAACAGATTGAAGAAGACGACCTGGCATGTATAATATTTACCAGCGGTAGCACGGGGAAACCAAAAGGTGTCATGATTCGGCATTGTTCAGTGGCAAACTATGCACAGACGAGTCCCTTCAACATGGATGTTGAGGCTGGCGACCGGGTTCTCCATATTCTTTCCGCAGCTTTCGATGGTACGTGACTGGGGACCCCTTGGTATATACTTTAATGGCTTGGTACTAACTAAGAAGATAGCGTCAACTGGTATGCTTTTCTCCATTCTGGGAAACTCGGGTACTGTCATTCCGGCATGTATAGATTCATTGCACGAGAAGGCGACGACGTGCACAATACTTGCGTCAACACCGTCCATTCTCGCCACACTGCTCGTTCCCACGGCAACTTTGAATCCGTACAAGCTGGTGCGGACAATCCTCCTAGGCGGCGAAACGCCACCACAACATTTACTAGCACCGTGGCTTGCACAGTCAGTCCGGATACTGAATGCATATGGTCCCACAGAAACCATGTGTGCATCGTTGATGCAGGAAGTGGAAGTATGCACACGCACAAATTCCATTCGCAATGCCATTATTGGACGTGCCATGGCGCACTGTCCGGCATACCTGGTAGACCCAACTACAATGGAAGCAATCGAGGATAGTGATGAAGCGGAGGGAGAGATCTTCATCTCGGGTTGTGGACTTGCTCGTGGCTACTACAATGACCCGGACAGGACAGCAGCGTCATTTATCCAGTGGAATGGGGTACGCGTATATCGCACTGGTGATTATGCGCGCTGGACAAGAAGGAATGATGGGGCTCGCGTCATGGAGTTTCGTGGACGCAGCGACCGTACTGTCAAGAATCGTGGTTTCTTGGTGAACCTCGAGAACGATGTGGAAAGACCAATAGCGCAGATGCAAGGACTAGGCGTGACAAATGTATGCGCAACCATGGTGCAGGGCCATCTGGCGGCGGTAGTGACGCCGCAATGCGTCGACGTGACATTGCTCCATCAAAAGTTGCGTAGCACGCTGTCAGCCTTCCACGTACCGGACCACATGGAAGCTGTGGATGAGTTGCCACTGTCAGCGAACGGCAAAGTGGACCTGAAGGCGGTAGCGGCGATGGTTGAATTGCACCTGTCAAGTTCAGGTGGGCTTGATGACAGTAGCAGTACGGAGGTGGGGGAGACGAAGGGGAACGTCAGTCGTGCTGCTAAGATGGCTCAGTGCATGAAAGAGGCGCTTGGGCTCAGTCAACAACACTGCCTAGAAGGAAGCTCCGACTTTTTCGAGCTAGGCGGCAATTCACTCAAGGTGCTCAAGTTGTCGACGCTGTGTCGCAGCCATGGCTTGATGTTGATGCCCAAGGACGTGTATTTTGGGAAGACGCTGGCTGCTCTGGTTGCGCGTGCCACGTCTCTGGACGGCGAAATTGGCGACAATGGCAGGGTTGGACTGACGGGCGAAGAAGGGCAACAGCAACAACAAGAGCAAGCCGATATGCGTGTGAGTGTAGCGAAAGCCATGGGCGTCGAGGTGGGTGAGATTGAAGCTGTCGGACCACTGACGACGTTGCAACTGGAGCTCGTGTCGTCGACCATGGCGTGCGAGGGCAAGAACACGGTCCAAGTGCGCCGTTTCTACGAGGCAAAGCATGCGGCCATGTTGCGCTCTGCATGGCATCGTGTGTGCGACATTGAGCCGTTGTTTCGCACAGAGATTGTTCTGCATCTGCCGTGCGGGCCGGTACAAGTGCAGCGATCACGTGCTTCACCGTGCAAGCAGCAGCTAGTGGAGCGTGTCTTCTGCGAGCGCCAGGCATACGAGTGCGCAGTGTCGGCAGCCAGCCTCAGTGTTGGGCTTGGACAGCGCCTGGACATGTTCAGCTATCGGCCCCAGTCGCATGCAGATGCAGATGCAGATGCAGATGCAGATGCAGATACAGATGCCGATGCCGAGACGACGTTGATCTGGACCATCCACCACGCACTCATCGACGGCTTCTCCCAAGCACTCGTCTTTGCCCAGGCGGAACGGGCCGTGCGGGGCGAAGCGCTTGTGCCCAGTGCCTCCTTCATCCATGCCGCTGCGGTGCTTCGTCAACTCCACCAAGCCCGCGACGCCGACGCTCGCGCTTTTTGGACTTCTCATCTCAAAGGCGTCACCCCTCGAACTCCGGGAGTGCGGCCCACAGGCCGTGGCCAACCCGCTTCCATTGCCCCCAGCGTCCGCGCGACCGAACTCTTCTTCTCCCTGCCTGCGCCCGACGCTGCCCATATCGTGTCTTTTGCACGAGCCCATCGCACCACAGTCGCCACGCTGCACTATGTCGCATGGGCGCTTGCTCACGCTTCGCTCTCCCAGAGCCCCACCGTCGTCGTCGGTGTTGTCGTGTCCGGCCGCGAGACACAACCCTACTTCCAACATGTTGTTGGTCCCACCATGGCGACACTTCCACTCGTCGTACGACTTGGCCATGGCACCCCACCTCCGCTGCAACAGCTGCTCGACTCCACCATGACCAGCCTTTTACACATGGCCGAATTTGCATGGTCGACGCCTGACCAGATCTCGCCTGACTGGCGAGTGAGCAATGTCCTGGCCGAGCAGCATGGCTTTTGTGCACACACTCATCAAGTAGCCCAGCTGAGGCCCTCACAAGCCTTTGACAACACGGCTTTTCCACTCAACCTCCTAGCTGATGGTGATGCCACATTTCGCATCGTCTTCGACATCAAGGTCCATTCCATCGCCGCTGTGAGTAGGCTGAGAGACGGCTTCATGCGCGCACTACAAGCCCTTCTGCGTGATGATATTGCGACATGCTTGCCGAATCCACAACAGAAATTGGGACAGCCTGACAAGACCATGTCATCGCTACACAATACACTGACACAATTTGCCCGAGGGCCTCCACAGACGGTAAAAATGGCCCTCGAACGCTCTGCCATCGAGCACGCCGATCTAGTGGCGCTCGAAAGCATGACCGTTAAGCTCACATATGCTGAGCTCAACTGCCAAGCTGAAATAGTCGCGCACCACATACGCCAATGTATGCCTGGTGCCCGTGTCGTCGCCATTCATGCCGATGGCTCTTTGAATTGGATCATTGGCATTTTCGCCATTCTCAAAGCCGGCTGTGCCTACTGTCCCCTAGATCCGGCCTATCCTCTCCAACGTCGAGCTACAGTCTACAAACAGAGTAGTGCCGCAGGACTGCTGCTACCATGTCGCGATCAGGGGCACGAGATTCCGGTACCGGGACGCGACCCAGTCATAGTTGTCGATGATGTGCGTGCACAGGCTGTCCCCCAGGACATGCAATATCCAACTTCGCTTCATGATGATCAAAGTAAGCTCCAGCAAAGCGAGGCCCTTATTGTCTTCACTTCAGGCACGACCGGCGAACCCAAAGGCGTCCCTATCAGTAACCGGGGATTGTTAGCTCTGCAGTCAAATCGCGAAGCCACCATGTTCAGTCAGCCTGGTCGGCGTATTGCCCAAGTCATGTCTCCTGCCTTTGACTATTGTGCTAACGAGATCTTGTCGGCTTTGCTGCACGGTGGGACTCTGGTTCTAAAAAACCCGAATGATTCCCTCGCACATCTGAGTCGAGTCGATGCTGCAACATTCACCCCTTCTATGATGGCGGTGTTGGATCCAGACCAGTACCCGAACCTGCGTATCGTGAGTCTTTTCCCTTTGCCACGCTGACGACTAGTAGCTTTGAAAAACAATCACTGACTTAGTTCCAATTGTAGATTTACGCAACGGGAGAGCCAGTCGCTCCAGGTTTAGTAGATCTATGGGCACCTGGAAGGTTGTTTTATAATGCATACGGACCCGCTGAAGTATGTATATTGGTATCCGGTTCACCATACTGACTAAATGCTGACGCCTGCTAGTGTTCAATCTGCACATCTTTCACGCGCTTGACACCAGGATCTGCTGTAACCATAGGGCGTCCTATTCGCACCGCGCGCATGTATCTGCTGGATGACAACCTTGACCAAATTGTCGAACCCGGCGTTGTGGGCGAAATTTTTCTTGCGGGTATACAGGTCATGCCGGGCTACATCAATGCACCGCAAAAGTCCGCACGATGCATTCTACCAGATCCCTGGCACAAGGGCGAGCGCATGTACCGCACTGGCGACTATGGTACATATACAGCGAACGGTTGCATTACGTATATTGGTCGAGTCGACCGTCAAATCAAGCTGCGTGGCTACCGCATCGAGTTGGCCGCTATCGAACAAAAGATATATCAATTGGACCCAAGCATCATGTTAGCGACGGTACTAGTTGCAAATGATACCTTGGTGGCTTTTGTAAAGCCTGCAGCAGTCAATATCGAAAGTCTTTCACAGCGATTGAAGGAGAATCTGCAGCCTACCTGGGTCCCGCACACCATCATTCCAATTGACGACATGCCTATGACGGCAAATGGTAAGGTCAACTCCAAGGCTCTTGAGGCCATGGCTGTGGATGCGAGAAAGCGAAGGGTCCCCAATACCAATGACAAGGGGAGTGTACTGGAAGACAATATACAACGACGTATCGCACAAGAGTGGAAGGCAGTCTTGAACATCGACAGAAACGAAGAGCCCTCTTCTTGTGAAGATTTCTTAAGTCTTGGTGGCCATTCTGTACTCCAGATGCTGCTTGCCGTAAGACTTTCCAAGATATTCGGCGTCGCAATATCGACCAGTGATGTGATTCGAAGTCCCACGATACGGGGCCAGGCAAGCATTATCCGGAGCAGAACCGGCAGTAAGTTGCATGAAGTCCAGCCACTAGGCAAGAACGAACTTTCGCCGCTAGAGGTGCAAATGTGGAGGTCACATCACGCCGCTACATCTGCAACAACATTCAACATACCGGTATTACTGCAGCTTTCCGGCTCGTTTGATCGATGCAAGTTTATCACCGCTCTGAACAATGTTCTGAGATCACGCGACATATTGCGCTCCAACTTCACCCCATCGGATTGTGGGCCGATACGTACTTTGAGATCTGTTCCCCCACGCGTTCTCGAAGTCAGAGTACTTGATATCTCTAGCGAGATCAATATTCCTTTCGACCTAGCGCACGACGAATTGATCCGTGTCTTGTTTCATCGTGAGAGCGATACATTACTGATAGTCGCAAGTCACGCCATTACTGACCTAAATAGTATTCAGAGCGTATTGCGCGAGACATCTTCTGTGTATGCGACAAATCTCTTACCAACCCCGCGCATGCGCTATCTTAATGCCCCAGGCTGGTCACGTCCCGTTCAAACCAGTGATATGACATTTTGGTCAAAGTACCTGAGCAATACGCCTCCACGTTTGGACACATTACTCAAACTTCCGGCCCCTTCACCCAAACATGTCTTCGAAGGGACTTCTCGGTTCCAAACCTTCCATGGCTCCCTCGTAAAAAAACTCACGAAGCTGCTTCCAGTCTACGGTATCACTCACCACCATCTCGCCATTACAGTCGCCGCACAAGCACTCCAATGGCTAACCGACACCAACGACGTCATTCTCGGGTGTCCCTTCCAAAACCGCGTTGGCGACTTGGAACAAGAGTCCGTGGGTCTGTTCCTCGACCGTCTGCCAGTTCGCATACAGACTCCATCTCCGACAACGACCACGAAAGACTTGCTAAGAGCGACTCGCGACACCAGTCAGCAGGCTATTGCCGCGGCTTTGCCATTCCGTAATATCCTCTCAGCTTTGGGGATAGAAGCGAACGATCCATTGTCTCCTTGCAGCCATCCCATCTTCCAAGCAATGGTCACTTTTCATCTCAAAGATGCCGTCGAATCATGCTTGAATATTCCTGGATGCGATGTTCGTCGTCCACCACCCATGGAATGCTGGGCGAGCGGCAGTAAATTCCTGTTGATGTTTGAATGGACGGAAATAAGCGCCGATACCTGGGTGCTCAGGATAGAGTATGATTGTCACAGAATTGAGCTGAAGATGATCCAGAAATTGGAGCGCGCAGTTGATAACATCTTATTAGGACTATCCGAAGGCAAAACTAGAGAGAGTATCTTTAAGATGTTATTGTAACGAACGGGTGTAGAAGTTGCAGCGGCCAAGGACGTTCAGCCACCGTCAACGTAATGAGTGAGATGGCCAGTGCACAGCGCCTCCTTAATAATAAGATAAGAAGTATTAATCCACGTTCTGTTATAAGCAATTAAGTTTACCTACATGCGTCTAGTCGCTCTGCCTAAATGCTTAGGTCTCTCTCTGACTTTGTTAATCGCTCCGCCTTACTCAATTCTTCGCCATTGCACAGTCCACGAACGGCCTCAAGAGCAATTTCTTTTGCACTTTTCATCTACTACTCGAAAGTATTTCCAAGGGGCCGTAATGCCGTTTAACTTGGAATTGGAAGCCAAGGCGGATTCTGTATGCAATCCTTTGAAATTCTCGTTTTAGTGAGTTGCCTTGGCTAACTCCTACGAGCAAGCTTTTGTTGGCGATTTCTGGAGCAAATGGGTACAAGACTATCTGTAATAAGTCACATTGCATACAATAGGTTTCGTTTTGTTTACCATGGATGGGATGCAGCACTACTGGGGGGGGGGGGGGGGGGGGGGAGGCAGCACAGATAACACAGCTCCTGCAACGCTTGAGGTTCTGGACGATCTAAGATTGCAACTAACGCGTTTAACTATCGACACCACAAACATGAATTAGTTGCAAAGCACTTTTCTAGATCGAAAATATTATCAAGTTTGAAATAAAGATAGTCAGTGTTGAATTGAGAATAGACTCAGATCTGAACATCTTCGTGCTCCGCAACCAAGACTTCCGTGCTCGTTCGCATCACAAGTGAACCCCATCCCAAACTACCAGGTGACTTCCACCAATTGTTAAAGGGGCAATATGACTCAATTCCCAATCGTCCAATGCTGACCATAACTCTGCCACGCTTCTAGCCCTCATTAGCATCCATCCGAAGTAACGTCGTTCACCCATTCCCGTATTCCGCGGAATATAGTCCTCAGCGCGGTAGTCGGCATCCACACATTTGATGATAGAATTATCAGGGTCTACTTCCGATAGAGCCTCGGCATCTATGAAGAGGAATGCCTGGTGCAACTTATAATCCGTGCTCATTAGTTAGCCGCCCTCACCACTATTGTATAGGTCGCGAAGTTGATCCACGTTGAGACTGGCCAAATCAGGGTCCGAGCGTGGGTCGAGACGAAAAAGCGACCATATCTATCAGAAGCCAGGGTCTTCTCCAGTCATTTTAGCCATTTCTACAACAATCTCGTACGCACTAGCGTGGATCTTTTGGAGAAGTCGCTCCCATTGCTAATCAGCTAAAGCTCCGTACCCTGTACGGTAGATAGTAAAGCTCTAGTTTTTATAACCGACAATCTCATTATTTGACTTAATCATCAGATTGTTAAGCCACGCTTCGAGAGAAGTAGTCATAGGGGCGCGAAGGAAAGTGTTCTGGGGCCAAGAGTCGTAAGGTAGCAAACAAGAGTAAGCTGATGTGGTATGGCGCGAACGTTCTAGAGTAGATAGCTCTGAATATGTACCAAGCCTTGGGCAGATATCGAAAAGTGTGTGTGTGCCGCTGCACAGACAATATTGCCAAGTCTCTTGGAAATATCTGTGTGTGTTTCGCGGATAGACACACGATATATCAAGGAGTAGATTTAATATAAATCATTAAGGAGTCTCCTTAGGGGCAGTTAAGACTGTATACTTCTATACACGTGACGGTGACTGTAATGTTCCGAAAGGTGCTCCATGGATACTTAAGAGTCGGTCTTTAGTTCAGAATATTGTGATAGTTAGTTTAACTAGTACAAGGTTAATTCTTCTAGTACCTAATCCTAGCAAGTTTGGGTGTAGCCTACTTTTCTTCTCTAAGATAATCGATCTGATACCCTATGTAACAAACAGATGTCAAGACAAGTTATAGATTCTGCTATCAATAGGCTACTGTGCAAATTTCCACCAATTGAAGTTAAAAAGGCTGCCGCTACCGCTTCCAGTGAAGTGTAGATACAAATCTTGAGTGCCCGTAGCGCCGCTAACAGGGCAGGTGACCGTGGCCCAGGTCTGCCAACCGCCCGTTCCAGAAACAGTACATGTGCCGACAAGGGTACCAGTCATACTACCTAGACGCAGCTCGATCTTGCCACCACTGGCCGCCGACGCGACTCTTGCACTGAAAGACTTGGCTCCGGTGCCAAACGAGACGCCCTTGACTTTGATATAATCTCCGTTGTTAATCGACGTTACATCAATTCCGCCTTCGCTGCAAACTTCGGTTTCTACGCCCGACTCCCAGGCGATCATTTCAGCCTCCTGTTGCACGTACGGATTTACGGTACCGATTTGGGGTGGGCCGCTCTTTGTCATTGTAAGGGTAGGGATGGTACCGTCGGCATTGTATACGAAGCGTTCTACGCATACCGATCGTGTGTAACCGCTCCCACCAGGAAGGGCACCATTGTGGTAGAAAAAGTATGAGTTGCCTTTGAAATCGACAACGCCAGGATGGTTTGTGAAGCTCGCACCCGCTGTTGCCATGACTAGTCCGCGATAGGTCCAGGGACCAGTGGGACTGGTGCTGGTGGAGTAACGAATGTCCTCGGAGCAGCAGTTGGCTGCGTAAATCATGTAGTAAAGTCCGCCACGCTTGTAGAACCATGGTCCTTCCTCATATGCAGTGGCCCTTGTACCCTTACTCCGAGGGCCAAATCCAGCAGTCGTGAGCTCAACTTTGTTGACACTTCCGCTATAGGATATCATGTCTTGATTTAGTTTTACATAGGAGAGACCTGGGTTTCCCCAGTATAGGTACGCCTGGCCATTGTCGTCTATGAAGACAGTTGGGTCGATCTCGTTGTTATCAACCAACGGCTTGCCGATCGCGTCGCGGTATGGTCCGGTGATGTTGTCGGCAACGCCTACGCCAATAGCCATGCTTCCAGTGGTGCGCCGCATTGGGGCATAGAAGTAGAACTTTCCGTTGCGTTGGATGATCTGTCCAGCCCATGCATTTGCATTAGTCCAGCTGAATGTTTTCAAACTCATTGGCGACCCATGATCCTGCCAATTTGCCATGTCCGCCGTCGAATAGAGGTGCCAATCCTTCATGTTGAATGTTGTAGATCCGTCTTCGTCGTGGCCAGTAACGACATAGACGCGGTCATTGTAGACAAGAGGTGCTGGGTCCGTAGTGTAGATCGTTTGGACGATAGGATTGTCGGCTCTCACTACCCCAACCCCGTTGAGTAGTGTTCCGACATACAGCACAGTGGGAAGCAAGGCAGCAAGGCCCTCAAGTAAGGTCCTAGGGTTTAAAACTGCCATGACGCGACGGAAAGTAGAGTGGCGATAGTGTTGTAAATCGAATTGGCAAGTCAAACCAAAAAGGGATTGACTCTAAAGAATCGAATACAACATACTCACACCTTCCTGTCCTATATATAGGACGGAATTTGATTACCTGCTACTCTAAAAAGTTCCTCCGTCGTGATATGAGACTAGCGCACTAGTTATGTTTGCACGTCCTCCAGACTAAGCAATGCATCGTTTCTTCCACTCGCAGGGTTCCTCTTGCGGTACTTGACGGTTTGAACGCTGATCGCCGTTGCCAAGAGATGCAAAGCATATTTTTTTTAAATGAAGCATTTTAATGACACTTGGGGTCGTTCTTGTGGTAGACGTGGAATGCAAACATGCGATAGTTTTCCCGGCGGGGCAACGCTCTCGAGGCAGTCCGTAGGTGGTAGCGTTTCAGGTATAGTTGCAATACGAACCCCGCAAATTTCGTGTGGACAGCCGAGATTGCAGCCCGACCATAGCTTTGATTTTCGGATACATAATTAAGCATAAATAATCCACAAATCATGATTTGCGGATGGAGGTGAAGACTACTCCGCACATACGACGTACAACACTCTCCCGTGTGGGGCAAAGCCAAGGTGTCCCTAAGTCGCAGCGTGATTCGGTCGGAAATTTATCGCATAGTTCCTACTACGTACCAGTAAGTCGAAGCGAACAACGTCAGGAGGCAGGATGTACACGTACCGAAAACTCACGTTTCGTACCGGCGCGAGGCCTGTCCAGAGTCACGGTTACTGACAATCAGTTGGCTATAAATGCCATTCATAGTAGTCTTACACAATCCTAATATTCTTAGTTCAATCCTTGAGTTCACCGTATGGGGTGTTTTGTACATGCGCTCGTGCATAAACAACCTGTGAGAGATCTGGAAAGATAAGTATAACAGGCCCGCATATCACGATTGTGAAACTCTCAGAGGGAAGGGTCTGTGTCCTAAGAAAAAAAAATCATTGACACCAATAGAAGCTTCGTCTACAAACTCAAGGCTGTTTCCTTGTACTCAGTACTTTAAGATAAATAGTAAGTAAGACAAAATCTACCTCACATTAGATTTTAGCCCAGTGTAGAGTATTCTTCTAGAAGAATATGTACTATATACAAGCTAGTACCCTAGCTACTCACACGTGTAGGAAGAAGCATTTGATGGGTCACAGCCTTTATAGATTGACATGGATGGGAATAGACACAAATCCCTATCCCAAATTTTCCCTTGAACAGTCGAGTTCGCTTGTAATGTTGCAGGCGCATTACCGCTCTCTACCCAATCGACTAACTGATCGAGTGCCCGTGAAGGAGCGGCGCCATTACCACCACTACAGTGTCCTACACCTGGCGCGGAGAAGAAGCGGTAGAAATCAGTGACATTAGCATCTATGGCACTAATACGCTCATAATAATTGATGGAACCGTTGATAAATGTAAGTGGGTCAGCGACTCCATGCCATGTTATATCTTGCCACCGTTCCGCTTGAAAAGTGGAAGGTCGGCGTCTTTGGTACCAATGATCGAATCATAACGATTGCCCGAGTTCTGCCAAGCTGCATCCCAAGTTTCCTGCGTAAGAGAGTATGGATCGAATGTCTTATTGCCTTTGACGAAGACCGAAATCCACGCAGAGGCGGTACCAAAGGGTGGGCCGGCACTAAGGGTACCAGAGGAGGTAACAGTGGTATTTGATGGTCTGCCTAGATGTGTCCCCGGAGATAATCCGTACCATTGGAATTTGCCATCAGCGTCGTGTGGACCTTCCCAGATCTTTTGTACGAGTGTGGCAGCATTGTTACTAACTGTACCAGAGACGCTGCCAGTACAATTGTATGGTTTACCAACTGCTGATATAGCGTCGAATTCGCACTGTCCCCACAGAGACACAATACCATCTTTCATTCCATCTAGCTCATCGCAAGCTTCCACAGCTGCCTCGGTAATAGCAGTGAGCTCGCATTGTGTTGGAATATAACCAAGTAGTTTCACAGCGAGCTGAGGCCAGAACTCTGCAGGAACGAACTGTACCCAGTTGATTGCTGGAGCTTCAGCCAGGATACCGTCATAGGCGTCTGGATATCGCTGCGCCATCATTAGGCCCTGTCTTCCACCAGTCGAGCAGCCATACCAGTACGACTTGGCAACATATTTATCATAATAACCTTCGGTGATCTTCTTGCCCATGGCCGTCATATCGTGAAGTGCAACGGAAGCAAAATTCTGGAGATTCTAGAGGTTGACATTGCTTGGACTGACGAGACCCCAAGTTGCAGGGGTAGCAGAGATTACATGTCCACCATCCGTAGCCACTGTCGCATACCCCTTAGAGATAGCGGGTTCCATACGTGACGGTTCACCCGTAGCATAGCCGCCACCCCCTACGCCCTGGAATCGACCATTCCACTTATCAGGCAATCCAAGCCATACTACGATGTGATTATCTTGTCCGAGATGGGCATAATTGATTGTGACATTACAAAACGTAGTAGATGTGGATCTCAAAGTTGCCTGAGTAGCTTTAATAGAGATAATCGAGGCTCCATAGACTTCTGGTGGGTCGATGGAGGTAGAGGAGCACTCTCTTTGAGAAGAAGAGGATCTGATAACTGCAAAGGCAGATACCGGTGGAATGATAATAGAAAGGACGTGGTATCGCATGATCATTCAGAAGGGCGTACAAAAGTGCATCCTAACATACCCCGAAACTTCTTTTACCGACAGTGTTCCATAAGGTATTTGGCTATAGATCATTTCCACCGGTGCTGTGGTATAAGTAGCCAATAGTTATCCGTATTCTCCACTATGCTTGATCGCATTAGATGCGCCCCTCGGCTCATTCCATCATGAAGAAGCGCAGCTTGGGTGTTAGGGGTATCTATCCCAGGGCCGGAACGCAGCTTCCGAGCCCATTTAGCGCGCATTTTACCCTTTTTCCGGTGCATCTTTGTTCGAGAGGCAGAACCGTGTGCAAGTTCCGCGCTGGACATACCCCTCACTTTCCCCACGCAACCTGGCGAAAAACCCACTTTTCGGCTCGGTCAGGAAAAGGACTTCGACTAGAAACAGCAAACTCTGAAAGATACAGCGAGCTTTCGCTGTGGGTGCCTGTATTAGAGAAAAAAATGTCGTATGACGATAGCGTAGATTGTAAAAGTATTATAAACTGTACAAAAATGATAAAATCAGGTGCTAGAACAGCAACAGCTGGTAGCTGTTATGAGACTGAATCATGGCGCAGTCAGGCTAGAGTTATGCCGCTTCTATACAGCAAGTATGCACGCCATTGTTGAGCAGCACGGCTCAACAAGCAACAATTCAATGATGCAAAGCAGCCAGCTTATCAAACCTAGTAATTGCATCACAGTACAAATAGTAAACACTGCATATCTCAATCATAGCTGTGGAGCTGCATATGCAAAGCTAGAATTCAGCTGTGTCGGTTTGTTGGGGATACATAGTGACATAAATATCAACCGGCCGGTAACAGAACATAGTGGCTGCACCGTCCATGGCCCAATGGCTTCGGCGAACAGGTTTACAAAACCCAAGCCAGATTTCCCAGCTTGCCTTATTCTTGCGCGTTTGCCTTGTGACCAATTCTTGGGCGCGCAACCCGCGATTCCACAGTAGCATTGGCTGGAAGGCCTGTTCTCTATTCAATCATTCGAACGAGCAGAAAAATTAATCATGGCGTCGTTGCTTCACCAGGTCGCCTTAAGCATTGGCCCTGAGGGGGTATTGCGCGTGGCCACAGCATCCGGACGATGGCGAAGTGGATTGGCGCCGCGAATGTCAGGTGACATCGAAGAGATCATCTCTAAGTATATACCATACATCATATCGGCGGAAGCTCACCAGTCAGGGGAAACATACCCGGTCTGTTTCCTTCATGCAATATGCAATGCGAGGTCGTGTTACGTGCTCGAGTTCGCGTGTGTGTTGCGGAGACGCTAAGTCGCGCGCGCTCACACCGTCGCTGCAACCCAATTCGCCCTGAATCAGCCGGAGGCAAAGCAGTATGTTAAATTCTGTCAACTATTCGAGGGAGAAACCCCTGTGCAGCTGAGAGGACGTAGTACATCTGCTGCAACTAGATCGCCAAGGTGTAACGAAAGAGAGTAGCTCCTCACATGTTAGTTCTATGCTGTTTGTCACTTGTCGTAACCACCGCTGCAGTACTAATTGCTCCGCCAATGAATTTTAACTTCATCAATCAACTTTCAAGAAAAAGACTTCGAAAATCTTCCCAGAGAGGCGACTTGGAGGAAATATGACAGTACCTTGAAAGTGTGACAACTTTGAAATTCAGCGGCTCATGTCCCGACGAGTGCACACTAACACACTAGCGCCTCAAGAACCTCAAGACATACTTCGGAGGACCTCGTGGGTTTTCGATCTGCCTATACTCGTAGATGTTTTCAAAGATAAGATTTCGCACCATGCAGCAGACTGCTTTTGTAGTCCATAAGTTAGTTGAGATAGCGATAGGGCTAGTTGACACACCTATCATTGTTGACCGTGAAGACTTCAAGAGCATCTACATCGCAGCCGTAATGGTCGCTGAAGATTTCGCGTAGGTAGCTAGAACGGCTAAGTCTCTCATTAGTTTAGAGCAGAACATATGGCTACATATCATTATGATTAGTAGTATTATCTAGGCCCTAGCATATACTTCCTTCTTCATTCTTTCTATATATTCATGCTATCTCTCTTTTTCGGTTGATAATCACTATATACTAATATATCTTCTATGATATACTATCTATAATGTTTTCAATGAACGATATGATTATGATTGAGTAAAAGGAAATACATTGTAGTTACATCTAGAAAGTTCTATGGAATTCCCTCTATATCAGAAGGCTGGTGCATCCCTATCGCTTGAGCAGCCCCTTCGATCGGCACAGACCAGGCAACTCTCCTCTCAATGAACTGCTCCACCTGTGGCCGTAACTTCGTTTCCGCCAAGGAGAGGTCATCGACAGTGCCAGTACGTAAGATAGTCATTCCAGGGAACCGAGCGCCACGGCGATACATAAGAGTTCCACATGTTTTGCAAAAGTAGTTCGTCATTCGCGCGTTGGCACGGATTGTTTCCGTCTCGCTGAAGGCGGTGAGGTTGTTCTCACCACGGATGTGTTTGAGATGCGAATCTGCCACGGTGATGTTGGATTGGTAGAAGGCGGATCCGATCTTGCGACAGTCGACACAATGGCAGACATGGCGGTTTAGGAGGCCAGGTTTCTGGAGAGGCTTTCAACGACATCAGCTTAGGGAACTTGGCGTAACAATGAGAGACATGACAAGGAGAAATCATAATTATCAGAGTTTTCAGAGTATCTAATGAAAAAAGACTTACTAAAACTAACTGCACAGATCCACAGAAGCAGGTGGCAGTAGCCTCGTCCTCGGTAGACCAACCGTCGTTCGAAAGGTTAACTATGGGGAAGCCGCGATCGTTGAAAGAATCCATGACTGCGTCTGGATTGTGATTGTTATTTCTCAGCTCTACGCCACAAGGCGGACAGGATGAAGCAAAAGAAAGGGCCAGTGGGGTAGGAATTCAATTTCGAGAAACATCAAGCTTATGTAGTGATCCGGGTTTAAAAATCTTTTCTACAGACGTACGTCCGACCTTTTGTAATCAATCGATTTTCTGCAAGGCGTAAATCTCGGATGTTCACGATCGTGTTGCCTAGCTCGCCTAGCTCGCCTACCTTTGGCTTTGAGAAGAATCGTGATCCGATTCGCTGTACCAATATCACCTGGTCCCTGTTTCCCTCATGCATGAAGATGTAATCAGCACAGAACCGCAATCGCGCGATCGTTGAGTGAACACAGATCCGAAGAGGCCGGTGCTGATTAATACCCATGCCTCAAGCACTAAGGTGTCAAGCAGTAGGTCCGGGTGGCATGCAGGCGGGCTGCATCGGGAGATTCGGATCATGCGTTGATAGGCCATGATTATAAAGAACGAGGCCAGACAGTCTCGTCTTAGTCTAGCTGCCGTAATTTGGTGTTAAGCTACCAACAGCAGATTAATAATCTCTACAACAGACCTGAGGCGGCAAACCTAAGGGTACTTAGCGTCATCGCTGTACTAGCGTTAGTACATAGGCCAGCTATCAAATTCTGACATAAGCACCAATATATGCAGAGCTCTGTGCCAGTAGTATCGGTAACGACTGCGCCGCCTAACTTTGAGGGTCACAAAGTGTAGGAGGGCATCAACACATGACGCGATTAAACAGTGATGAAACATAATTTCTAGGTTTTGTCCAAGTTTCTATGAGAGGCAGTTGTTATTTTAGTGCCTACAAGAGCGATCTCAGTAAGTTGGAGAAATAAAATATAGTTAACTGCTATGTTAATAGCTGGTCTGATGGCCGATAAGGTTTAGAAGAAGACCTCATGCGTCACACGTCTGCCTTGGTTTCACCTAATACGAGGTACGCCTGTGTGCTTTGTACTGCAAACTTCCATTCACCTCATTCTTCCAAGATCTCTCTAATATTCCGACTGACTAACAATAAGTGCCTGTCATGATAGCTAGGGGTCACGAGCGACATGTCAATGAGCATAAAGTTCCCGCCATGAAACACCGGTATGTTAATGATTGGTGTGTGCAGTGCTTATTTGAGTAAAGGCGAGAGATTTCCCCGTCATGTGTGCACTTCACCGTCCAAATCAAACAAAACGATGTGTCGCCTGTTTTCTTAAGACCTATAGAACCTTTGTTCGATACGCTTTATTGTATGATACCAATTTTATATAGATGCTTAACTATAATAAATCCGGCTCTACCATTCCTGTCTGCTCCAACAACCTTGTATAATGCTCTGTTCTCCGATGGTCGTCGAACGCGAAAACCCGGCCCTTCCCCTTCCTACATCTTGCTAGATCAATAGTCGCGTGCACGAGCTCATCTTCCTTCGTCTTCGCCTCGGCAATAATATGGCCGTTGGGATCGACGATACTTGACCCGCCAATGAGTGAGCCGTGATCTTCTATACCAGCTTTGGCAGAGTGAATACTGAAGCAGGCGTTTTGATAGCTGCCTGCCTGGCAGGAGAGACGGTGGTGGTGAAGAGCTTCTTGTTCTTGCCATTCGGGAGTGCCTTCGTATTGTGGGGCGAATGCTGTTGTGTTGTAGCCCTCCTGTGGATAGTAATAATTTAAGCAGTCGCCTACGCCAAAGGTAAAACAAAAGAAGAAATGGAGGCAAGACTTACTAGCAGCAGCTCAACACCCTGTAAACCGTAGCATCTCCATGCTTCGGCCCATCGACGATCATTGCACAAAAGCATTCCGATAATGGGATCGCCTTTCCCTTGGTTTTCCTTTGATACAGCGGCTGCATCAACGTCTTTGGCCTTCAACGCACCTTCCACCAAACCCGGCGCCCGGAAAGCCTGAAAACCCAGATCACCGACTGTGAAATACCGCTTCTCGAGCTGCTGAGCGAATCCTGGAGTCGTGAGTGGCTCTTTTCGTCCTGGAAGGTGCACCTTTCGGTACTTTGCTAAACACTTGCGCTGCGATGCCGAGTAGTATACCGCCGTATTGAAATCTGTCGTTTTGGCGTCGTCGACCCAGCGCTCGCCGAAGCCAAAGTAGAGGTCAATTACTAGCTCATTTGCGCGGTCGATGAGAGGCTTGGTATTTGGCGAGTTGACGAAGGCGTAGGGATCTGAGGGGGAGGCTCGCTCGAAGAATTTGGCAAGCTCCTCAGGATCTCTAATGATATAGGAAGCGAAGAACGTGGTAAAAGCTAGCTCGGGGTATACCAAAAGCTTGACGTTGTTCTCGGCGGCTTTTTCGAGCAGTGTGAGCATGCGGTGTAGAGTTTCTGTTCTAGGTGTTGAGAGGCTTTTGACTGGGCCCATCTGCGCTGCAGCAACAACCAACAGCCTCGGCTGGTCCGATCCTGTAGTCGAATTCATATTTCAGCATGATTTTGTGGTAAATTGTAGTTTTTTCTAAGATTTATTCCATAGTATTGGCCGCATGCCATGTATTGATGATACTTGACATGGTCGGGCAAAGCCGATCGCTCGGCCGAGTTGCGATACCGGCACGGATGTGATGGCGGGGCACCTCATCATTTGATCTTATCAAACGTCCCCTCTTTGAACCCGGGGCGTGCCGATCGAACCCACCTTAGGTAGGCGGCTACAGATGCAAGTCATGAACGGATGCGTACTGATAAGCGGCATCGAGACAGGGTAGTCGTTTTTCGTCCATGGAGGGCTTCACTTTTCCGACATCGATCACAAGAGAGTCTAGTCACTCAACTTTCTGCTTCTGTGCCAGCGAATCATACTGATAACCTCAAGCATGGAAATTTACCATCTGCTTTCCTTTGTATCATTATAGGGTGTATTGTCGTTATAGGAAGGACCCCATCCCCTACATTCGTGCTCTTTCAGGAAGTAGATCGACGGCATATCGCGCCAAACCCCTACAAGAAAATGTGTGAGTACTTTAGTAAAGTTTAAATGTATGAGTTGAACACACCACGATGCTTGGAAGCCCACTCCGCCTGCCCCATAATTGTGAACGACCACCTTGCCATCCCGCATCTCTAATTCTACCCGTGGCCCACCTTCTCTTGCGGCTGTCTAAAGTTAGTGCCGTTGATTATATACCCAGTATATTTCACGTACGACGAAGTCCAACTCCGTGCTTGATAATTCTCAAGTCCTCTGGCTTCCCCAGTTCTGGTGCAAGTGAGCAGCATCGCCTCTTGATGACCTCAGCAAACGCAAGATCCACTTCACCACTCCAGTTGTTCTTCTGGCGACATCCACCCAGGATCACTCCGCCGTTCTCTCCCCTAGGGAAGATATGTGTGGCTTCGCCAGCACGATGTGGAGCGCGGAAATACATGTTTTTTATCGGCTTCTCCGGGCCTTCTACTAAAAGGATTTGACCCTATATTCACATCGCAGTGAGACTCTGTAGTTAGGGCATGATATGAAGCAGGACTTACCCGAGCAGGATACATAGTATTGTCTTCTACGCCTCCTAAAGTCATTGCCCCTAGGCCAGTGCAGTTGAAGACGGCTGTAGCTTGAGGGTAACGCTTGAACGCATTGTCGATGGAGCCGAAGATACGTCGATGTATTTCGATATTGAGGCGGGTAGCTTCGGTCTGCAACCTGAAAGAAGATTATTTCCAGTGTTTTAGAGACTGGCGTTGGTGAACCAGGAGTGAAAACAGTTAAAATCATTACTTACCATGGTAGATATCTCTGCACATCAATTACAAAACTCGCCATCTCGAATCCGAATTCCGTTCCCTTCGGTAGCTCATCTTTCCCAATCTCTATTAACCCACCTACCAGATCCTCGAACCACAGCTTCCCAGTTGCTGGAGTCAATATTCCGGCTTCCTCGATGGGAACTTCATAGTGCCATTTGATCTGCATGGGCTTTATGCCGCATTCCGGTCTTTTTGAGCAAAGGTTCTTAAACTTGCGGTACGTGATTGCTTCATAATCCTGTTGGGGGCCGTTGTCTGTAGCAGCAGGGAACCAGTTCGCGCCCCCCCATGCAGATGCGTAGTCTGGTGCGCTGTCGCCAGGGAGATATTTTGCTGCTATTACGATTTTAGCTGAGGGGTACCGATGCCGAAGCTCCAGGGCTGTCGTGAGGCCGACGACTCCAGCTCCGATAACGAGAAAGAAAGCTAATATTCGGAGCAGAGAGGGGATGAATTAGCGTGTTGCACTGAACTAGTATCTAGCGGCGCTTGACCTACGCATAGATGATGTCGATGAATGTTGATCTGACAAAAATGGCGAATGACAATCTAGAGACGATCTGAATAAGCTAGTATGATGGAACTAGCGATGCGATTTTATTCTTACCTGAATGTAACTCTGCTTATAGCCGTTCTGATACCTGGTCCGTCATCGGCGATTCCTCCGCCCCACCCTTGCATGAGCAAGGAGAGGCAATGTCCGGCGCCAAGATATGGGCGAAATCAAACTGGATGACAAGAATATCTCCGCCTTCACTGGCAGTCGCCGACAGGATGCCTTTAGAGACATATCAAAAATAGGTCACGTTATAGTGATTTTTCATGCCGCCAAAGACATGGGGTCTTTGTGGTATATGTATTTAGTTTATTTGCTAATACGATTGACAGGTGGTCTCAATGGCTGTCCTGTTGCAAAAAATTCCTCGATATTGTCCAAATTTATTCTCTCAAATTCGCTCCAGCTACTCTTCGAGCAGACGCCGATATGTGGCAGCAGAGCAACTTTCCAATTATTCTTGAGTTTGGGACTGACCTCAGGCTCGCTTGCGTGAACATCAAGTCCAGCCCCGGGGACGCGCCCAGACTCTAGAGCCTCTATCAAGGCGTCCTCATCAATCATTGCACCTCTCGCAATATTCACGACCCGTAGACCTTCCTTCTTTGCGAGGGAAAACTGCTTGTGCGACAGCAAATGATGAGTTTCCTTGGTGTAAGGTGCAGCAAGGACGATACAATCGATCTCGGGAATCATGTCCTCAACGGTTGAATGGTATACGGCCCCATGACTCAACAACTTCTCGACTGCGGGCTTAGGTCTTGGGCCTTGATAATGAATCTTCATACCAAACGCAGCTTCACATTTCTGAGCCACGGCCAGACCAATGTCTCCAAGTCCTACGATACCCAAAGTCTTGTTGGTAGGATCGACAGCTATGGGGCCCAGCTCTCGACTCTTCATCCAATCATACCTCGCGCACCATTGCGCGAAGGACAGAAAGCGGAATGAGTCGATGATGAGAGACAGGGTAGCTGTAGCAACAGCTTCGGTGCATGCGTTTGGCGTATTGCAGTACATAATTCCCCGAGCGGTTAATCCATCGATATCTGCGGCGTCGTACCCGTGGCCACTGCATGCGATGAGCTTCAGCGATTTAGGGAAGCAGGCCACGACATCAGCAGTAAAAAGACGTTGGTCCGCTAGAGGGCCAGCTTTGTGCCAGCCATTGCGCATCACGGCCACAATATTGGCATAAGGGCCCCCTGGCTTCATCCGCTTTTTGAATTCATCAACCGTAGGGCAATCATAATATAGCAAATTGACCTTATTGGACAATTCTTGACGGCGAGCGACGTCGACCTCCTGGACGGTTGAATCGATTATGAGCAAGTCTGGTTTCCCACTCATGTTGATTGCTTCTGCCGAATAGCACTTCCGTAAGTCAGCGATATGGAAGGATTGGTAGGCGGCCATTAAGAAATCCCGTCAACCACCCAAAAGACATGGGGGTGAGCATGGTCAGAGTATGAGTGGAGACGCACGATTGATCTTCAATCAAATTATTTGGGTAATGGATGGAGATAAGTACATCGATGAAAGGACAATTTGTTGTTAGGTGTGCACCGATAACATATAAGCCGATGTCCATGCCGATGCCAAGGCCAACCAGGGTACGTAGCGAACGGCCGAGATAACAGCCGGAAAGGGTTGTGTAATAGCCAACCGTCAGAAGCAGCATTGGGAGATGGCGAGGACGATGATACCCAAAGCCTACCTCCAACGCAACATGATGGAGCTTGCTGTTCATTCATACCGAGCACACAGGTCTCACTTCAACCATGTCTCAACAGCAATATGATTGCGTCATCACGAATGGCATTCTCGTATGTACCGTCCCCTTTCAGAATGCCTGGTCGCCTGGACCACTGATGCATGAAAATGATTCAAGGTGACTGCAAACGAAATTCTCCCCGCTGGTCTAGACATTGGCATCAAAGATGGCAAAATTGCTGCACTTGGATATAACCTGGCAATGGGACAAATCGATGCCAAAGTGATAGATGCCGAAAGTGCCTACATCACCCCAGGCGGAATAGATTCACATGCGCACATTCAACAAGACAATATGCCAACCGGCGACACCTGGGAGAGTGCCTCGCGGAGTGCCATTGCAGGCGGAACAACTACCGTTCTCGCTTTTGCCGGCCAGAAACGTCATGAAACCTCGGTACTGGACGTCGTGCAGCAATATCACGCCAAGGCAAATGGCCAGGTGTATTGCGACTACGGATTTCACCTTGTCGTCACAAATCCTACCCAGGAAATCCTCGAAGACCAGATGCCAAAGTTGGTCGATGAAGGGATTACTTCTGTCAAACTGTACATGACATACGAGCCATACAAACTTAATGATGGCGAATTGCTCGATGTCATGCTCTCTTGCCGTAGTTTGGGTATGACCACCATGATACATGCGGAAAACTCGGATATGATCGCCATGGTCATCAAGCGTCTTGAAGCAAAAGGCAACACAGATCCTTTCTTCCACGCAGTCGCAAGACCGCGCCTTGCGGAGGACGAGGCATCGTACCGGGCTATCTCACTCGCTGAACTCGTCGATGCCCCTATTCTTCTAGTACACATGTCTTCCGAATCGGCCCTTGAGCATGTTATGGCTGCGCAAGCGCGCCTCCTGCCAGTTCATGCCGAGACATGTCCTCACTACCTGTTTCTTCTTTCCGAAGAGATCAAGCAATGCCACAACGGTGACCATTCTCACGGCACTAAGTTCATCTGTGCACCGCCTTTGCGCCACCATCCGTCGGATCTTGAGGGGTTGTGGCGCGGCCTCGCTAACGGAGCGTTCACTGTCTGGTCTTCGGACCATGCCGCGACAAAGTACGACCACCCTCTAGGCAAAAAGGCCGGCATCGTGGACGGTGTTGTTCGATTTTCCAAGGTACCCAATGGCTTACCGGGCCTGGAGACGAGGATGGCATTACTATTCAACCAGTCGGAAGCGTGTTTACCACCCGAAAAGGCACGAATCACTCTGCCACAGTTTGTGAAACTCACAGCAAGCAATGCTGCCAAGCTGTATGGAATGGATGACAGAAAGGGGACTTTGATGGTAGGATTCGATGCGGATTTGGTCATATGGTATCCACCTGGGGATCCGAGAGGTACTGTGACTATCACCCAAGGAAAACTCCATCATGGCGTCGACTACACACCATTTGAAGGTCTCTCTGTTCAGAACTGGCCGAGATACACGATTCTCAGAGGCAACGTTGTGTGGCAACATGACGGCGCTGGTATTGTCGGAGCAAAGGGTGTTGGGCAGTTCTTGCGTCGGAACAAGGGAAAAGTTGTCACAGGCAGAATGGGCCAGCAAGGAAGAGGTATGATACCAGGAGAACGAGATTTCTGGTTGTGAATAGTACTGTATATTGAGTGGTTTTCACATCGATGATGGTGAAATGGTTGGTGCCTGTATGAATTTGATGTGGGCATATCTTGTAGTTATGTTGATCAAACGTTCTACATCCCATTTCGCTTTTTTTTCATTTGAGCAAGTTGCTAGCTAATGCTTAAGCATTATTGATTTTGATGTCAGTAATCGTATCGAGTGCAGTCGGGCTCGGCTGTCTGATTTGGCTCCGATGATATGGTGTGGGGAAGGAGTTGTGGCACTTAGCTTAGTCGCTGAACAGAAACCGACTCCTCGCTCGCCATGTCTTTAATTCCTTGTCAATCAACAACGAAACAAAATAAACGGTAGCCACACTACATCATAGACCAAAGGACCACACCAGGATGGATGTGACTATCACAGATTTACCATCAGTATCGGGTACTCAACAAACTCCAATCTCTATCCTCTTGATCAATCCAAATTCATCTCCTCACATCACCAACGCCTGCCTGCAAAACATCTCGAGCAAGATCCCCCCAGGCGTAACAGTCTATGGCTTCACCGCACCCCCACCAGCTCCCAGCGCGATTGAAGGCCGCGTCGACGGAATCCTCTCCTCTGCCGAGTGCCTGCGCAGAATCGTACCTATTAAACATCGCTTTGACGCCTTCCTCGTTGCCTGCTTCAGCAATCACCCACTTATTACGGCCTTGCGCGAAGAAGTTGAAGCACCCGTCCTCGGCATCATGGAATCAGCTCTATACGCAGCCCGCATGTGCGGCAACAAGCTTGGTGTCATAACTACCAGCGAGCGCTCCGAGATCCTGCACGCGCAGACCATCTTCGACGCCGGGTTCGCCAACTATTCTGCTGGATGTGTCGCGTGCAAGATCTCGGTACTCGACCTCGAAAACAAGCCAAAACAAGAGGTGTTTGCGGGTGTGACGCGCGCGGCAAGGGAGCTTGTAGAGGGCAGGAAGGCGGATTGTCTGCTGCTTGGGTGCGCGGGCATGACAGGCGCGAAGGAAGCCTGCGAAGACGCCGTCGGCACTAAGCAGAGGCAGGTCATGGTTGTGGATGGCGTGGCCGTTGGCGTGCAGTTTTTGATCGGCTTGGTGAGGGAGGGGTTGGGGACAGCAAAAGGCGGGGCATATCGGCCGGCGGAAGCGGGGCGCAAAGCAAGGGGCCAGGAGTGGTATTGAGCGAAAAACGGACTGGCTCTCGATGGGTGGTCAGTATCCGCACCGGATAATGAGGGCACATTGTCTTCTGGATAGTATACCCTAGTAGAGCCTCCGTATCTTTATCGATACTTTCTGCCCTAACTGAGGGAAAAAGTTGAACCGCTGTCTCCCTCATGTTGATGGAATTTCGTTCAACACGTTGCGAATCATGTCGGCCAAGGTCAAACTGTCAAGAATCTATAATGCTTCGATTGTCCGTTTCGGTTTCTTTCTCAATTGTTAAAGTGCCTTGAGCTTTGCAGATGAGTGATCGTCAAAACACTTACCTCCTTTCCGGAAGAGCTCCGACCCCGCACTTTATCTCGGGCGATGATGAGGGTATCATGGCAGTCTACTGATTAGTCGCCCTTTACGACTTAGCTACCTAAATGAGTCTAGCCCAAGAGGCAATGAGTGTTACGGCATCAGTAGCTGTGTTGTAGTTACCCTTCGACCATGAATGCCCATTGAGATTATTTCAAGCTCATACACGGTATTTTCCCAAGTTTTGCCTCGTGATGATGTCCCAGGAGGCGAGATAATCCCTCACATCGCATGCAAATTCCTATATATATTCTATCGATGCCCTGTAGAGCCATCCCTAATGTGAAGAAAACTTGATGGAGTTTGTTTTTACGTTCATATTAAAGCAAGATCCCTTTGGTCTTTTCCTACAAGTAGTTGTCATTGACATCCGCACTATCAATCGTTGGATTTACCTTATCTCCTTTATCACAAGTGACCATAGTGTGCTTACAAGTCCTGCCAGCCAAGTTTTATGAAAGCCAAGCTTTCGATCAAATATCCGCACTAGAGGTATCTCGTCGAGATAAGGACTCATGTACCTGAACCTAGTACATAGTACGCAATAAGTCCTTTCCCCGTATCCTAGGCCGAAACAAGGAGACTCATCGCTCGATAAATACTGTGAGATCACCTCCTAGCCATATAAGGCACCTGTTAGACAAGTTCAGATCCGACAAAACAGTCTTGCTCAATCTCGGCCCATGATGTATGCACCTATGTCCCAGACTCCAGACACAATCAGCGACACCAAAACGAAGGACCATGAGGCCACCCAAAATCACATCATGCTCGTCGACACCATACAGCACGGCGACGTGGAAAACTTGAAGCTACCCGTCATGGACAAAGTGGATAAGTTCGGTGCACATGCGAAGACAGACCCTCGAGAGATAAAGCTCGTGAGGAAACTGGATTACTACATCATGGTAAGTTGCAAAACTAGTTCAAGGTCGACGGATAATCTAATAAGTTAACCTTTTGCTCAGCCTATTCTATGGTTCATGTACACATTCAATTACCTGGATCGCAACGCTATCGTCAACGCGAGACTCAACAACCTTGAGGCAGATCTTGGGTTACAGGGAACACAATACAATACTTGCGTGTCTATTTTATTCGTCGGTTATATGTAAGTTGACCTCCTGTTCATCCAGTATTGCATGCACAGTACTGATCAACTGTCAACGATTAGAGCTGCACAAGTGCCGTGCAACATGTTATTGAATAGGTTCCGAATTTCCCTCGTTATGGCAGGTTTTGGTTTTGCCTGGTCGCTTGTCAGTCTTTTGACATTCTTGGCACACGACTACAGCAGTATGATGGTCCTTCGCTTCATTCTTGGTATTGTCGAGGCTCCAGTAGGTCTCCGCCTGTGTTCATCTTGCGGATTTAGCAATATGATTAACGTTTACTTCTAGTTTTACCCTGGGGCACTATATATCATCAGTTTGTTCTATACGCGCAAGGAGATCGCTTTCAGACTCGCTATCCTAACCACTGGTAATAATTTCTCTGGATCTTTCGCAGGCCTCATCGCAGCAGGCGTCTTTCAGCTGGATAAGAAGCTTGGATTGACTGGTTGGCAGTGGTATGTCCGCCTGCACATCCCTCAACACTGCATTCCTTCTTGATGGTTAATTGGACGACAGGCTATTTATCATCCAGGGTGTTTTTTCGGCACTTACCGCTCTCATGGCCTTCTGGCTTCTTCCCGATAACCCCTTGACCACCAAATGGCTGACCGAAGAAGAGAGGCAACTCGCCCACAACCGTATCCTCATCGACACAACTGATATACAAGAAAGCACCAGCGTCTGGTCCGGTCTCCGATACGCAGCTACTGACTGGCGTACCTGGGCGATGACTCTGATGTACAACTTGCATGTTTCCTCGCTTGGATTCCAGAACTTTATCCCCACCGTCATGCTGGGCCTCGGATATAGCCGGAATGTAACACTTGCCTTAACGTGCCCACCTTTCTTTCTCGCTGCCATCATTGGACTTATCATCTCCTGGACGTCGGGTCGCTGGAACGAGCGTACTTGGCATATCGTGATATGCAAAGGCATCGTAATAATTGGCTTCATTATTCCCCTCGCCACCAGCAACTTTGCCGCGCGCCTATTCAGCATCTTCCTCTTTGTGGGCTTCAGTTTCGGCATTAACAATATCCTGTTGGGGTGGAGCAGCGCAACTCTTGGCCAGACCAATGAAAAGAAATCGGTGGCGCTTGCCATTATCAATATGCTGGGTAACTTATCAAATGTGTACACTCCTTACCTGTGGCCCGCGTCGGATTCGCCGCATTACAGGACCGCGTGGTGTGCAAGTATTAGCTTCGCAGTCGGAGTGATTGTCGTAGCGCTGTTCATGAAGTACTCTCTCAAGGCTCGAAACAAGAGGATACTGATGAACAATGCGGAGGTGAAGAACCTCTATGTATATTAGCGAAATTGTATTCAATTGTCCCTCGTTGCGAAACACAGCTTAGAAGGTTTAGGTGCAATACGGTCAGGGCTTTGCGACCCTTTTAGGTAAACGTCCACTCCGAACACAATAATGCACAACTTACCATTGTGTACTGCGGGTTGGCACATACAACGGAGCATGCTGAGGTCCCTAGCGAAGTAACAAATTCTGGATCATTCAATTTCCGATACTAAGATTAACCTCCCCACATTATACTATTCGACAGTTATTCGTGTGCTCTTCTATCAATGATTTTCCACAATTCTTTGCGACTTTCTACTAAACAGCTATGTACTATCAAGAGTTCTTCAAGATGCTTGAAAACTGTTTTATAAGCATTTATTAAGGATTAAGGGTATAAGCGAAAGTAAGAAAGACGCGCTTGTCTCCTTTTGTGGGTAAAATACTCCCAAATTTGGACTAGTATATTCTAAGCTGACTGTAGAAAGTCCTTAATAGACCTGGTTGTGATCCCAGCATGTTCCCGTCGTATGTGCCAACCCGCACCATGAATAGTGCAGTTAATGACATATGGAAAATATGCCCTCTTTGCTATCCTGCATAGAGTTTGAAACAACAGAAATAAGACCGAAGAAGCACGAACAAGCTAGGAAGAGTGCGTATCATTGGCTTGATATGAGATTAAACTCCAGGTTTTAAGCACTTGCCACTTGATAGTGAGATCCGGATCGTCCGGAAAAGCGCCATTTATCTACACGGCACGAAAATGTATTAGTGAAGGTGCGATTCATTTCATCAGTGCCGCCTGCTGTTTCCAAACATTTACAATAGCGGTATAAGAACTCGTATTGATCTGAACGGATTTGAACTCACGATGTGCCTCAATCTGTTTACCGAATCATCTATACAACGATATCTCACATCCTGTCGAAACGCAGCGGCCGCTTGGCAATAGCAGAGAAGATGGTGGCACTTCGCACCAGCCTTCACGCCACTGTTGCAGCTCTCATACTGGTGTCCTCGCACGCAATCAGCACTGCACTGGAAGACCGTAGGACGAATAGCGACGGTGATTTTCGTCCGCGTGCCGATGTCCCAACGCTCAATTGGACGTTCAAGAGCAGCTCAAAAAGCTTGGAATTCCGGTCAATGGGTTCCAAATCCATCTCAAAACTACCCGTGAGCCCAGTCTCGGCTCTAGCCCAGATAACCAGGTTGTTAAGCGCAACGCCCGCGTTGGAATATCGCCGCTAGAAGCAATTCAATTCCAGGCTTTCTATGGAATCGATGCACAGGTTGGCGGAAAAACTTCTCGGATGTTGGTTGACACTGGCGCAGTGCTGACTTATGGGCTACCGTCGGAAAACGTCACTTGGGTCGATCGCAATTTGAAGTAGGTGCCTCAGTCACAATGCAACTCCACCGAGTTCACACCATCTACATATTCTGGTGGGCAGATTCCGGATCGGCACTTTAACATCACGTATGGCAACGGTGATATCTATCAGGGGTCCGCTGGCTATGAACCAGTCTCTATCGGGGGTTTGACTGTGAAAAAACAAACAGCAACTAGTCAAAGTTGACATTGCCCATCGAGAGGTCGCACCTGCGGGCAATTGGAACGGAATTTTCGGCCTTATATTCCCCAAACTCACCAACGTCTATCCAGGATTAGATCCAAGCAAGGACAGCATCTCCTATCCTAATCCTCACAACCCAATTCCATACAACCCATGAATGCTTGGCGCTTTTGAGGCCGGTGTCATCGACAAGCCGGTTTTTCACACTTCTCCTTGAGCCCCAGAGGATACAAACTACCGTGTCGCAATTACTTCTGGGATTTTGTGCCAGACGGCATGAAAAATCGGTGACCAATTCATCCCGTGGCAAGAACGATCCAGTTCCGACAATGGCCCGCGGGCCTATACTGTATATTCCGGCAATTCTTACTCGTATCTTCCACAATCAACCATGGATGCATGGCTGAAGACATTCAATCCGCCTAGTATCACTAACAGTCAAGGCTCCTACGGACCATGCAATGCCACGTTTAGCTCTGTAGCTATTTGGATCGGCGGAAAGGATATCCCATTCGCGAATTCATCTTTGCTGCTATAGCTGCTATACGGAGCAGTTGACGGCATACTAGAATATTGTTGGACAGGAATTCAACCGCGGGGTTATTTTCTAGGATGAACATTCCTGTCAAGTGTAGCGGCGACACTCGATATGACTCCAGGCTCTGAGGGAATGGTGTTCAGCACTTTAGCCAAGGTAATATTATTCTAAGCGAATTCGGCTCATATCCTGACACTGTTATTTTGTTACTTTCTTCTTTGTCTATTGTGTTCAAGATGGATCGTTTCAGCGCTAAGATCTTATACAATATTCACCCTTAGTAAGGAGACTCTTAAGTCAAGTCACTTATAATTCTGCATATGTTGTGTATTGCAGGCCAGTGCAAGTATATCGGTGAAGTCGAAATCAAGACATTGGCCAGTAATTCCTCTAATCCGAGGTGTGCATGGCAGATTCCCAAGGGCTGTTCTTGGCTGGGTACACATACCATTAGAGTATCACGACACTAGCACAGGCACAGGCAAAGTAGCGAATCACTCTATACCCTAACAGCGTAGTGGCATAAACGGTCAAGCCAACCGGTTTTTAGCGTCATGGCAAATTCGCCTATGTGGTAAAGTCGTCCATCGTTAGGGTCGGGGCGGAGCAATCATTGCGCCGTCCCGACCGTTGCACTTTCCTTATCATCACGGCATCAAGTGAGATATCAACATGGAGCGTTGTGGTAAAGATATGTGACTATTCGGGTTGCCAATAAAGTACTCTAGTTAGACTTCAACACTATGTGACGGAAGGTCTCACTGCTGCGGCGTAGATAGGAAGCAGCCCTCGTTTTCGACGCCAAGTCCGGCTTTTGCTCCGGCATGGATTTGGCGGCTGTTGAACACGCGCTCTGACTTCAAGCCAACATTCCACTCTGAAAGAAGCAAATGCGTCAGCCATTTCCGCTTTTGTCAGGAGGTTGAAGAAGAAACTGTGAGCGAGTCTGTAAAGATGGTCCGAGATCTGGGCCGAAATATTCATCCGCCGTCTGCATACGGGCGATACTTCTATTCTGAGCCTTGACTATTATATTTTCGGTGTTGTATCGATATTCCGTAATTTGTGCCTCACGGTGTGTGATCTGTTGCAAGATGGATGCACATCCGGAATTGTTTCCATTTGGCAAGCTTCACGAGGAAGATGGATATTGTGGGTTGACCATATTTGGCAACATTAGAGATTCAGCGCTGAGGCAGTGGGGTTCCCGAATATCGATAGACATGGTGGACTCTGATTGCGTTCGTGGTTTGACTTTCACACTACGGTTATCCGGATTTCAGCCAAACTAGCTGTTCAAACTTCGGTAGCGTCATAACAAAGTCTTTGACATTTCAAGTTGTCAAATCTATCATGATGACTTTGTTCCAGCTTCCGGCATATCCACTGGAATTCATTACATATAGAGTTGCCTTTGCAAGTAACTCCTGTGGTGGACTCACTATCTAGGTCTCGCTCATACCCTCCGCCTCTTCCTCATCAGACGCGGCGGCGTGTGAACTGTCCACCAAATGTCATCCAGCCCGTCGTCGTCATGGCCCGGCTCCTCAACCACCTCCCCTTGCCTCTCTTCTCCCGTCGTCGTGACATGCTCTTCAGCCACCGTCGCGCCCCGAACGAACCTCGTCATCTGGCCCAGCGGCATCATCTGCTCCGCGACGACGCACCAAAGCTCGTCCACCAGCACCTCGGCGGCCGCTTTGAAAACGGGCTTGAACCAGCTTCTTTCCCCACCGCCAACCTTGGTTTCTTCTTCCTCTTCGTCGTCGTCCTCGACGATCCCCTGCTCCGTCTCCGCGGCCGCGACCAGCAGGAACGGGACGTCGCCGAATCGCCAACGCGACTTCCCCTCGTGCGCCTCCTTTACTTTCGCCGGCGACGTCCGCAGCACCGAGGCCATGGCGGCGGGTGATGCGCAGAGGAAGACGGGCAGATCAAGACCCATCGGGAGGTCGCCAGACTCGCGCATGGCACGATAACTGGCGCGCGCCTTGTCAACCCAGTCTCGTCCCGTCCCCGCCTCTCCCTTTCCTTCCTCGCCCTTGTCGTCCACCTCGACCCAGCGGATCTCGAACAAGCGTCGCGCCTCGGCGATCTCCTCGACCGGCTGCCCTTCCTCCTGTAACGCCTTCTGGATCGGAATCTCCGCCATCTCCCGTGCATGTGTGTGGAATTTAGCCACGTCCGACTCCGACATGGTGGCGACAGCACTGGAAGTATAGAAGGCGACGAAGCCCCAGGCCCCGCCGCCCGCCCGTTTGCGCCAAGTCTTGAGCCAGTCGGGGGGAGGTGGCGGAGGCCGTCGCTGCTGCTGCTGCTGCTGCTTCTGCGCAGACGACGATGATGGCGCGGCGGCGACAGAAGAAGAAGACTCTTTCTCGAGCTTCATGCGGCGTAGCTGCTCCTGCCACACGACGCGGGCCATCTCCATAACGCCGTCCTCGCCGAGCGCTTCGCGGAAGCCGGCCTGCATCTTGGCACGCTCCTCGTCAGACAGCGCGGCGTTGTCCGCGGGCGTGGCGTGGGCATACCGCTGGAAGTTCCAGCCGGGCGGCCAGTAGGTGCTGGCGGCGTCAGTATAGGAGGTGAACAAGCTGGACGGTTTCGACATGGCTCTGGGTCCGAGGCGGGGTGGATGAGGTAAGTAGTAAGTTGGGAGGGTGCACCGCTTAGGCGAGATTGATCGAGTGCAGAGACCAGGGGTGTAGACGGGCTTTTAGTACCAGGTACCTAAAGTCTCCGGGCATGTGGCTCATTTAGGAAGGTAATTTCGTGATGCGCCACTTTGCAGCGCTTAGTATGCACAGTGTAAGCGGGTACCTTTTTTTTCTGCAGGGGAAGACGTGCATCAAGCCTACTTACCGCGAGTGCAGGCAGTCTAGGCCTTGATAGTGTTAGGGCTAACGTCTGTCATCAAACGTCGAGATGTCACCGAGATACCCCGCCGAGAGCAAAATGTCACACGCGAAGGAGTAAAAGCAAAAAAAAAGAAGAGATTTTTGAGTGAGAGAGATTGTTGTATGATTAACTTGCAATTGACAGCGTTGCTAATTGTACTGGCCTGCATTGAAGGCGGGGACTTAGCCACGGCCAATTGCATGTAGTCCTGTAGTTATTGCATGAGAGCACCCAAGCAAGACAGAGCCGTCAAACGCCCCAGTCCACGATTGAAAGTACTAAAGAGTATGTACAGGCACTACCGACTTCCAGTCTTCTTATTTTGAAGGCGATCCCAGTCCCATCTGTGCTCTCAGCCTAGGCGAGTTCACCCCAGGCCATCCGACGGGCACGCCACCTGGCGCGTTGCCTGCAGCAGGCGCCCGTGTCTGGACCGGGCCTCGGGGTCGCAGTGGAGCCAGCGACGAGGCACGCGTGCCGTCGTTGTCGCTACTGGGCGCCGGAGTCGAGCGGGCGGCGAAAGCGCCACTGGCTATGGTGCCCCCGTTCACGCAGTACGCGACGTCGAGCAGGAGGTTGGAGCAGTCGTCCTTCAAAGCCTGCACGCGGAAAAGGGTCATGGGTTAGCTCTCTTGAACACTATTGGGGACAGTAAAATGAAAATCGGCGTACCGGGTTCCATGTTTGCAACTGCGCGAAGGTGATGCCGAATTGGTCCTGGACCTTTCCACAGTAGTCTCCCGATTGGATAACATACCATCTGGGATGACAAGTTAGAATCCAGCCCTAGGTATGCGAGCAATGCACTGATGCGGCCTTGCAAAATGCAAACTTACTCGTAGCACTCGCTGATGGTGCCGGGAGGTGTAGACGTCGGGGCCGGGACGGGTTGGGACGTGTCGGTCGTGTTCCAGTCGCTGGTCGGCTGCACGCAGTAGTTGAAGCCCGAGAGAAGGTTACCGCACGCGTCGTTGATCTGTATCATCGTCCGGCTTAGTAAACAACTTTGCTCCTCAAGATCCAACTGTAAAAGATGTACTACTCACTTGTGGGTTCATGCCAAGGAACCAGTTCAAAGGAACAGTCTGGTTCAGCGCTACAATCTCGCAATAGTCTCCCTAAACACATTGAGCCTCGCACGTCAGGATTGGATAGGGTAAATCAGGTGTCACTTACCGGCTGCACAACATAGTACTTTCCGCACTTGGTCGTGGTGCCCTCCGCCACGGGGCTCGGCCTCGCCGCCGTAGCGGTGGCGTAGATGGCCGTCTTCGTAGCCGTCGCGCCGGGCACGGTGGTAAACGAGGCCTCTCCGCCGGGGGGCCCAACGCAGAGGTTCTGGTCGACGAGGAGGTTGGTGCAGTGCGGGTTGATTGCTGTTGCGTGTCACGGTATCTTGTCAGTACTATAAACCAAGGTTGCCAGGATTGCAGAACCATTAGACAGGTGCGCACGGAGACCGGGGAAAGACGTACTCGGGTTCCAAGCGGTAAGCTGATGGAACGGGACGGAGAACTGCTTCGCAATACCGACGCAGGTGTCGCCGCTCTTGACGACGTAGTCATCGCAAGCTGCAGGCAGGCAGAGTTTCTGTTGGCAGTTCTGCGTTAGAAACGACCCCGAACACGGGAAATTCATGCGTCAGGCATGGTTGAGAAAGAATGACGCACCTGTCCAAGCTGCAGATTCGTGCAGTCCAGGCGGAGGCTGTTCATCACGATCAGCCCTCCGGTGGACACATGGTTGGCCTTGGAAATGGCGACGCAGTTGTCGCCGCTGACAACCTCGTGAGTGCGGCCCCCGACGCACGCGGCCGTGGCATAGCCCGAAGGCGCGTAGTTGCCCAGGCTCGTCACGTTGGTCTTGAGCGTGGGCGTGGCCGTTGGGTAGCTGAGTCCGCAGCGGCCCTGGATCTCGGCCCAGGCCCGCGCCATCTCGGCGTCATAGTTGGAGTAGGCGGTCGACTGCTGGTGACGGAAGAGGTTCACGATGCACTCGGAACACAGCTGCTCCGTGGTGTAGCCTCCGAGCAGCTCAGTCGGGTCGCTAGCGTCCCCCAGAGTCTTCTCAAGGAACTCTGCGAGCCAAGGTCAGCTTTGAACATAGTGTACCGGCACCAAGGAGCTTGGGTATGCTGTAACAAACCTGTGCAGTATTCGCCAGAGGCAGAGTCCTTGAGACACATCTGGGCTTGGACGGACGAAACAGCGTCTACCCAGTACGTGGAAGGATACCCCGCCCTTGGCTGAGGGTCATTGGCGCAAGCCTTTTCCACGTTGGTGCGGTAAGTCTCAAAGGCAGGCGGGCACTCCTTCCGACACAGAATGTCCATCATGGTCTCGTTCTGAACTGTGTAGAATTGGCTGCCGCCCAACAGGGTCAGCAGTTCCTGAGGGCATTCCGGGATTGGAGATGACAGTGCTGTATTGCACTGCGCCGACACACCGTCAAAGAGGGTGTCTGTTTGATTGATGAAGAAGAAGAACTGAAAGGTCATTTCGTTAGCAAGTCTGCACTCGGTATGATAGCAGTAGGACCATCGAACTCACGCTTGGGTCGGCTCCCAGCGTCTGGGGCAGAAGCATGCCGAGCACACCCAAGAACCAGAGAATCTCCATTGTAAATCGCAATGGCCCTTCTGCTGTAGGTTGGCTGAGGTTTCCAAATATCGAGCAGCCTTCACAGAGATATCTCACTGACCTAGGCTTAAAAGTCTAGGGGTGATTAGCCAGGTCGAACCAGACAGCCGAGTGTGCGATGGAACCAAAGGTGCAGATATGGCCGCATCCTTTCGCTGCTCTCCGTCGATTGTTCAGCGCACATGGCCAAGGCCTAGTTATTAGATCTCGCCACTATGCAATCCTCCCGGTGCTTAGAATAGAAGCGGTAGTTCACGCGGGAGATTGCGATATACCGGCAAAGCTAATTAATCACGTCCATAAAAGTTTTCCATCACCACCATCATGCAGGGGCCGACATTAGCGTAACACTAACTGTATTTCAGGCCCTCTACTCTCTTGATCTACTTTTCTCTCTCTTGTGTTTTTAATCTTATGTTAAAAGATATGAGTCAAGTACAAAGAAGAAGCAGACAACAACAGGAGCGAGAGAGAAAGGGAGACCAAAAAAGATGGATAAACAATGAGAGAAGGAGAAGAAGAACAATAAAGACAAGAGATAGAGAGGTGTATGTTTTCTCCTTCTCTCTTTTTTCCTTATTAACGTAAAATGGTATGATTTTCGTTGCAGCCTACGCTAAGCAGGGGGGGAGGGGGGCCTAATTCTAGGGGTGAAGAATAACTTTTATGGGGGTGGTTAATAACCTTGGGCCGATATGCTCCGCTACACCCCCACTTGGCGTAGTGTTGAACGGACTTATACCTTGATTGGTACACCTGCCAATATACAATGATGTATAGGGGCACCTAAGCGAGGTAAGAAGATAAGTCTCGGCCGTCATACACGGCAGAAATAGTAAGATGAGGCAATGTATATCAGTCGATGAAGACATAGTCGCTCGGCCTGCTGATCCAGTCGGAATATAATGAAAGTCGACCATGTCCCTTGAGCGAACCGTAGGACTTTGGACTTAAAATCTACATTTCGTTGCTTGGTTCAGTCGACAACAAGCAACATGGCAGGACCAAGCAGACTGCTGTATCACTGCCTCTGCATCCTGCTGGTAGTGGCCGGCTTGGTTTACTTGGTCGAGGGACAGCAAGACTATTCATGTTCTCCAGAGAGGCCTTGCAAGCTGGGGTGCTGCGGTAAGAACAATGTAAGTCGTCTGCCTGCTCTTATCACTTACCACGCGGGAGCCTTACTAAACACTTGTACAGGTATGCGGCATGGGCCCTTCCTACTGCGCCCCTGCGAACTGCACGTCCGGCTGTGACGCAAAGAGCGAATGCGACCCGGGATGGGGCTCCCAATGGAGCACCCGGGAGAAGTGCCCGCTCAATGTGTGCTGTTCTGAGTTCGGGTTCTGTGGGACGACTGAGGACTTCTGCGGCGACAAGAAGGTCAAGAAACCGAGCTGTAAGGGCGGCACCAGCGCCGCCAGCAAAGTGATTGGGTACTACGAAGGCTGGTCAACCAGCAAGGGCTGCAAAGGACGTAAGTGACCTTTGTGATTCTGACTAGAATCGTACTCCAAGAAGAAGCAGAAGATGGTTTGGCTTCGTACACTACTGACCTCTTGGTTTACTGCAGTTAACCCGGAGGACCTGTTGTCCGGGGCATACACCCATCTGAACTACGCTTTTGCCTTTATTGATCCTACCACATACAAGATCGCCAATATGCAGGATTCCGATGAGAGATACATGCCACGTCTCACGGGCTTGAAGGACTACAACCCCGGGCTAGAAGTTTGGGTAAGAATCCGTAGCCAAAGCGCATACCCGATGGACCCTGGTGGCTAACAGCTGCTTTCGACAGATTGCTATTGGAGGATGGAGCATGAACGATCCTGATCAGCCCACAGCGCGGACTTTCTCCGAGCTGGCGGCATCGAAGTCGCACCAGGACGCTTTCTTTGAGTCCCTTTTGTCCTTCATGGACAAGTACGGATTCGACGGAGTCGACATCGACTGGGAATACCCGTGAGTTATGAGCCAAGCTTTGGTCGTGTTGCGTCGTGTTTCAGTGTTGATGCTAATTCGTATACGCCTTGCTAGTGTGGCTGAAGAGCGTTCAGGAAAGCCGGAAGACTTTGACAACTATGTGACTTTCCTCAAGAACCTCCGCGGCGTGCTAGGGAACCGGGGTCTCACCATCACGCTGCCGGCCTCGTTTTGGTACCTGCAGCACTTCGACATCAAGAATATGGAGCCTATCCTGGACTGGTTCAACATCATGAGCTACGACCTGCACGGGACGTGGGACGGGACGAACCCGTACTTGGGGCCGTACATCAACTCGCACACCAACCTGACCGAGGTGGACCTGGCCATGGACCTCCTGTGGCGCAACGACATCGACCCCAAGAAGGTGGTCATGGGCATGGGCTTCTACGGGCGCAGCTTCACCCTGTCGGACCCGTCGTGCAAGACGCCCGGCTGCGGCTTCTCGGCGGGCGGCAACCCAGGCAAGTGCTCGGCGTCGGCGGGCAGCCTGATGTTCTCGGAGATCAAGGAGATTGTGGATGCGGGGGCGGACGTGGTGCACGACAAGGAGGCCGGGGTGAAGATGGTGACATGGGACACGAACCAGTGGGTCTCGTACGACGACGAGGAGACGCTGCAGGCCAAGATGGACTTTGCCAACGAGCTGTGCCTGGGGGGCGTCATGGTGTGGGCCGCGTCGACGGACGACAATCAGGGCACGGCGATCCGGGCGCTAGCCAAGGCGGCGGGCAAGACGGATCTGTCCGTGTCGGCACTGGCGGCGACGGCCAAGAACGACCCGAGCCAGTGCGTGTGGGGCGAGTGCGGGGCCAACTGCCCCTCGGGCCTGGTCCCGGTCTCCGAGTCGTCGGGCAACAAGAACCCGCTCGGCATCGAGCTCGGCTGCACCGAGGGCAAGCGCAACTTCTGCTGCCCGTCCAAGGACCCGCCCACGTGCAAATGGAAGGGCAGCCCCAAGTTCTGCGGCATGCTCCCCAGCAACCAGTGCAGCGACGACGAGATCGAGGTCTCGGCCAGCACCGACGGCTGCTGGACTGGCCACAAGTCGCTCTGCTGCACCAAGAAGGCCTCGACCGACGTGCTCGACGCCTGCAAGTGGTTCGGCGCCGCCCCCATCTGCACCCTCAAGTCCTTTGTCCCCTCGCTGTTCGGTCCGCTCGGAGGCGCCTTCTCCTTCCAGTCGTACGGCTGCGGCGACGACAGCAGCAGGCCCAAGGAACTCACAAAGGCAAAGCAGGGCCAAGGAGGCCAGCAAAGCTGCTCCTACAACGGAGGGTTCAAGAGTTTGTGCTGCAAAGACCCAGTCCCATGGACGGGTTGCAAATGGTAAGTTTTCCCAAAATCAAACCACCGTCACCACATACTGACTCAACATGTCCGTGCTAGGCGGGCTGGAAGCACCACATGGGTGCAGTGGGAAAAACTGCTCGTCGGGCCCATTGGAAACCTCTTCTTTGACTTCTCGACGGAATGCAAGACGGGCTGCGAGCCCGGGGAGACGACCGTAGCCACGGATGGCTGGGGCTGCCGGTCGGGCACCTACTCCTACTTCTGCTGCTCTGATCCAAACAAGCCAGCCGTGCCTGAAGTGCCTGATGTTAAGCTCTGCTACGGACCCAGCCACCTCGAGCAGCTCGAGAGCGGCCCAGAGGAAGAAAGCAACCTTCCCAACGTTTTCGAGGAGGAGCACAGATTCGACGGAGAATGCGGGACCGCAGATACCACGCGCCTCCTCCGAGGGAGAGACCAGGGCGTCGATTCTTCAAACTCATCCATGGCATTCCTGGCGAGGAGGGCAACGGGCGAAGAGCTGGCCTACATGGAGACATCCGAGCTCCTCGGCACCCGTGATCTGGCCAAACGTGGCGCTCGGGAACGAGTCGCCATGGCGCTGTGCGGTCCTCAGGGCCAGAAGTCGAGCATCTGGGTGCAGTCGCACCCGGGCGCGTCGAGCATCATCCGGACGACAGGCAAGGCGTGGACGGTGGCGCAGCAGGGCCTTTGTGCGGCCGTGGGCTTGACGGGTCTGAGCACGCTGGCGCCCTCGACGGACTGGGTGACGGAGCACGTGCTGGAGAAGCAGGAGTTCCGCAACGCGCTCGAGTACATGGCGGCCGGCAAGACGCCTGCGGGCACCGCGCTCCGGGCCGGCACCGTGCCGTTCGCCCAGGTCTTCGGCGCCAACGGCATCTTCCAGCAGAACTGGCCGAGCGCCACCTACACGAGCCTGCAGTTCACGCACAATTGGGTCGGCAACATCAACGACTTCTTCACCGGCCTGCTGGGCCGCACCGCCGATGCGGGCCTGTCGAACCGCTTCATCGAGAATCTGCAGGTCTGCGACCGCGACTTCAACGTGTACAAGGAGTACATGGTCGCGGGGCTGGACTTTGTGTCGCGGTCCAACTGGAACGGCTACAACGCCCAGGACCGCGTCGGCATCCTGCTCGACATCGTCGACATGCACAACTACCGGGGCGAGAACCTTGTCGTGGCTGCCTTCTCGTCGACCTACACCAACATTGCCACCCTGTTCGGCGACCTCACCCGCTACGCCGCGACCCAAGGCATCACCTACGACTTCCAGGACGCCTGGGAACAGATCATGCCCGACTACCTCGCCTGGCAGGTGGACAAGATCCGCGACACGTTCGGGACGTACGTTAGCGAGGAGCTCCTCTACTGGGCCAGTCCTGTCGCCGCACTTACACACTCCCCCACCGTTATCACGGCCATGACCAACACACTTACCGACCTCCAGACTAATGCCAACACATATCTGTCACTTCAGATTGCGGCCATGACGCCCTAGTGTCACGCAAAAGTCGGTAGTCGAAATGAGGTAGTCAAAATGAAGCTGACCAACATTTGATTGCTGTCCATCATCTCCAGTCCCGTGAAGCTGACCTGGCGTTGTGAATTACTGTCTGCTGTCAAGTGGAGGCTTTAGCTTTCATTCAGTTGCGTAGCTAGTACCACAAAGGAATGACAACAAGACTTTGTTTGAGGCAGCCAGAATAATGCTGCTGAGCACAGTAGCCGGATCATGAGCCAAGTTTCATGGGCGTCGCTCAAGACGCTAGTCGGCCAGGGGTAAGCTACAACGATATAGAACATTGATATGTACCTGCATGGTTAGCACAACAGAAGCATGAGAGGCTTGGCTGACTTGGCAAGTTGCTTTTGCTTTGGGCTACGACGTTGCTTTTTTCCTCAAGGCTATAATCCTGATGAGATGGGTCGCAATATGAAGGAGGACTAGGTCGTGTGCTTTTGCCACCTCCTACACGCAGGTGCGTAACGATCTTGAACAACCCAACCTTTCGTGCATGGCTTAGTGATAGATGTTCGTTGCAAAACATGCGATGGGATTAGTCAATTTTCGATCAAACTTGGAATGCTGCCTGCACATGCAACAGTCTCAAATTTGGCACAGAACAAGCAAAAAAGCATTCTTACGGTGACAGTACCAGATGGCTCCCACACAATTGTGTGTAGTCTGGTTGCGTATCTTTACGCAATATATCGTCATATAATCAGGTTTCTGTCGTAGCTGAGTTCAGCCGCACGGCGCGCTCACGCCTACGAACAAAACCATTGGATTTCCCTCCCATATCCACCGATCACTACGATGGCTGGCTGTGGTCCTCGCTCTCGTCACATGTCTCTACCAGAATGAAAGTATCGGTCTCTCAGCTACTGGCTGCAGGTATCGATTGTTCAGCTTGCGCCTTAACATTAGCTCGATCTCAGCGGACATTGCGAGGTCGATCAATGCGCAATCAGGTCAAGTCCTCTCCGCCTTTGGTTCTAGAAGTCCAGCCGCATTGCGCTAATCGGTGTTGCGTGTACTGGAACGACAGACGTGGATGGACGTGTCGCGAGTGCCTCAGATCAACATAATTAAACCCGCTTGTGTGCGACTGCCGCACTTCATAGCTGCGCATGCCTCCAGCTTATCTGTAGAAACTACCAGTCTCTGCTTAACATCGATAGTCAGTCAACAACAAAAAACATGCAAGCTAACAAATCGAGGGAGCTTCTAGAAAAGGAAGTCTCAAGCAATCAAGTTGCCCTCGATGACATGGATGATACAGATCTCCAGAAGTTGTGGGACCAAGCCGGGGTATTACTGCCGAGCAATGACAATTGATCAAGCATCCGTTAACGTGTCCGCCTAGAAAGATTTCTTCGACAAGACAGGCATCAGTCTCAAAGACAGGAATGGCCAGGAGAAGGCCGAAAACGGGTTCCAAGCTCATGTCAGCGTCGCGGTAAACCAAATTTTTGGGGGTGGATCAGATAAAGATGCTGTCGCCGATCCGGAAGGGCACCATAATACCCGTACAACGGAAAAATTCAAGAGCATATTGACAAAACCCAAAAAGATATTCAAGGGGGTGTTTCGTGTGATCTGGAAACTCCACGCGTTCCTCGAGGCCATGGCCTCGAGTATTCCCTTTGCGGGGGCTGGCGTTACACTGGTGGTGAAATCCATTGAGCTACTCATCGAAACCACTGAGAAATACCGCGAGATATTCGACAGCGCGGCAGTTATGTTTCACGAGGTCGGGTTCTTCTCTATGAGGTTTGACATGGTTATGGAAGCTCAGAAGGCTGGTGCAGCAGTGCATCCTAAATTCGTAAGTGAACAACACAGCCGTATCTTTCCTATACGAGGCAGTCAATTCAAGTAAATACCTGGACTGATTGCGTGATAGGTTAAATTCCTGAACATTATCCTTAAGCACGTTGTAGACTGCGTCGCTCTGTACGTCAAAACATTCCTGGACGCGGGGAAGTCGGAAGGCTTCAAAAATGTTGCCGAAGTTACAAAGATGTTTTTTTAAGGCAATGGGAGGAAATGACCAGGGAGTGGGAGCGCATCTGACACTGTTACGAGAGCTTTTAGAACAAGAAAGTAGACTGTCCACTGCGTTGGTACTGTCAACGGTCCTCCAAATCCACAAAAACGTCCTCACGGTTCGCGAAAACGTCGACACTATCATGCATACCATGTTGGAACCAAGCAAGATTGGAAAGCTGAAGGAGTGGCTCCACATCGACAGCGAGCCCTGGACTTCTCGCCATCGCGCATGCGCTGACCACCGTGTGCGCAATACAGGAGAGTGGCTGGTGCGGCATCGTCTTTTCAAGGCTTGGGTTCTCCCTGGAAACGAATTGCAAGTCCTTGCGCTTGAGGCTGCTTCCAGTACTGGCAAGACGTATCTTGCTATCGCTGCAATCGACCACCTCCAAAGACGTCATAGAAACGACCAAACGTCCACAGCTGTAGCTTACTATCTGTTCGACCGTACAGTCGCCCTATCAACTATCGGAAACGTCGTACGGGCAGTCTTGTTCCAGCTCTGTGTCCAGAACGTCCAATTCTTCAAGCTTGCCCAACCAATATTGGAGGTTCCGGAAGAGAACATTAAGGGCGAAGATTTGTGGGGCAAAATTGTTCAGGAGGTAATGCAGAAGATGCCGGAATTGACTTGCTATATCGTTCTTGACGGCTTAGACCTCATGGACGAGAAGGAATATGAGAGTTTGCGCGATGTATTGCGACACTCTGGCCCGGCAAGCTCAGGAATGCGCTTCCTACTCACAGGTAACAGCATCTGGTTAAGCACCGTCACTGAGCACGCTTCCATCGCAACTTCCAGACTATCTCTCGATAAAGGGGACCTCAATTCAGAGGACATTGCACTAGTCGCGAAGGACTCTCTTTCGAGATGCGCTCTGTTCACACAAGCACTTGAGAACGACGACTACAAAGCGGACGTCAGCGAGCGACTCGTCAAGAAGGTTCTAGGCGATTACTATATGCTGTCCTGGTATACCTCAAACATGCGCCGTGCATCATCACGGTCCGAAGTTGAGCGAGTCATGAATAGAAACCATCAGTCTCACCAAGGTGTTGTTTTGCACGATCTATCCCATCTTGCGAAGCGACTACCAACGCACGATTTGCTGCAGCTGAAAGAAACCATTCATTTGCTAGCGGTCTTGCGCCATCTGGAAATGCCGATGCCGCGCTTAGCGATCGTTCAAGATTTTGTCGCACGAGATGAGGGCTCTCCCACTATGGTAGAATCGACCATCGAATCGGCCTACTCTTGCCTGCTGACGATAGATCATCACAACCATCTCGATTTTGCCGCAATCGAGATTGATAAGCACCTGCTGGTCGATCCTCGTAATTCTTTAGTCGCGCATGCCCTCTTACCAAATGGCAGTCTCGCTCAATTGCAAGCAATGCAACTGGTTTTGACTAAAACTTTCAGTTCGGATGCTCTAAATGCACATGGATTCAATGAAGAGTTCTTCGAGTCCAAGAAAAAACAGAATTCAGTACTTTCGCAATTCATTGTTGATTGGGACACCGCGATGGCAAACACAGCGGTGCGCATGATTGAGAGTTTAGGAAACTTGATGAAGAATGCCAACGGTCACCGAACCGAACAGACAGCCGCTTTGTCTGCATTAGCTCGTGATCTGCTGCCAAAGATTCTCTTCCAGCTTCGAACAGTCAAGCTGAATGACGATGTGGCAGTAAATCTAGGCATGAGCCTCGCAACACTTTTTCTCAAACACGACATGTTGAACATCTTCCTGCCTGTCGAGGCACAAAAGCAGACAAATGACACCTGGGGCGCAGACAAGGGATATTTTGAGGCAGTGTTCAAGTGTATGAAGGTCTGGCTGTTTCAACACAGGGAGTCAGCAGATGCTTTGGGTTCAAATTGGCCAGATATTCGATGTGCCGATGACTTGAACACGGTCGTAAGTCAGATGATAGCGAGCCGATGGTTACAAAGCAAATCGTTCTGGGCAAGAGAAGACTTTCAGCATATGTTTCGTTGGTTCAGGCATATACCTGAGCTGGGACTGGAGTGTAGCGCTCGGCGGGAGGACCTCGAAGGCTACGACGCAACGAAATGCACAGACTGGTTTACGCTACCCAATTGGCTCAAAATTTTGAGATGGGTTAAGGCTGGGAACGTTCAAATCACCGACCAAGCCAGTCTCGACATTCATGCCGCCGCAACATTAGGTGCATTTGGCGACAGGACATGTGCAGCTGCTAAGTTACTCTCTCCTCACACTAAGACTGATTGGCGGGCTGCAGTGTTGATGGCTGAAGCAACGTCCTTGATGGCTTGGTGGAAACCGGATGAGCGCCAACGACTTGGCAAAGCGTACAGCTTTTGCAATAAATCTCTGAAACTTATGATTGAATACAACGCTGATCGTGAGTCAGTGATGAGGGCGATTGACAACATGCTCAGTTGGCAAGTTCATTGGTACGACGTACCCAAACAGATGCTCTTCAGAAAGTTGGCGATAACCATGGACACGCGCAAAAATGGTCATTTATTGTCTCAACACATGGTTTGCGAGACCTTGGAATTTGCTGTTCGTCTCATGGACATCGACAGTGGTTTCGAATTCTTCATGTCCTTCTACGATTTACACCGGGACCTCCTTCCCGAAACATTCGTCTACCATGCAGACAAGACGTGCAATAGCTTCATGCATATTGCATTAAGCAATACTATCGCCAACGATGCGAACGGTGTTCGGCTTTCCACCTTATGTGAGGTGTATCAGGATTCACTAGCCCTCTGCGCTGATACAGACGTATTTTCAGAGCAACAGAAAACTCTCACGAAACTCAAGCTTGGGTTCTGGCTTGGCCGGCTGAACTTCCTGCAATCAACACATTCCCAGCTCGATAAGGCAATCGATGTCTGGGAAAACATCATTCAAGACCTGCTACATAGCCCTGCTACCACAGAGATTGCGCTCATGTTGCCAATTGTGACGCATCCATGCTCTGCGTATATCCGAAAGGTCCTGGAAAGTCCGGGGCACCCGAATAGCATTGACATCGTGGCCAAGGTCATCGAGTTGGTTGAGATAGCTAAAACTTCTCAGGGCCCTCTTTTTTTCAAGCTCCAATTCCGAACTAGTCTCTGTCTTGCGAGGATACATATGGCGCAAGGAAACAATCACAAAGCGCACAAAGTTCTTCAAGAACATGCGACCCGTGCCTTTGCTATGATCTATCAAAGCCACGACAAGTCGTTGTCAAATACTGGATGGTTTTATTTGGCGTCGATTTTGACAGTGCTTGGTCAAGATGTCGCCGCGCGGGTGTGGACAAAAGTCGGCATGTACAAGTGCGGTAAACGGATGATCTCTGAGAATTATGACGTGTATGCAGAAAGGAACGCAAAACGCGTCGAAGACCCTCTTCTCGACGAAACGACTTATTGTCAGTTGAAATTGATTGAGAGAGGCGAGTATTTTGCTCGAAACGAATTGCCAGTCGATAACTACCTCCCGTCATATGCTTCGATGGCATGCGACGGACGCCATTGCGAGTCTAAATCGCTCACTGCAGGCAAGGTCTCGAGTACTCATTGCTCACTGCTGCCGGACTCAGAGTACTGGATCTGTCGTGACTGCGTGTCAACAAAGCTTTGTCTTACGTGTCGTGGTCTCCTAGTAGCAGGGACGTTGCCACTTATGGGTTGTCAGGCTGGCCATGAGGGAGTCACTGTCAAAGGCTCATATGAGATGTCAGAGGACGATTCCGCTACTATCACGAAGCTTCAAAAAGATTGGCAAGTCTAATAGAAAACCACTTGGCGGATATATTCACAGAATATTATACATAATATAGCTCTGCTCTCAATTCTTGAACACGTATATTCCTTATTACGAGTAACAAGAAGGATTCTCTTCTTAATAAGAGATAAGAAGGCTAGAAGCCCAGGGATGTCTACGTTAGAAGGTATGAATTATCGCTAGGCTATTATAGTTGTATAATATACGATATATGAAAAAGATACTCTAAATACTACTGAATTAACCATATTGATTGATAGCTATGTAATTATCATATAGTTAAGCAATACACTTATTAAGGTGCGTAAAATCCATGGGGTGACGAATCCGCCTGTATGACCAGCACGCTTATAAACTACGTTACATGTCAATTAGTATAGAGAATTATGTATATTTTGTAGATACTCTACTTTATCAGATTCGACTCTAAAATCCTTGGTTCCGAGAAACGCTTTCCTAAGGATTCCTAAAATCCATGTAGTGAGACATACTAGGTGAGAACGACTAGTGGAAGCGAGCCCTTCGTCTTGCAGACCATTCGATAGCTCTGGTCTAGTCTCCGTGACGATTGTGTGATTGATAGTTCCCTCGCCCGGTCGCAAAAAGCGGCTGCGGTCTAAGATTGGGACGACCGACACGCAGAGGGAAGACACCAGGCTTTGTGCTTGGTCGAGCATCGCAAGATGATCAGCGATATTTGATTGTATGTCGTTATTGTGTAGGAACGAGCTCGTACAGTATAGAAGCTTCAGGACTAGCACATATGTGCAGATGTATTGGCCAAAGACGAAAGCCTTTTGTACTAATGATACATCACTCAACCTTTCGAAGCTCCCGTAAGGTAAGGGAACAACGGGCGATGAAAGCTCCCAGGATACTTCGTGCCTGAGGTCTTCGAGGCGGTTGCACAAAGCTTTGGCCCGAGCAGCGTAAGAGCACACGCGGTCCTCTTCTAATGGCGAACTTGCGTCCGGTGGCTGCCAGGTGAGGACCTGTCTTTCTAAGCACAGAACCTGCCGCAAGATCTGCTGTACAGTGGATACAGTGCTCTTGCGTGCCGATGCGACTTCGGGCAACGTAAAAATCAAATCTTGGTCCTCGTGTGCTGACCATAGCGCAATCAGCAAGACATGGCCTCTTGTTGCCACGTATAGCGATTGCGAGGCTTCCGAGTCAAAGTCTGTAGATGCCCGCTGTCGGATGAGTTCGAGAGCGCCTCTTAGGTGAGGGCGACCATGCTGGAGTGCAGCATTTCGATATTGTTGGGCAAAGTCCAGGCATAGGATTGCCGTGAGCGTCTCGTCCTTCAAACGTTGAAGCGGATCTGACAATGCTGTGCCAACTGCTCGAACAGCAGCGAGCTCAGCTCCAGTGACCAAAGGCTGTACATAGTCTTGGGCATGGTGGGTGGTGGCTACTGTGAGCGCCATGACCGAAACGGCTAGAGGCAAAGCAGATGAAGGTGCCGCAGAGTTGTATAGAGGCAAGATGTGGTCGAAGTATTCGTTGCCCAGCGGCCACTCATGGCGGGTTGGAAGTAAACATTGTCGGAAGAAGAAGGCTGTTACCACGTCGTGCGGATTGGAGTGAACTTGCGGCGGCAGTGTAGATGGTCTTGCGCTTGATCGCTTGCTCTGGCGCGCGAAAACAGCCTTGCTTTCGTCCTTGAAGACAACACCGTTGGCGTCGCGGTATCCAGGACATATCTGTCCACGGATAATACACTTTCTGCACGCCGGTCTTGCCTTGTCGCACCCAACGCGGCGCTCTCTGCATGCTTGGCAGCCAGCGCTAGGTCCGCGGTTCACCATCGTCTCGTCTCGTTGAGGCGCTGGCTGTCGGCCACATCAGCCGGAGGGCAGTATCTGCAGGCCTTGATCGATTTTGTCTGATACTTTATGGAACGTGATCTGGAGTGTTCACATCTCGCACACCAGGACGATAGCTGCGCCGTATAGATCTGGTGGGGCACGCGCTTTCGCTTTGCTCGTTTCGGTAGATGTTGCGATTAGGGCTAGAGCACAACACCTTCGTCATCGTCCCATGCAGGCAGTGGCTTGGCTCTGTACGTATCGCAAAATCGAGCATAATTGGTTAGCTCAGGCCTCCAGGTCGTTGGAAATATGCTGCCTCTCAGCGAGCATAAGATCGGCCATGGACATTTCATTGGCTTGAAATCACAGCACTGGCATAGTGGGCCTCGATACCCGGAGGCTTAGCAAGCAGACTATACTATACCATCTGGGCGAGACGGGCACTGCGCAGCGGTCTTGGCACCACTGTTGTATACCATTTCGCCATGACAAATGATAGAATCCGCGTCGAGGACTTTGGTAAGCTGAATCACCTCTCCATAAGGATCTCTTGGCTATGCACCTGCGTGCGTAATGTTAGAAACCAACATGCTGCTATGGGAAGTAACCGCGACCTTGGAACCCTTTTGTCAGCTACTAGGTAGCCAAGGCACGGAACAATGAGATCGTAAGGTACAGCTCAAGTGTCGACATTGGTAAGACGAGCATCTATGATCGTGGCTGAGATTTCATTTAGCCATGTACTCGAATGATTCTGCCTGGTCGCAGTAGGAGCATAGTATATAAGCTCAACTCATGCTCTGTTATAGTAGCTACCAAACCCTCATCACCTTCCACTACCAATTTCATAAATTTCTCACATCGAAAGAGTCTCCATCTTGTTCACTGCATTCTATTGCGACATGAAACAGTCTCTGCTATCAACAACAGCACTCATGTGCACGAGTCTTGCCGCAGCCATGGAGTATTGTCCTCCAGCAGGCATCCCACTCCTACCACTCTCCGACCTTTCCATCGCCCCCCGGTTCGATCCTGAGCCACTGAAGGCTGCACTGGACCGACTGAACAGTGAAGCGATTCTCTTCAACACGTCTTCTACCTCTTACTCGGTCTCGATAACCACGACTGAAGATACGGTTTTTGAGTACCACTGGACTGCACCAAACGTCAACACCACAGTTGGCGTCAGCGAGGTCAATGGCGACACAATCTACCGCATCTTCTCAGTGACGAAATTGTTTACCGTCCTTTCTGCGTTGCTCCAGGAAGGACTGGACATGGACGATCTTGTTTCCAAGTATGTACCGCAGCTTGAAGGCTCGAAGAACTTCGAGAACACGACCTTGCGAATGCTAGCCAGCCATCTGTCTGGCGCTCCGCGCGATGGTAAGGCTACATCTGGAGGACAATAATCCAAGAAGACCACAGCTGACTCTTCGCACTTAGGCTACGCCTTCGACACCTCTCTTCGGGGACCTCCTGATTTTCTAGAGGGAAAATTCGGCTTGCCGGTAAACATTACTGTCCCGGAAGGCTTCCCTACTTGCAATTCCGTAGAACTTGGCCTATGCGCTACTCGAGCGGGTAAGAATTCCTTGAAAGCATGCTACTGTTTACGCTCCATACTGAACTCGATCCTAGAATTTCTCGAAGGAGCACTCGTCAGTAACTATTTGTGGCCTGTCGGTCGTACTCCCGCATACTCAAACTATGCCTTCATCATTCTTGGCTACGCTATCGAGTCCTTCACAGGTAAATCGCTTCGAGACGTTATCGCAGACAGCATCGCGGGCCCCTTAGGTTTGAGCTCGGCGACTGGCCTGGACAGTCAGGATGCATCGCTGATGGTCATACCTGGAGAGGTCAATCACCTCGGTACTCAGGACATAGGCGAAATGAACGGGTGAGTCAACTCAGATCCTGGCAGTCTAGTCACACTTTATTGTTTTCTACTCCTGATTAGGCTCGAGCATCCGCACTAATTCGGCTATGCCCACAGGACTGCCGGCATGTTCTCAACGCCCAACGACCTCGCCCGCTTTGTTCGCGGCCTCCTCAACAACGAGCTACTCTCGAGCACCGACATGGCCAAATGGCTGAAGCCCGCCTCCTTCACCTCCTCTTCTAAAGGCGTAGCCGTCGGCATGCCCTGGACCGTCTTACGTCCCACAAGCCTTGGCCTTGACTCAGGAGAAAGACCCGTCGATATATACACCATGCCCGGCGGATCGGGATACTATAACGCCTACATAGCCATCATCCCGGAGTACCAGCTCGGCTACACCGTCAATGTGGCTGGTGTCGGCGACGATCCGGCGCTGCGAGCCCTGCTCGACCATCTTGTGCGCTACTCTGTCCCGCATTTTGACACCGTGGGACGGGATCAGGCCAGGGAAAACTATGCGGGTCGCTATGGTAGTGGAGAATCGGCGATCGAACTGGTGGTCGATAATGGTCCGGGTCTCAAGGTGCAGAGTTGGACTACTGGTGGCAAAGCTGTTTCGGATGCGTGGTTCGAGTTCTTTGGTTCTGGTGCCCTAGATGCGGTTGATGCAGACGTTAGAATCTATCCCATCGGCGCGGATAACCGTTGGCGGGTGGCCTTCCGGGGCATTTCCGATATGAACAGTACGGGTATCTTTGAGGATGCTTGCTATACTTGGTTCAGTTATGGGGCATGGCTACATGGTGGTCTATTGGTAGATGAGATTGTGATTACTCTTGGTGAGGATGGGGCGGCTACGGAGGTCAGTGTGCCTGGCCTTCGGCAGAATCTGACCAGGTCTTGAATGGAAATGGTGTCGCTGAAGGGCAACAGATGCTAGACTCATCTATATACAGCAACAATTGGATACTTTCGCACTACCAAGTTAGCATATTCCTATATCTATTAAGAGTAATGAACTGTATAGAAGTGTTGCCAGATTGTATGATTTAACCTAGCTATCCTCTTCCCACCTAAACTACATATTTATACGCCCTATCCATTGTCCGCTATCGTCATCAGGTACTAACTGCTCCAAGATTAGCCTAAGCACCAGTCGAACTTTATTCTGAGCTTGTAAACAACTTACAGTTTCCTAGAACAGCAGTAGTAGGTATTGCCATTTGGGCATTCGCATGATTCACCAGGTGGGCACGTCGTAGTTTCACAATTCTGACGTCCCTGCAATAAGGCTCGAGCTTCGACTTGACCAAGGTCCTGTACGGGATGAGGGGCAGCAGCGACGATAGCAACCATGAGGACAGAGAGGATGAAGGACTTCATTTTACCGAGCTTGTTGATGAATTGATCAATTTACTTTGTTATAGTGACCTCGGAAAAACTATTGGTGAGGAGGTAGATGATAAAAAAGGTGGTGAACATCTGACAGCCTTTATACTGAGGCATTGGCTCGGATGCATGATTTACTCATACGCCCAGTGAGAAAGAAAGTTTACTCATACGCAATCAATGATCGAAATCGTTATAAGAAACCGCACATCATCTCTGGGCCGGTCGCAGCGGCCAGGGTAGAGAGAGAGCTAGGAAGCTGGCGGAAAAGCATCTCAGCAGCTGATTCGTGGATTGAAAGGTTTATTTAGCGTTACGATATTATCTGGGCTCTGCCGTATTAAGTGGTATCTAACACAGTTGTCCTATTCGCTAAGAGCTTATTAAGTTTAGCAGACAGCGATAGCGACAGTTTGAGCATCTCAGCTTACTATACGGACGTCGCTGTTGAAAGTATTGGCCAAGGTTAGTACGACTAAAAGAATATAATAGACTCAACGCTCTTTAGATAGCTTCTTAATAGAATCTAGCACATAAACTAAAGATATTAGAATTAGAGAATTAGCGTTGAAAGATGAGATTAGAGAATTTATTAATTTACTACTAAAGATCACCTTGTTAGACATAGTGGATATATCAATATTGGAGTACTGCGCAGAGAGATCAGGAAGAAAAGACTCATCAGGGCCGATCATGATAAAGATGTGTTGAAGGAATGATTTTCGGTAAGGGGCAGAGTTTTCCCAGCCATACGTTTATGAAAGCAAGGGTAATAGCGGTGATTACATGGTAGCCGGTGAAATCACCGAGTTCCGACTAGAAAAACTCGGGAATTAAAGATATATTCGGGCCAAATGGAAACAGTCTATTGTGTAATAGCTGATCATCGTTGTATGTGTACCAGCTTCCGATATTTGCTGCACGATTCCGTTTCCAAAAAGAATTGCATTGTGCTCCCATCTTCAGCTAACTTCCTAAGCGAGTGGGCAATCTTGCCACGACATCACGACAACTATCGTTGAGAATCAAGAGTTATGATATTTACTGATTGTGTTTTCACCATATGATTTCTCTGCTCCAGCCCGGGCGCTAGTTGCGTCTCACTGTGCCGCAAAGTTCAGTTATTGGCTCCTCAGCACATTCTTGCACAAGGTGGGATTACGGTAATAAGCGCGAGACTAAGCTCTTGCAAAATACGTCGATGCCTTCCAATTGCATATCCATATATGACTAGGTACTGTTACTATTACGACATTGGGGTGGAGTAGTGATTTTGGTGGGCTTGACAAAAGCCAGCGGCCAAGTGGCGGAGAACAGTACTCTGTACGACACATGTAACTAGTGCATTTTCGTCTTGTATCATAGAAAAGTCTCCTTAATAGAAACTCAAAATAGTACAACTCGTTCCCACATCCATTAGTCCAGCAACAGAGGTGTTTAATTGGATGTTTCAGCAAGTGACTGGCCATATCTCTAACTCACAATGTAGCAAAGGCGAGCACAACAGCACTTCTGCTGCGACATTTAGAATGGATAAATTTTATTTGCTCTACTTGAGCTTCTTGCGGCCCTCTTCTCCCCATGGTCTAGGAACATCTTCTCTTTCAGTCAGGGAAATGGAGTGATAAAAGCTTGGATGTCATCGAGATCTTTCGGTGGGTTTTCAAAGATGGTATCTAGTAGAAATCTCAAACAATGAACTGTATGCTTGAAGAAATGAGTTGTTCCATATCCCTTGCTCATCCAAAAATAGGATTGTCGCAGTGTAAGTTGGCAATGAATGAGATGTTCTCTCTTCATCAACCAAGCTCCGAGTAACCTCTCATACTCTGGCTTAACGGTGCCAGAACCATTTTGGTGCAAGTAGTGATGCCATGGACCTTGGCTTAAGAACTTTTCAACGGTAGAGAGATTTTCGCTTTCTTCAAAAGCCTCTTTCGAAAGCCAGACGTTTACCAGAGGATCCCATTTGCAACCCTGGGCCTTTGCAATTTCAGGCATCGTATTCATCGGTGCACAGTCGAATGCATGTGATGTCTGGCCTTTGGGAATATTCCAATGCTCGACCAATAGAATGGCACCAAGCACGAGAGAGGTAGAGACCCCAATATAGGCAATAATGAATATTGTTGGCAGTTTGGTATGTAGATGAATGGGACGCCAAGAGTTGGGTATACGCCTATGGCATCAATAAGCAAAATGTAACCCTGGAGGAGGTGTTGAAAGATGATTTGGACCATGTATGGGTAACTTGGAGTCAACATATTGCACATTGTGCACTTATGGCACTCAAGTTTCAACGAGCCGTTCAATTCAACTGGCCTATGAACAATTGGACAAGTCACTATGCGCATAGTTTATATTGTGCCAAGAGCTATACAGAGTGGGGATTTTATGAAACCTCCTAATAAACTTAACTCTAAGATATTTATAAAGTTCCCAGTATGTACCTATAGTTGGCAGGATGCAGTATTGTAGATGAAATGATAAGGCGTTATTTATAAGGGGCTGCGCTCTAGGTAGTGATTGTGAAGCATATAAGAAGTTATATTTAATGGTCCCGCATCAATGTCCAACCCTGTTTCTCTCTGACATGATCTGACTGTTTGTTCTGGCAATGAACGCGCTTTTACCTCTATTCATGGTCGTGATATGGTCTTATTTCATTATTCTGGCTCAATAAATTCCAATACCATTATTACGCTACACGAACCAACTTTTGGCGACTAATTATAAGATCCGAACATTAAGGTCAAGATCGTATGATTAGAACTCCTTACTCGCATACTACTAACTAAGCTCAGACGCCTTCTTTATGATCTCCTTCAATGCCGGCATTTTCCTTCCGCCTTTCTCTCCTTCACTCAACACATCTTCTAGCATCCTACGGTCTTGCTTTGCAACCTTTCCGCCATGGTGAAACGCGTTAAACCTGGCATAATCGAGTGGCTTGGCGTTCACCTCGAAAGGTGCGTGCATCTGGACGGCGAACCAGTCTCCTACCACAAAGGATAAAAGCCAACCTGTCCAACCGAATCGTGGAAGGTTTAGAATCTCCGTTTGTGCGCGTAGCATCAGATTCCAAAGCTCAGTATTCGCGCGGAACTGCTTGAATGGGCCAAATCCATCAATGTTCCATGCCACCAGCTGCAACATGGAGAGAGGTACGACATATGGCGCTAGGAATCCTGGAGCTCGCTGAATTCCTTGTTTGCCCTTGACGTCATAGAATGCCTCAAGTTTCTTCGTCAGAGAAGGCTGTGTATTCATTACAACCAAAATCACGCCTGCTGATGGGGTCGAGTAAAGGATGTCTGCTTTCGAAGCTAAGGATTTGTTCGCTGTTTCTGGGATCGGAATCTGAGGTGTCGGTTGATGCGCAAGTAGGCTTACGCCAAACAGAAGACGGCTCCGAGCGATTCCTAAAGTGCTCAGGTAGTGTTCTTCAATGTCTAGACCGGCTGCGTCGTATACGACAAAGGAATTTGCGTTTTGAGGCTCCTTGAGAAGCTCGCCGACTGAACGGATTGTCGCGGTCCCAGACTCCGACCGTGCAGTATGTCCATCCAAAGTGTCAAAGACGAATGCAAACTCTTCGCCTTTGACTTCTGAAACCGACTCGATGACGCGGTAGGATGAAAATTCATGTAATGTGTCGTCTTTATAGGAGTAAAGGTGCTTTGGCGGCTCGAAAGCGGACTTGCGGCCGGGGCGGACAAGGTAGGTACAATCAGCACTATGCGAAATATGGTAACCTTGAGACAACCCGACGGCACCACAGCCAACTATCAAAACTTTAGGCTTCGGCATGTTGAAGGTTGTGTTCTCGCGTATTCGTGTGTTGCTGAGCAGTTACTGTTTGTACTGAACTGAGTATTGTGCTGTTGTTTGGCTCCGACGCTAATTTTTGACCGAACATGTTCGTCCGTCCGATTTGTAGCCTCCGATAGCACGTAGTTGGTTGCGCGTCAGCAATACTTGCCCACATTAAGCGAGGAGGGGAAGGTGCTCTATTTCTAGTCACGAATTTGGCTAGCTAGTAATGCGAACGGTAGCATGGACTGAAGGGAATGATATATGAAATCAAGAACACGAAGTTTGCATCCAATCTATACATCGACGCCGCGAGCTACCAAAGAAGAGCCCCTGTTAGCGGTATGGCAAAGGTTAAACGACCTCGTGGTAAGTAGGGGCCTATGTTAATAGGCTCAGCCGAGGTGCTAGTAACGACCTTTGTTTCTTTCACTAATGATACCATACATATCATACATAATATACATTTTTAGTGACTTGTACACGAATTAGGTAGGTAATTATACACTCGACGTGGCAATCCCTCACGCTCTCCGTTAGATGAATCAGCCTTCGTGAAAGGGATTAATTTCAGTTGCTTCTAGCTAACGCTAAGACCTGATGGCATCGATAGTCTCAACAGTTGGAAACGTGTACTCGCCATTAGTGAATGCCTCGGCTGGTGAGTAGAACCGAATCGAGTACAGAAGCTTACCGCCACCCACCGGGGCCGGAAGCCAGCTGTATAAGAAGCCTTGAGTTAGCCATTTTATACTTTCAAGATGCTAATCCAAGACGATTAAAAAATCGCAAAAAGGGGGCCAACTTACTTGCTGGTCCAATTATCTGGTGGGGGAATATCAGCAGGCTGCAGTAAGACCTGAAATCTGCGATCCGCCGTTCCATTTCCAGCGCTGGAATCATTTCCATACACCAAACCTCCACTCTCAAATTTCAACTGTGTGCTGCGGTCTCCAATGACGTATCTTCCCAGCTTGTTGGGCACCAGATATTGATCCGCGCCATACACAGTCAAACTCCAAAACCCAGTTGATTTGATTGGGGGTTTGCCGAAGAAAGTAAATAGAAATGCGGAATTCGCACTTAAAGTCACATTATCGGATTTATTCGTGATGAAGAGGTTCTCGGATTGTACGAGGCCCAGATAACCGCGGAGTGCGCGGTACGCACGACAGCCGTATTCAGTGCCGAAGATGCCTTGACATTCCACCTTGGGAATTACCCAGTTGTTGCCAACATCAATCAGGTTTTGAGAATAAGCTGCGGAGATGCTTGCGTTTGCTGCGACGGTGGCAGCGGTGAGATTGATTCCAGGAGGCGGGGTGTAGACTCCATCTGCAATGCCAGCAAGGCCAAGTTTCGATGCTACACGATACCGGTCTGCATACACATCGGGTTGGTTGAACTGTCCAATCTTTGCCAGCAGGTCTAGATAGCCCGTGACTCTGTTCGGGGCGTTCGAAGTGTCAATGAGGGCACGTGATAGTCGAGGTGCTTGTGCTGCAAACGGCTGAGACATTGTACGTGGGACTGTCCTGAGGAAAGTTTGGTCTTGATAACTGCGTATGGTCTCAATATCGCTCGTAGTGTTTTGACGTACAAGAATACGGCCGAGCAGGATACCGTAGGTCGTAGCATAAGAGATTACGCCTTTGTAGGTTGATAATTCAGCCGGAGTGGTGTATCTGATTCCGGGCTGGACAAGAGCATCATCTGCACGTCTGATCAGATAGTCTCCCGGGGGAGAGTTCGTGTTGATTGATATTCCCGCAAAATTGTTGCCATAACTTTGATCAGTCAGTCTTTGCTCCATCTTATTGACATCCAGCAGCACTCACATGTCGTAAAAAGGCCATATCCAGTTCCTTCCATCACTGATATTGGGAATGGTCAGGACAAGGTCTTCATGCGACAAGTCGATAGCAGCCCAGATATACAACGTGTCTGCATTAGGCCCAACTATTGTGCGATTTAGAGGACCGGAAAGCGTATGGTAGGGCCATAGTGTATTTGTTTTGTTGACGGCATCGAGAATATTTCTTACGGCTTGTTGCCATTGAGAAACTGGATATGCATACTGAATAATCGTCAAGAGAGAGGTGATATGTTCTTTCAAATGTTTCACGCACCTGAATTGCGAATGCTGTGGCGTCTTGAGCAGCACTGTTGTAAGAGGTTGAAACATTCGTCGCTCCCGCGCGCGGAACCAGGTATTCCAGGCATGCACTGGTAGCGAGGAGATAACTACTCAACTTCATGTTTCTTAGTAGTGTGTCATATATCATCCTCTAGCATGTTTTGCTCTCACCTTTTATGTCGCAATAGACTAGTAGGGTGACAGAGTCGATACCTTGACTATTGCGCCATAACCCATAAAATTGACGAAAAGGCCGGGAAGTGGGGCAGGAATATCTAGTCTCTCCATCGACGATAACTATTGGAAAAGCCTCGCTTCACCCTAGCTAGTGCAATACTACTATTACAATCCCTACGATTCTTACATCAGCTCTTATGCATTCAACGAAACTGGAAAATAGCAGCCATTCGTAGCAGTGCAAAACGGCGTCAAAACATCGCCAAATACCAACCCTTGATCCTTCAGTAGTTGCAACTCTAGTGCGCGTAAATCAGTATTCAAAAGCTCAATAACGGTTAAAGTATAACTTGCGCATCAAATATTTCGTGTATAACATCAAAATAAGCACGTTGCAACGAGAATCTTTTATGGTGCGAATAATGAGATCTGACAGGCAATAGCTGCTTCTTTGATTCTCCGGTTTTTGTCAGTTGTATAAGAGATCAGTTGTCCGCAGACTTCTGGCCACTGAAAACTTTTGGTCAATGGGGTAGGCTGTATTCGCTTCCCGATGCAAGTCCCCGAAGACTTACACAACCGATGTGTTATGTCGAAATTTTGAGGAATGCATATCACACTCTATTAGCTTGTTCTTTCTCAAGTCGTTTTAGGGGAGAAGGAGCAGTGAAAATTTATCAAAGTGAATTTCCACACGTGAGCAGCTATCTATATTCTTCTTGAAATGGTGGAGCTTTATCATTCTCGGCACGAACGTTTCTTTTCCGAACAACAATACTTTGATCAATTCTCTCCATGCCCATCTCGTATAAAGCTTTGGAATTAATAGAGAAGACTAAGAAGTTCAAAGAATCTAGTGAAGCAATGCCATAGCGCACGATGGCGAATTGATTGTATTCTACACTGACGATACCAAATCGCATAACCCGCACACGCTCCACCAAGCTAGAACTCTATCGAGAAGCTAATGCAGTAACGCATAGAGAACTTCACAAGGCTACTGGCGGTCCTCATTCTCTAATCGCTCCCGCGACAACGATAAATCTTCTAAGATAGTGTAAGCAAGACCACCACATTGACTTCACTTAGGAGAAGAGTCCACATACAAGACACCCACGCCCACGCGCTTCGATCTCGTTATTCGCGTCTTTAGTGGCAATCGGGGCACTAACCGCAAGTGCAGCGAAGAACACTGGAAGAACAAACGAAAGCTTCATATTGGCGCTTACTAAACGAGTGTAGAAAACAGTTTGTGTTTTGATATAGGACGAGAGAAAGGAGTCAAGATGCGTAGTACCTAATTTAAATAACCAGAATACCACGGTATTTATACCATACTTTGGACATCTCCCTCTCCCCAGCCATATACACGATAAAAACACCGCAGGTATCATGGATCGCGGCTCCGAGTCGCTTCGGGTTTATTAGTCGGGATGAATTACCGAAGTAGGTTTCGATTGGTGGGAAGGAATTCCGAGCAGTGTAGTTGTAGGGGTGAACTTCATGTGTCTGGGCCGCTAGTCAAGGGAATAGATAACTAGTGGGATCACAATCCCTATAGCTACGATGCTACTATACCGTTTACAGTGTAGTGTCGAGTGAAATTACTATAAGAAAAGATAGCCTCGTATTTCCCTCGTCCGAACCAGGGATGGGGTCACTCGACGAAGAGCGTAATCGTCGTTATTAGTCTCTCCACCTGAAAGGCTTTTAGGCTACTGGCGCATTATGGTGATTGGAAGAGATAGTGCACGGATTCGACATTTGGCACCGTTATTACTCGAGGATTAAGAATTTTTTGGTTTGGGGTAATATTGTAAGTAGGTTGCGTAGTGTGTTTACGGCTGTAATACGGAGGGAGGTAAGAAGATACGGGGGGGCAAAGACTATCACAAATGATTCAGGGGTAGTATAACTTGGTCGAGTATTCGCATAACGTGACCTAGTCGAGCATTTAGATTGCAAAAAAAAGACTAGTATGAAAGCAACAGCTACTACATCCAAACAACTTCATCTCTTCTCTCCTACTCAATGGGCTCCAGCGCCCCCTTGCCACTAACCTTCACCGGCCTTGGCTCCCTCACCAAGCTCTTCTGCTCCAAACTCGCCGCGTCGACCCAATTTCCATGCACCTGCGCCTTGACATGAATCGGTAACTGGACAATCGCAACCGGCTTCTCGAACTCCCTCGTATCTAGCACGACAATATCATTCTTGTTCGTCTCTCTCCTCTCCACCATCGCTACAACCCATCCATCGCCTTCAGGAGCATCGTCGGAGCGGGGGATGAAGGCTGGTTCTTGGACTAGGGAGCCGTCACCCGCGTAGAAGAAGCGCATACTGCCTGTTTGGGTGTCTTTCATAGCCAGGGCGTTGAGGCCATGGAATATGTTTTTGCCACCGTCAGAGCGCGAAGGCATAAAGGCGTCGAGGAAGATGTAGCGGTAGGGTTTGGTGTTGAAGCGCTCGTCGATGCGGGGGAACTCGCAGGGGACATCGACGATGATTTCGGGATCGGGAAGGCGAGTGTCGGTTGGCTTGGTGAGGTCAAGTTCCCAACGTACGAAATCGGCTTTTGCGTCGGGTGCGGGCATTCTGCCGTCGTCGGGAGGGAAGAAGGGAAATGCGTTGTCGTGGACGCGAGAGGTTTCGATGTAGAGTTTGTGGTTTTCGTCTTCCCATGCGCCTGCGGTGTGCACGAGCATACAGTTTTCCCATGGGTACACCCTCCACTCGCCTTCCTTCCAGCCAGGCGGAAGTTTGGTGGTCTTTCTCCGTGGTATGACTACGAAAGTTGCGGGGCGGTCGTAGTTCCATGCCCAGTGCTGACCTCCGCGTTTCATTCGTTCGACGTCGGCTTCAAAGGGCCATAGCACAAGAATTAACCAGTTTGGGGTGATTGCACAATCATGGATTGCAGCAACCCAAGGACCTTGGATCCATTGCTCATCCTTCTTCTTTCCCTCCTTATCCAGCGTGTACACGACAATGTCTTTTGTCGCAAGACCCTTTGCTTCGTAACCAAAGACGACCAGCTCATCCGTATATGGGTCCACCTTGGGGTGTGCGGTAAATGTTTTGGACTTGACTTGGCCAAAGGGATCATATACTCCAGTCTCGAGTGTATTAGGGTCCACTGAGTAAGGTAGGCCTCCTTCCTTGAGTGCCAGCAGATGACCTGCCCAAAGAACAAGGTTTGTGTTTGCGGTTGAGTCGACTGCGGCCCGCACACATGGGTGATGGGTATAAGGGTTGCGGTAAAGCCCAAACATGGCCCTGTTGGCTCGGCGTTCAATCAAATAGCGCTCCGTCTCAACATACTTCAACTTCATATCCACTCTTCCATCATGGAATCTAAAGGCAGAAATATGACCGTCTCCATCAAGGGGAACATTGTTGGGGTGGGGCGGGACAAATGGGTCCGTCATGACGCGGTAAAAGGTGCCATTTAGCTCTTTTGGAATCTCGCCCAAGACGACCAGATCGCCTACTTCACCCTCTAGACGGCAAGGTGCACCTCCTCCTGCGAGATCGAGAGCGACGGGCCATCTTGAGGTGAGTCCGTGATAGATGTCGTTGGTCTTTCGCTGGGGCGTTTCTTTCAATTCGACGTTAGGGAGTGTTGGTGGAACAACAGGTTGCTGAACATCCACGGTGGCCATTTTGCTAATGAAGTGACTTCTGGAGTTTGCATCTTAATCGCTTGCTTGCACATGCTTTTTAAAGACTTCTCAAGCATTTCACGAGAAGTCCTTGTGGAAGCTGTGGGACACTTGGCGATGTGGTGGAGAGGAATACAGACGCCCCACCCCCGCATTATTAAGTCGTTGAGTTTCGGGTAGGCCCGACTGTAAGAAGATAGTCATTGCGCAGAACCCGGCCTGTTGGGTCTTGATGAGGGGCTATACGAACCTAGAAGCGTAGGAGACTTCATTTTAGATGGCTACTAACCTGTTGCGGTCAAGATATGTATAGGAAAGGAGAAGTCAGACGAATCAAGGAGGAGATTGAACGTGGGACGCAAGACTTGAATAGTCGCGGGCGAAGGGAGCTAACATGATATACACAGCAACATCTCAGCCACAAAAAAACACCCCACACGACGAGGATCCTGGTATCCAGCAAGACGAGAGAATGAGCCTCGTCTCTGGAATCGATTCCGGATATTGAGGAGTTCTCCCAATCAGTCAGCCCAAGCAAGTTGGAATGTCTGCTCCACCTTGTTCATTCACGTGATCGGATATTACCAACACACGACGTCATGAGTCGGCAGCTCACCTAGCCAACACCGACCAGATCTCTCAAGTCAATACATCTCACCCAGTTGCCTTCAGACATGTACCCAGGATTACTGAAAGATAGAATCGGATTAAACCTTCTATTGTCTAGAGTCTATTCATTTGCCTCGTTTCATTTCGCGAACCAAGCTGCACAACCTTAAGCCTTAGTCTTGGACCATACCAATCCTCCAGCGTGGACACCAGTTCCTGGCTCAACGGTCTTGCAAGTAGTAAAGCTTTGCCACAAGTCGCCGAAGAAGTTGGTCTTCTGCTGGATGTAGCGTTCACCAAGAAGAGGGGCAATGGCCCAGGTAGCCTCCTCAGCGTGGTAGAAGGGAATGCGTCTAATATACGTTAGTTGGTTTCAGTGCAAAGAGTTGGAATGACCAAGACGTGGTGGCTCAGTACGGGGTAAACTCACGGGAACATGTGGTGGACAACGTGGTACTCAATGATGCCGTGGAAGATGTGGCGGCCAATGAAGCCAAAATCGCGGTCGACAGTTGAGGCGGCACCCTTGATGAAAGTCCAGTTGTCAGCCTCGTAGTGAGGAGCCTCGGGGTGAGTGTGGTGAAGGTAGGTAATGGCAACTATAGAGAGTTAGTTTTCAGTATCTCAGGGCTCGGGAAACGATATGCTTACCAATCCAGTGGTTCATCCAGAGGTAAGGAAGACCATATGCGAGAAGAACGGTCGAGGTTCCAACGCTGCGGGACCAGACATAGAGAGCAGTCATGGTGAGGATGAGACCGACGTTGCTCAGAGCAACAAAAGGAGCCTCGGACGGGGTGAATACGTGGGCAGTAGGATCCAAATGACTTTGCTTGTAGCGAGACGAAGTGTAGCGGTCTCCCTTGGTCAAGCTCTTCTTTCCAGCACCGGCATTCATCAGAATGTAAGCTGGCCAGCCAAGAACCTGGTGGAAGATGAGAGAAGCAACGGTGATGATGGGCGTGTCGGCGGCTGAATGGTCCATGATCTTCTCGAGGATGGTTGGCTTGGTCTTCTTGGCCTCGACGTCGGACTTGCGGTGGGGCACGAAAACGGTGTCCTTGTCCATGTGGTTGTGGTATCGGTGGTGGCGGGCGTGGCTGAACTTCCAGCTGAAGAATGGGACCATCAACATGCAGTGAAGGAACCAGCCGGTGATGGCGTTGACAGTAAGGTTCTCGGAGAAAGAATCATGGCCGCAGTCGTGGGCAAGAATCCAGAGACCAGTGAAGAAGCATCCCTGGACGAAGCTGTAGAGGGCCCACAGGGGGACGGTGACGAACCAGGGGGCGTCTAGGCGAGACAGGGGCACAGCGGCATAGAAAAGGGAGAAGACGACGATGAGATCACGGACGACGTAGGAGAAGGAGCGAAGCATGGAACGCTCGAAGCATTTTGCGGGAATGGCATCCTTGAGGGTCTTGACGTCGGGAATGGGCCTCACATCGGCAACAGCCGTGAGCCTGGTCTTGAGAGGAGTCTCGTGGGTGCGGGACGTGGTCGTAATCATGGTTGGAAAGAAAGGGAATGGAAGGGACACTCGTTCAGACACGGGGAGGGGACGGTAGTCAGCCTTTTGTACCGATAGCGGCTGGGTTGAGCACGAAAACTCTGCCCCTTGATACAGCCTAAGCTCAACGGACCCGACATACGTTTCAAGGTCGCGAGGGCAGCGATGTGCATTAGACACCGCCTTCGTGTCTATGGCGGTACGTAACAGTGGGTCTCGAACCGAGATTTCAACGTTGGCGCACAGCCCGCCCTAGCTGCCCCAGGGGTGAACACGTTGCGGTGAGCCGTGTTGGAGAGATGGCAAGATAGCCGACCAGGAGGGCCAAAGGAATATGGGAGGAAGCCAATGCGTGGGATTCCAAGTCTACGCGTCATTGAGTGTGATTTGTTGTTTTTTGTGTCGGGGTTTTAGCGAGAAGGAGAATTAGGTACATGGTGGCAGTGAATGGGCGTGGAAGTTGCAAAAAAAGGGTTCAGGGTCCAGGAGATGAGCCGCAGGGTAACCGGATTGGGAGGCGATAACACGAAGCCCCGTGGGCCCTGAAGATCTGCTACGGGGCTCATCAATTCCGAAGAGGCCCAGGCGTGGATGGTGGGCCCTTGGTTGGGTTTTTCCGCCGCACGCACGCACGCACGCACGCCCGCCCACACGCTGGACAAGAGGATTTTGTGGGTTGAAAGGGGGACAGCAAGGAGTGGAGGACCCTGAGCGGAAGTGGTACGGCACCACAGCCCGGCGTGAGAGTGAAGCAGCACTTTCTACTTGCTCACACTGTACATACTTGTCGTTAGATGCTTGGAGCAGAGGAAGCACGGATGGGCTGGTAGGCGGGTTTTTTTTGCCCCCAACAAATGCCCAAGGTTTTTTGCCCCCGGAAAATGGTGGTCTAGGCTTGGCAGGCTAGGGCGTTTTTAGGGGTTTGGTGTTGGTTGTGCCTCGCCTAGGCCTCCGCCGCTGTTTCGGGAGAGAATCCGAGCAGAGGCCTCCACCTTGACAACAACCTGCAGTCCCCCACGACGAACCACAGCCACTCGTAACAAGCACTCTCGCAAGCAATACCTCTTGTCGCCGTCGGCATGCGATAGCGACTGCTGCAGCCCACGTCGGCTTGGGCTGCGGCATGCAGCCACCCCCTGCCACCGCCATGCACTCTGTCAGACCCTCCCCCTGCTTCCTAAATTCCCCGAGCCCGCAATCGCTCTGTGGCACACTCGCCGTACTTGTGATTGCTGCATCCGACTCTGCAAGTATACATATCTATGCCCATATCTATGTACTCCTATGCAGCAGCCGTGTGGCTAGTGCTGTCCCTCGCCTTCACCGTGCATGCAGCGAATAGCAAGTACCGAAACATTCGCCGTCTCCAGCCCGTCCCTGGCTACAAGGCCGCCCAACGGTTCGAGCTTCTGCACCATCACACACACGCACACGCCATTTTTTCCAACACTTGCATCACTAGTGCAGGCCCATCCACGACCGTTATGGTAGGTAAATAGGGAGACTGTGGGCGGCAAACCGACTGCTGTGGACGTGTCCACTCCCTCGCCCACAAGACAACGAATCACGTGCCCACCCGACCTGCTCCCGCATATACAAATGCCAATGGATGCAGCACGCTGCCCCGACACCAGGCCAAACTAATACATACAATCCGACAATTCGACGGCCACGAAAGCAGCTAGCCACCACACTTTCACCCAGCTTGATGACACCAGCCACTTGTATCATCTGGCGGCAGAACATGGCCTCTGCAACACGAGCTTATCTGTATTCATCCAGCCCGCATGTGATGATGAGCTAATTTTCCCACACCACTCTGACGAAGAACATCTCCTGTCGGGGCCCAAAGTCAACCAAAACACACTGCAGCTCCTCGATCTAATAGGGCCCAAATACATCTTTACCAAGCCCATGGATCTGGGTAGCAAAAGCCAGAACATCCTTTAGGGCGTTCCTTCCTGGACTATTTCTCGATAACAGGAACATTCCACAATCTCAACATTCATACCAATCTGGACAACTACGTTAGCTGTGCAAGGGACAGACGGGTTCGTAATCGTCATACAAGCATCCGGTCTACAATTAGTACCGTTTTCTTATCAACGCCCACCCCGCATCGAAATCGGTCCTTGGACGAAGGAAAATGGATCCCTTCGGAAGATGTGCTCCATGCCACGACACCGAGTCTTTCCGACCCGCATCTTGGCTACTAGACGAACCAGCCGAAACCGGCAAAATCCCAACATGCCACGATGAAGCGTGTAGTTGGCACTCTCTCAACAAACAGCACACATAGGCTTTTTGAGAAAACAATGACATGACCGAGAATCACAAAAGTCCTGGTTGATGTATATATACGACAGAGGTATAGTCAAAGTGGGGCTACCTGCACACTACCGACAATTGAGATCCGCGGCCGTCCAGCGAGCCACCCTATAATAGCATTGCAGCGCCCAGGAAACAGGACAAATACTCTCCTCGGCTATGCGGACGGGGTTGAAGACCAATTAGCTACTCGTTACAAGGTAATGACCGACGCGGGGTGTTCAAGTCACGTGATCAAATCTCGCTAATCCCAACTGTCCATGGAAGGAGGCCTGAGAATGGCAGCCATCTAGAACATTATTGGTATCCACAACCACGTACAAATCAGATTGGCAGAGGCGAGGCATGAAGAATTTGAAGGAAGGTGTTTTTACATCACACTCTCTTCGATTAATCCTCACAACTGCGTGTGTCACCAAAGGATGCTTTCGTTCTTCGTTTAGTTCAAGACTCCATTGATCAACCCTTGTCTTGCCTAACCACATTTCCATCTTACATCTACGCCGATCAGCCATGCATAGATCTCTTATATCTAAACTTGTATCAAGGCCGGACAGAGGAGGAAACTCAACGCATTATTACTACACCTTACATGCTCTCCTTGCACATTACGGCAGAACAGTAAACCCCAACCTTATGCAACACAGCACCGCCACTCGTTATTCGAACAACCAGGAAAATGATCTTTGGCTGCAGCTATAGGACAAATGGAGGGCTCGAGCGGTTTGACATGGTAGTGGTAGTAACAACCCTAAGCTTATCCACTATCAAGATACCTCACCAGCTACGGGATATCCTACATTCGAGATTGAGGGTGGAAAGTACACACCGGCCCAACTTTTGAATAAAGAAGAAGTAATGAAGAATGACAAGATGCTGGGCCGAGATTGGGAAGTTAGGAATTCCAATGACACCAAGTGACGTTTCTGGTCTAAACTCTCGATTATCAAAGTTTTCAAAGACTGACTGCGTCATGAAGCCTTGTGCTTGCTGAATCCACTGTTCGGTTTAGACAAGATTGTGGCTTTCATTTTTGCGCTTGAATGATTCATATTTGGGGCATTCGTTGTGCCTTCGGATATTTGATGAGCAGCGGATGTTCCATGGCATCTTGGTGTAGTTGTACATTCCAGCGCTCAGAAATCTTGCTTGGATGGGATCAGAATGAATTTTAACGAATTGGTAATTAGCAATGACACGGAGTTAGTTGTCAACTCCTTGTTAAAACCAATCCTCGGTCTGCTAGAGCCATTTTGTTCTAAGGTGCAGCATCCTGCAAAATATTTATTACTTCAAGAGCTAGTTGGATACAGAGTCGTAGACATAGACTGGTACCACTGCCCTACTAGCCAAAAGAAATCATTCCCAATCTCGATTCGCGACCCTGCATCAGCAAGACCGTACAACCACCACCATCCCAATTTTTTCTCAACATCCACCCAATATCCCAAACACATCCGCCAAATACGCGACAATCTACAACCCACGCCTCCCAATCTCCCCTAAAAAATCTCACAAAGCCCAGAACCAAGAAATCAAAATGCACAACGCGCATCACACGCGCTTCCACATAACCTCCTGCACGTGGCTTATGCAGCATCACTACCCGAGATACCAACCACCACTTCGATCGATCCCTAATCTCACTAGCTCCTTTCGCCAAGCCTGCAAATCTCCACTTCCGCTCATTTTGCTTTATCCATACTACTCAATGCACTAAGCGCAGAGGTGGGCGATCGGGAAGGGGGGGGGGAGATGCTACCCCTAAAAATCGACACTACACAATCGGCAACACGGTATGTTTCTCTCACGGAAAATCTCAAACCGCCAGATTGAAAGAGAAACAAGTATGCGAGGCGTCATGTTTGTTTTTTTGTGCGCGCGGGGGGGAGGGGGGAGTTGTGGAGACGCCTCTTAGCTTGCGCTTTTTCCCCGGATTAATTCCAAAGGACCTGCTACTATCAGGTTTAGGGTGCATTTTCCCGGCTAATGTGACTTATTGGGTGTTTTTTTTTGGTCTCGCTTCTGGCATCCTGTGTTTACGTACCGCACATAACGAAAATGAAAGCGATGCTACTATTACGAGAAAGATGGTGTAAGAGGTGGTTATTATGACTGGGGATTAAGGAATTGGATCTTGGGGGTCATTGGTTACTTAGCAGGACTGTTGGTGCTATTGGCAGTGGGTTGTGTAAAGAATGACCAACACTGCATCGCCAAGCTACAGTAGAACGCCTCTAGAAGGCCTGATTGGTGGAAGTTTCGCAGTATACGAGAACGCCTCTATTGTCAATCGTAGCATTCTTGTAATGATATTGGAAGTATATGAAGAGAGGGAGAGGTGTCAGTACCGCCAGCAATCAGTTGTTGCCATGAAGTTCTCCAGTGCTTGTTTGGCAGTAGCGAGCTTTACAAGTTTTGCCACTGCAGCTTCTCCTATCGTTCACTCAAATTCGGGTATATATCAAGGTCGTTACCTCGCCGAGTTTGATCAAGACCTCTTTCTAGGCATCAAGTATGCACCCAAGCCCGACCGCTTCGCTCCTGCCAGACTCATCGACAATGCGCCAAAGAGGGTGTACAATGCCACACAATACGGAGTTGATTGCGTAGGCTATGGGGGGGATACTAACACACTGGTGGCCAAAAATCTGACTCGAATCGGTGAGGACTGTTTGCATCTCAACATCATCAAGCCGAGAACGAGCGAGACCAAGCTTCCAGTTCTCCTGTGGATATATGGGGGCGGCTGGACACAGGGCGCCACAACTGATCCACGGTAAGAGAGGGGACCGAAATGATGGGAAATATTTTCTGATCCAATACAGGTACAATATGAGCTTCATCGTGGAGCAGTCAGTGCTGAATAAGAAGCCTGTCATTGGCATATCCATCAATTACCGTATGGCAGCATTCGGCTTCTTGTATAGCAAGGAGGTGAAGAAAGCCGGCGCGGAAAACCTCGGTCTTCGCGATCAGCGGCTTGCAATGCAATGGGTCAACAAGCACATTTCTGCTTTTGGAGGTGATCCTTCAAAAGTCACGATATGGGGCGAGTCGGCGGGTGCTTATTCCGTCGGCGACCACATTGCAGCTTACGACGGCAAGAACAATGGCCTCTTCCGTGCTGCTATACTCGAAAGTGGCGGCGCTGTTGGCCCACCGCTCAACGGAACGGATTGGTACCAGAAAATGTACGACAATTTAACGGAAACGGTCGGGTGTGCAGGTACAAAAGACACGCTTCGATGTCTTCGCGATGTACCATTTGAGACTATTGCACCACATGGATTTCGAGGCCTGGAATGGTTTCATGTAATAGACGGTAGCTTTATCCCCAGATACGGACAGCAATCGTTGAAACAAGGAAAGTTTGCCAAGATCCCGCTTATCCTTGGTACAAACACGGATGAGGGGTTCGGTGTCAATGGTGTAGACAGCGACTCGGAAGCCATCCATGAGCTTTTGCATTCGAAGCGCTGGAATTTCAACGAGAGTGTTGCAGAAACACTGCTGAAGCTTTACCCGAATGACCCAGTGCTTGGACTACCATATGGATGGGGCAACCGGACATGGCCGCAGTTTGGGCTGCAATACAAGCGATATCAGAGCATTGCGACGGATTTGACCATGTACGCCCCGAGAAGGTTATTGGCTCAAAGCATGAGCGAGCATGTGGACCGTGTATACTCATATCGGTGGGATGCACCAAAGTTCAACAACACGCCAGATAACATCGGGGTCAACCATTTCTCCGAGGTAAGTAACAACCTATGTTGGTCATTATGGGACTCGGCGAGGCTGACGTTGGTAGATACCATTCGTGTTTGGCAACACGGAACAGCAGATGACGCCGTTGGGGGACGCACCCGAGAACCTCGCGCTCTCCAAGCTCGTAATGCGCATGTGGACGGCTTTTGCGTATGATCTGGATCCTAACGGCCATGGAGGTATGTATTATCGCTCAGGCTAGTCGTGTGAAACTGCTAACAAAGAACGCAGTGCCGAATATGCCCAAGTGGCCAGGCTACGCGGACAAGGCCAACAATTTTGTGTTTCGCAAGGACCGAAGCTATGTCGAAGGAGACAGTGACCGGGAACAAGGTGTGGCGTATATCAATAGCCTGGTACGGTGATGATTCTAAGGCCGTTGGATGTTTGGCCATGTACATATGTATATATATATCGAATCTAGCGCGCAATGTTATTTGACTGTCTCTGTTACATTAATGAAGCCGTTGCAACAGTGATCTGGTGTGAGTGACGGAAGCATGTGACGGACGTCAAGTGTCACGGGTGAATGCAGGGCGTCGCCGGCTGAGTCGGTGATTTGGTCAGCCCAGGCGAACCCCACGCGGCTGTTCAAGTCTTTCATTTAATTACATATGGTGCAATCCAACCAACAAGGGCCCAGCAAAAGCTTCATCGTAGACGTGAGGGCAGGAAATGGGCGTCGATGGGCAAGGCAGAGACAGGGTGAGGAGTGAGCCGTGCTTATCGATATCGGCGGTGCGGCGCTTACCAAGGACGTAATGCGCGTCGACGTCTACGTTGCATTCTGCGCCATTGCGTTTCAACCGCCGACGCTGCATGTCCACTGTTGATCCATATATACTTAGACTTCGATCTCCTCAACTAACCTTCCCACTGACCCTATCGCCTAGCTCTAGCACCAGACACACGCACACGCACCTCTCTCCACCATGTCCACTCGCGGGCAATTCAACACCAAGAACCCCACTATCAAGCGCATACGTAAGTACCCGTTCTGTTCACCAGAGCTGTCGCATAGCTAAGAGAATCGCAGTGAAAGAAGCTTCGGAGCTTTCTCTATCGCCCTCTCCAGATTACCATGCCGAGCCGCTGGAAACCAACCTCTTCGAGTGGCACTTTACAATCTGCGGCCCGCCGGAACCGTCACCCTACGCAGGCGGCATATACCACGGTCGCATCATTCTCCCCTCTTCGTACCCGCTGCGACCGCCATCATTCCGCTTCCTGACCCCCACTGGCCGCTTCGAAGTCAACCGCGAGATCTGCCTCAGCATATCGGGCCATCACGAAGAGACATGGCAGCCCGCCTGGGGTGTCCGCACAGCTCTCGTCGCGTTGAGAAGCTTCATGGACACGGATGCGAAGGGCCAGCTCGGCGGCATCGAGTGCAGCAAGGAAGCCCGCCAGCGCATGGCAAAAGAGAGTGGGGCGTGGAAGTGCGCGGGGTGCGCAAAGAGCAATGCCGAGATTATCGAAGAGAGGGCTGCGCTTGTCAAGGAGATTGAGGAAAAAGAAGGGAAGAGAAAGGAAGAAGAAGTGCCTGAGGAGTTGAGACTAGCGTATCGAGATGAGCTGGGCAAAGGTGGGGATGGCGATAGTAAGGTGGATAAGGGCAAAGGGCGCGCAATCGAGAGTGCGACTGATACGGCGTCGGCTAGCAAAGAAACAGCGACCGCATCGTCAGGAGTTGGTGCAACTCCGGTAACGGCTCCAAGTACGAGTCCTGTTCAAGCTGCACGTAGCGTGCCTGTGATAAGACCTACGAGAACCACACCTGCACAATCGCCACTCCAGCAGGTTACGCAAACGAGTCCTGACCTTGCTTGGATTGACACATGCATTTATGGCTTGGTGGCTGCCTTGCTGTTCATGGTGGTCAGGAAGTTTATCTAAGCGGCTTCATTCAACGTGCGCGTGGCTTGATAAGCTTGCGAGTTTATACCAGCGGCACCATGATTTTCTCTTTACATTGTTATTATCTTGGCTAGCGAGGAGTTCTGGTTGGGTTGATAGTGTTGCTTTATTCATTGTTGAAAGGACCTTTTGAAGATTTTATTCAAATACAACAGTTATTGCTTTGGTGTATTTGGTCTCTTTCCTCAATGACGATGTGCTCTTGGTCTTTCGCATTTACTGACGTAGCTAATCAACCGAAATGCTCGATACCCATTGTCGTACCAGCCTTACACCTCTTGGGTATAGCGTGTTTCCACTGCCGCCGGCTCTCAAGGCTACTGCTCACTTCCAAACGATCAGCCTTGTATACTTCATCTTGCAATCTCTTGTGATTTCACTGTAAATGCACTATCAGCTACAACTCGGGTGCCTACTGGAGCCTTGACTCGTCGAGAATGTCCGATTCATCTTCTTGATTGTTACTCAAAGGTGGGAACTTGCTTTAGCCTGCATCATACCGACTCGCGTCCACCAAAAAAGGGCCATTGCCCTTTTTCCACTACCTCCAATGATATCGCTGCCAAAGCGCCGCGATGGGTCCAGCCTGATGCTTTCTATCCCTTAAACTGCCTTCGTTAAAGCAGCGAGCCATGTCATTGCGAGACAGTATGTAATACTGGTGACCCTCAGTCTGATTCTCCACCTAAATTGGCTCCTGTCTGCTTCCACAACCGCTCTCAGCCTTCCTGCCGCTCTACGACTGACAACGCATCAACACTCGGCTCTCATTTCGCTTCGACGATTTCGACTAGTCAGACTGCAACTACCGTCTGCCTTGCCAATCATGAACGGCGACGCCTTTCCGGAAACTGGGTGAGATTTTTTTTTTACACTCTGCTAACAAAAAGGGTGGTCGGCAAAGGGTCCCAAACGGGTGTTTATGCAACCTCTGCACTGGTCGCCTTATAAATCCATGCCTTGTGCAGGAACTATCCAACGTTCCTGATGCAGGTTCCCTTACTCTCGACATATTTGATTCAGCATCAGTCTACAGCAATTATGTCAATGACATTCTCCCGGATGACTACTTCATATTGGGGACTCCAGCCATCAACTCTGGTATACAACTCCATGGGATACCCGATGCAAGTTGTTCCTTTTTGGAGAATAATGATCTTTTTGGAAACAACGTGCTCCAGCAGTCAAACTTTGTGGCTGATGTGAATCTGGTGGGAAAGTACGTGTTTCTGTGCTTCTATCTTGTTTACGTTTATACTTACTTTCCAGTAGCATATTCGGTGACTCCGATAGAGCTGATGCCTATTATACCAGCGGTATCATTGACGAATCCCAAGCGAACTCCTCTACCTTTACTCCGCATGAAAGCTCTTCAGCGCACAATTCCGGGATGAACACCCAAGGACCTTGGACTGGATCATCAAAGCAACCTGAAGTCCACTCACAGGAATCGTATGCAGCCAAATATAAATGCGATAAATGCCTAGTGGGGTATAGAGTCGCTTCTCAATTGGAGGCACATTGCCGTCAAACGGGTCATTTATCCTATGCCTGTAAGCATGACAACTGCGACAAGAAGTTCTCTCGATTGGATACATACCGACGACACGAGAGAAAACATCAAGATGATGTCAAACGCTTCCCCTGCAAGTACTGCAAGAAGTATAGGGGATACAAAGGTTTCAAACGTAGAGATCATCTCACGCAACACGTCCGGAGTTATCACCATATTGGCGAGGATGACCAGAAGAAACCATGGGGTCGCACAACCCCTTGGTGTCGGAGAGTAGGGTGTTCCCATCACGAGATGTCTCCTGAAAATATTGGAAAGTCGGCTGCATTCTTTACTCCAACAGAATACATGAAGCACATGCGTACTGTCCATGACCAGTCCGACCTCCCTTGCCCACAACCTGGCTGCGACCGCGTAAATGGCAAGGGCTACTTCCGCAAGGGCGATCTTCGTGCCCATCTTCGCAAGGTCCACGGCACAGATGGTTCTTTGGATTGGGATGAAATCTAGCCCTCCCAGAAGCCCCACAAAACCGTGTCGACGATCAAACTATCGCTCAAGACACGGCGACATCTCTTCCAACTCGTATGCACTCTCCATACCGCTACAACGCTACAGAGCCCCAAAAAAGAGTGAGAAAAGGAAGAGATGACGCAAATCATCGTCTTACGAGCAATCCTTCACAAGAATGACTACAACGGCGCCGGAGTTTCCTTTCTCAATTTCTTACAATATCTCAACACCGAAAACAACCAAAAAACACGAAAAGAACGGAATAAAACCTAAAAAAAAGTAACAAGCACATCAAGTCTTCTTATTCTTTCATTCTGGCAAAGAGGTCATGTTTTTGCATCTAACTATTGTATCTTCGTTTTTCTGAATCTCCTTGTATAGAATAATCAACTATCGTCGCTCCTTACGTACATGACTACTCAAGTGTGAGATTGAACACCAAGAAGTACGCGTGTATTAATGCAACAGCGCTGACATTATATCGTGGGCATGCCATGCGAAGAAAGATGCAGCACAAAGTCTTACTTTGAAAAAGGAGGATGGAAAGGGGTGCAAATCCCCCGCCAACTATGCAAAAAAAAAAAAGCTACTTTCGAAAAAAACATGATAACAGAAAAGAAAAGAAAAAAAAAGGAACCGATGTATATGTGCCGTCAATCCCATCACCCATTCATACAAGAAAAACCTAGTCGTTCCCGACCCATTAAAACCCAGACGCCAAACCCCATTTACATAAAATGCCAGAGTATCCAACCGAATCGCAAACTATGCACCTTCAAACAAACACGCAGAGAAAAAAAGGGATATAGTACTGAGTACAGTGAATCTACTGCAGTTTGAACAGAACAACACAAGCCAAACACCCGACCGCCAGCACCGTACCCGAGACTTCGGGCTTCTTGATCCAAGATCGGAGTCCTGATCCTGGTTTAGTTAGGGTAGAATGGCGCTGCGCCCTACGCATTACGTTTGGATCGATGAGACCGGATTTTTCAAGTAGGGGGCAGGTATCCACCTGTACTTGTTGCTTTTCCGTTTGATGCTGGCTGTTATCGTTGGGAACAGCATCGTTGGAGTTGCTTGGTGAAAAATGAAAATCAGTTCCAATCATATCATCCAGCTCGTCCACGAGCTCAGCACATTGTTTGAAAATCTGCTTGGCTTCTTCGATGATATCGACGCGTTCGTCGGGGGTGAAGAGCGTCTCGGCAGCAGCCAGCCGCAACTTGAATTCAGCCTTGATATCCTCGCCATCGTGGGGACCGGGGAAATGCCAGAATGAGAGGCCTTGATTTTTCAGATCCGGAGATTTGTTATCCGCTTCTTCTTGTAAACCAGTGGTAGTGGCTGGTGATGGCCAGAAACTTGGTGGGGCACGGAGTAAGCCTCCTCTTATCCACCTCCCGCCCGAGAAGATGGCCATGTAGAAACACCAAGCGTAGCTAACTAGCGTCCATGGCTTCTCGTTTACACTCTTCCGAATGTGCGTGCAAAATTGCGCAACCTTATTGCCCGGGTACTTTGCCAATAGGACCTCGAGATCGGTGGGGTGTAGGCCTAGCAGGTATTCCAAGTCCCTCTTTAATCGGCCCGAGCGTATCAGGCCTCTCGGCCGTAGAGATTGCAGGAAAGTTGTGAGTTGTGGAGATGGGGGCGTTGGGGCGCCGAGGGTGGATGTGAAGAGTGAGGGCGAGTCGTAGGGATTCACAAGGAGATAGGATAGCAATGGCGAAAAGGGCGAGGTAGCACCTTCAGGGTCCATTGCCGGCTGCGCAGGCATATAAGGTGAGTTGGAGGGGGCATAATCGCGCAACAAGTCGGCCCACAAGGATTCAAAGGTCAGGAAGATGTGCGCAAAATGTAGCAGGCCTGTCGCATAAAGCGTCGAGTCTGTGGTGTGCGGCGGGAGGCCAAGCGGGAGACGGGAGGTAATGAGGCGGTTTAGGTTTGTGTGGAGGGATCTATACGAGGTGGATCAGCGTGTTGGTTCATAAACACACAAGGAAAGAAGCGGCGGGGTGGGAAATCATACCGGGTCGCAGCATTGATTTCACCAGACAACGAGAGCGGCAGTCCGGGTGCGTCATGCCTCGCCTCGTCGTCCCGCAGCGCATATTCTTGCCTCTCCAACATGTTTGCGCAGTAAGCTGTAGACAAATCAAAGGCCGTGGTTCAGAGTGTCTATTGGCGGGTGTGTGAGGAGGAGGAGAGTACTGTAGGTGGTAGGTCGACGGGAGTTTCTAGTGCAGCGGTCGAAAGGGCTGGAACCGGGACGAAGGCGGAGTGTTAAGGCCGATGAATATGAGCTGCACGCGCGACAGGCACGAGGCACAAGGCAAGAGCAGCAGGCAGGGCATCGGGGGCTCGTGTAAAAAGCACGCGGAGCTAAAAGGAGGGCTACATGTGCGCTAGGTGTAGATTCACGCGCGCGCTGTGTGGTGAGCGGGTGGGCAGAACAAAGTCGCCTCAATATGTGGGGATGGATAAGTTCCAAGGTCTGCGGGCAAAGGCCTGGAATCGAGGCTCGTAGTGGCGTTGCCATGATACAATTGCGGGCTGGCGCATGGCCGTTGTGCAGGGATCAGCCGATGCTGGGTCGATGGCGGTTGGGTTTGCATCATCGGTCGTGGGGGGCGTGGGTGGATGACGGACATGTGCGAGACTGCAGGCAAATGTACCAGATTAGGGCCCTGATGTAGGATGAGGAAAAACAGCGGACAGGCAGCAGAGGAGATTTTCAGGGTCCGTGTCATGGTTTATGTGTGAAATGGGGGATCCTGGGGAGGGCTGCGTTCGCATGGGCGCGTAGGACCGATTGCCATCGCGATCCACGGGACTGGCCGTCCCACATCCCCATCGCGAAGGCCCCTGCGCCATGTACGTACTTAGATATGCACTCCAGCTGAGAGAAGGATGCAAATATCTTCCGCGTGCCTGACAGCATGACGGTACCAGTACCACCGTTGACTGTACCTGCGTATGCATCCAACGACATCACATGGCCGGGCTGTGAAATCATCGTCATTGGGCCCTTACCTTTACCCTCCCCATATGCCACTCGGCCCCCAATCATTGTGCTGTTGAACCTCTGCAATCCTCCCCGCTGGCCTTGAATCATGTCCACTGCCAAGTGCTTCCACAGAGCGAACCAATCAACAAACACATGCATCATTCCGAGAGGGTACCATTCATCACGGAAAATTCATAGGCTATCATGAATACCTTGCTCACACTCAAGTGCCCACTGACGCCTTCCTGCACCCCGGCCAGCATGGCCCTTATCGTCAACTGCTTACATGGCTTGCCAAAGTCACCTTGAAACCAGACTGTGACGGACCAGAACAACATCGGCATGACCCGGCAACCACGTCCTACCCAAACAAAACCTGGAGTAACAGACGCCCCTGTAGACACTGCCCAGGACCACACATCATCAAGAGAAATCACTCGTGTTGGCCACCATCGTTACACGGCTCATGATGTTGAACCCAGTACCACCTCAAGCTTGCATCTTCTAGGCGCCAGCCCAGTCAAAGTTGACATCCTGGCGCGCAACCACTTCGCCAGCCGCCGGGTCATGGCAGACCGGTGCCCAGACCTGAGCCTCAAACTGGCCAGCTGCAATGTTGTTGCCAAAGAATGAGTAGTCTGCATCAGTCAGCAACTGCATAGCCGCATCTCGTTTTAATCCACCTACAGCAGTAGAAGCGGCCCGGCCAGTTGACAGTCCTGTCGCATCGGCCAACCGCACAACCGATACGCGTGCTGTTGCGCCACACCATCTGCGTGAAGTGGCCCCAGGCGGCATCGAAGTGCGGATTATCGTAGGGGTACTTGGTTTCCTCCTCGTGCCAGCCGTGCGTAGCAGTACGCGCAAACTCAATCCAGGCCTCATAGTCATCAGGCGGCGGGCTCACAGAGGAGAGGTTGCTGCCGGGGCGTTTCTATCATCGTCAGCCATTGCTCCCTTCTTGTGCATGTCAAATACCAACATGCTCAGGGTCGTGGGTGCACTCCTCGATGTCGGCGCGGGCTGCGTCTGCAAGCTCCTTGTCCCAAACCAGGTCCTGAGCGCAGTGCAGCCTCCGCCAGTACCAGTGAGCTCGCATCACGGCACTGATGAATTTGGGGTCGTCCTGACGAGGAGCGTCACCTGCTGCGACATTACGGAGAGTGACTTGGTGGGCTGGAGCAGCGACTGCAATGGCTGCAGTGAGAGCAACCAGTGCACCAAGTAGCTTCATGGTGAGATCCTGGTTAGATGCGAGACTTGTGTGTCGAGATTATAGGGAGTCAGTGAGTATAGATGTTGTGAATTGGCCGGCCGTTAGGAGTAGCGGATCAGCACCACAGTGCAGCCTCAATGCAAAGGAGTGACAGGAGGCGCAGGGAGCGGAAAAATGAGTGATGGAGACAGAGGGGCAGGGGAGAGACGAGGTCGGCCGAGTATATATGTAGGTCGGGACTGTCAAGGATGCCGCGTTGGTGGTGGTGTGCGCCTGCCTTTACCAGAGGGGCCACAAACAAACAGCAATGGACGCCGACCAATCAAGCAGGGACACTGCTCACGAGGGAGTTTGCAGGAAATGAATGCTACCAGAGTGAATGACGAACCGAGGGAGCAGCCCGTTTGCAAGAGCATCCTAGTGCGAGGCCAGACTGGGGAGACCAACGGTTGGACAGTTCCCTTGCTGACCACGAGCTTCATGCCTGCCCACCGTCCATCCACACGCTGCTGCCCCTCCACACTCACCCTGTGGAACCACTGGCACAAGCTGCAAGGCCCTGAAGAGCTAGCCCTACGCATTAACTACACATTTGGAGCATCGCCGACACACAAGGACGTAGAGTGGCGTTTGCCATGGTTGAACACGGCGGGGTCTCAATCGGCTGGCCTGGTATAAACAATCCTATTTTATCCCCTCTGCCCATGCTACCAAACTCACAATGTGCAAGAATGACCG